TTCAGGTTTCAAATAAAAAAACGGTATCTTACTTAGCAACCTTGATTCTTGCAAGTTTTTAACCTATTCATTGCTATTACAAAAACCACCCCTCCAAAATTTGAATGCTTTTTTCTCTGAATTCTTAAATGCCTTAATATCAGCACAATTAATTTAATGTACTTTTTAATGAAGGTGAAAAAGAGAGGCAGCTGGTAGGAATGAGAAACAACATAGTGACTTGTAGAGAGCGTTAAATTTCCACACTCCTGCTTTCTACCTTGATTACATGTGTTGAGTCACTGTGATAAGATTTGAGGAAGAAGAATAACTGATCTGTGATTGACTTGCTTGTTATGAATTGAAGTAATTTCCAAATTTGTGACATGATTCATATAAAATTAAAAAGCTGGAAGGTAATTTCCAGTACTCCTGGAAAGGTGTTCTGCTTAGTACTTCTAATCAGCAGTTCAGTTGAAAGCCATTAATTGTTTTTATGTTGCCATCTTACTGCGTTGTGCTCTTTAGTACTTTATGGTACTTAAACCAGTGTATTTGACATGAGAGGTGCTAATGGTCATTAGTGTCTGCAAGCAATATAAAGCTTTTTCTAGATGATGGAGTAAGCAATGAAGATTATCAGAACTAGCAGAGAACTTCATTAATCACTGTTTATACAAAAATTTCTTCATGCCCTCATTAATGACATGTTGTTAAGGTCCAGTTCTCTTCAGTCACAGGTTTGTGTGACAGCATTTCCCAATAGCTAAACTGTCTGAAATTTGTTCTTACAGGTAATACATTAAATTATTAATGTTTAACCAAGGACAGATGGCTTGTGTGTATTTGTGGTGCACTATCATAAAATCAAGATTTCATATTGTTCTCATAGGTTTTGTCACCTGATCTTTTTTTAAAAAAAGGACCATGATTAGTAAATTTTTTTTTATTTTCTTTAAGAACATTTTGCAATTCACATTACTAACATAGAGGTTTAGGACACTAACCAAGTTGCAAGGTACTTACTCAAAGACTGTATTTTAGCCTTTCTTTAATATCTGCCTTCTAAAGTTTGTTACTTGTCCAGTTGCTGAGACAGTAATACTATAAAGTGATTCTAAGGGCAGTAAAATAATGATGAAACATGACTTCTGATTAGTTCTTGCTACTATCTGGTTAAAATATTACATGGTATTACAGGCATATTTTTATAATTCGAATTTTGGAGTACTCTGAAGTAGGGAGCAACAGGAAGGTTAGAAATACATAAACAAAAAGCTACGTCTCTTGTCACCATTTTCCACTTTGGCCATGTGTTTCCAGTAAAGTCAGTAGGATTTGTGACATTCAGCTGAGCTGAACAAGGCAGAATGAACATTTTTGTTTAGCTGGTTTTGGTGCAATTTCAGTTGTAGCAAGGAAGTATGAATTTTTGTCTTCCTGTAAATCTTGTGTGTGGTTTCTGCCACTCTTACTTCATGGAGGATGTTCTGCCGTAGAGCTAGAATACAGAGGTGGTGATTGATTAGGATTTCTTACGTTTCCCTGTTAGTTCATTTAGCCCTTCCTCTTGCACTGTATTTGTGCAAAAATGTCATATTTGAGCCAATGGGATTAGTAAACAAAGGGAATTTTAAAATTAATTTTTAAAGATGGCATAGCTTTTGCTTTTAAAATTCAGTTCCTCTTCTGTCTGAAAAAGCAGATGTAAAAAAAAAAAAAAGTCTAAATTGCCAAGTAGAAAGAAGAGTGGATAGTTTTAAATGCTGGGAGTGACAACAATAAGAAGTAGCACAAGTAGGGATGGACTCAGAGCTTTCTTGCAAGAGACAAGTGCACAAGGAACTTACTGAAGGGAACAGTTGGTAAGCACCAAAGGACTGAGTAGGAAAGTAGTCTGCTGGCTCTGTTTTAGTTTATTTCTTTGAGTTTATTATGAATAAGTAATAAACTATCTCTCCAGCTTCCTGACACCTTGTAAAATTGGGGTTTTCTTCCCATAGAACAGGAATGTAAAATTATTTGATCCATAAATAAAACAGTGTTTGTTTTGCCTTGAGAGCTCACTATTTTCCAATACCTGCCTTTCAGCTACTTGGATTCAGCTTCTACCCCCTTCACAGAACACCTTATTTTGTGTTCATACTAACAAAACTGGAGACTGCAGACTGTCCCTGGCTCTGGTACTGTCCTCATATGGGCATGCATCTCATGGGCAATATGATTTATTGTTTCATTCCATCTCCTGCTGTCATGATTCCATATTTTAGCAGTAGTAAAGTAGTATTTGTTACTGATTTTATTTAGCAGAGCTTTTAATATTTTTGTTTCATGTAATACATTTCTGCTGTTCTTTTGGGGTCATAGCATGGGGCCTGGCTTCAGAAGAGTGTTGGCTTCTAGTGCTGGAAAAGTAACTCTTCTCACCAACATCTGCTGCCAAAAAAATCCCTTTGGGCATTAATTTCTTCAGACTGCTTTATCTCTCTTACAGATTCAGCAAATGTTGATATTCTGTGCTTTTTATTTGCTTCAGATGATACATACCACATTGTTTTCAAAGTGTGTTTTGCTTATCTGCCAAATGCTTTTCATTGCCAGTGCAGTTTAGCAGATGGGTTTGAAGGGTTCAATTACATGTAACTTGGGCTTCCATTTTTCTTCCAGCATCTTTATGTGGTTCCTTAAACCAATATTAACATTTTTCAAGGTTTTTTAGTAATCCTGTAGTTTGCTCATTTTCAATAAATTCATCATTTAGTCATAGAGCATTTGGGAAAAGTTACATTCTGATTGTGTATTTGCTACGTACCATGGTTGATTGGTGGTTTTGAAAAACAGATGTGGTGTTTAAAAATGCCATTTATATTGCTATTTTATTCCATTATTCTGAGCTTTTAATAAACGTTGGAATATTTGAGTGCTTACAGTTATGTCATAATTTTCTTTCCCCGATTAAATAGTTACTAAGGGTCAGTGGTGGGATCCAGCAAAGTCTTGTTGAATACTTTTTTGAGGGATACATTTTGGACCTTAGCTCCTCCCAAGTTCCCCTTCCTTTGTTGTTTCCTTTTTGTTTGTTTGGGTTTTTTGTGTGTTTTTTGGTTGATTTTTTTTGTGTGTTTCTTTGTTTGTTTGTTTGGGGTTTTTTTTTGCTTGGTTTGGGGGTTTTTTTGGTTTTTTTTTTTGTACCAAGTCAAATCTTTGAAAAAAGTGGTCTGGAAGAGTTGTGTCTTAGCTAAACCTGGTTAATTTCCATAGGTTTTCAGAACATCAAGAACAAAATAGGGTTGTGGTTGTGTGTGGCTCATTGTGGAGCTGCAGTTCTTGAAGTTGGAGGCTTTGAGCTATATTTTCGTGGTTTTACATCTAAGTTCAGGATTTACCTTGTGCAGCATCCTCAGCAAGTGCTCACTGAAGGTATTGTTTCCTGAGAGGAGTTTCTTGCACGACTTCTGTTTTGTTGTCAGTCCATAAATGTAATTACCATTGCTGCTGCCTTGCTCCATGTTGTTATTTGCTTATCTTGTTCCCCTCCTCTCCTCTGCATTTCAGCTGGTAAAGTACCAGGATGCACCTTTCCCATAGTGTCAGCAGGTATTAGACATGGGTAGAGGTGAGATGGCCTGCAGATCAGAGGACAGACTAAGCATTATAGCCCACAAACTTGGCAGTAGTTCTCCTTGGTGATCCCTTCAATTTCTCTGCCAGAGCATTTTATCTCTTTACACTGCAGTTCTGTTTAGCATACACTAATATTTTTTCTGTCTCTTTTCCATGAGTTGTGGTGCAGGGAGATATTTTTCTGAAGATGTTCATTTCATCTGGTTTTAAAGTATATCAAGGTAGCTGTTGACACAGGCAGCTTTGTGATTTGTGTTTTCATATGGGCTGGTTTTGATATCTGTGGACTTGTAGTAGCACTTTTTCATGCCTAATTTCATGCCAGGCTCTGAAACAGAGAAGAATTATGGTAATAAATATTGTCTGTATTCTAAGAATTAAGCAGATGTAGTACATAACTTTTCTTTGATTTGGTTTATGTTCATATTTGGATGTTACTTGACACTTCAGCTAGCAATCAAGCACACCAGTTTTAGTGTTGTATTTTTATTGTGAAAAATGAGAGTCCCTGAGCTCAGTTGTTGCTGTGTATTATGTATGCCTTCCTGTGAGCCACTGACCTGTTTTTTCTTAAGTTTACTCAAAATCTTACGGTGCTGTGCCTTAAAAAGTATTGTTGCCTTGGTGAAAAAGTGCAAAAGGATGTTACAGTGCTTCAGGGACTGTAATGAATCCGAGAAAAAAAAAAAGATTGATTAACTGAATCAGAAAGGTGTGGGTGATTTTTTGCAAGCAGACTGATAGACTCTGCTCTCTCTTGACTAGAGAACTGGAGGATCATTGTATAGTTCTTTCTGAGAAATTATTTCTCTGGTGTCTAATAATAATCGTGCCTATTTATGACTTCTCAAAGTTTGGTGGTGATATTTGTGTAGTCTTGAAAGGCAAGATGAGAAGAGAGTGCAAGGTTATGTAATGCATTATCGTCCCAGAGAGAATTGTATAATGTCAGTAAGATTTTTGGGAGAACGTCATACTTGATTTCCATTTGCATTTCTGATTACAGTGTCTGTGGTTTTACATTACAGCTTAGAGAGCCACGTGGTTTTTAGTCATAACCTATTGACAGCATGGTGTCATCTGCCTTTATTTTCAGAATAAGTCTCCAAGCTCCATTACTGAACGTAGCTCAAATTAGATAACATAGAATGAAAATGCTTTTCTGTGACAAGAAGAATCTTAATCATCAGAGAGCGTTTAGAGTGGGTTTCATTAAACATTTTAAGTAAAGACTTGGGAGTGCCACTGAAAGACACAACCCACTAGTTTCCTTCTCAGTATTCACTACCTCCTACTGGCTAAGGTGTTCATCTGCTAAATGAAGGAGGGGAACAGATCTGGCTAAAAAATTACATGAAAAAGGAATTTTTTAATGGCTTGTTCTGTTCGTTTTTCAGCGATGTGCATTTTGTAAGCACCTTGGAGCCACTATCAAATGCTGTGAAGAGAAATGTACCCAGATGTACCATTACCCCTGTGCTGCTGGAGCAGGCACATTTCAGGATTTCAGTAACTTGTCCCTCCTTTGTCCAGACCACATTGATCAGGCTCCTGAAAGATGTAAGTACACAGTGTTCAAATGACACAGTTAGTACCAGGTTTTATGAAAACTGCACTGTCATAGGATCAGTTTAAGAATGCATTTGTTTAGATGCACTGTTGCATTTCACACACGCAAGAATTAATGTGTGTTCAGGGATAGAAAAGATGTGAGTTCATACTCTTCTGTTTTTAAAGACCAGCCGTGCTGCACAGCAAAGTATTTTTCTTTTAATGGCAGAGCAAGGAAGGGGTTTACTGGTCAGGCTTGTCTTCTTTCAGCTTTTAGTTCAAACTGATAAAGTTCCTTATCCTAACTCAAATTAGAGCAACCTTCTTACTAACACTTGAGCTAAGTAATAGATGTAGGTCTGTTAGGAGCTTTATTTTATACTTGTTCCACAGAGGAGTTGATTCTGAAGCTCTCAGCTGTATCTCAAGGAGAATAAAACGGTTTCTTTTTGTAAAACTTCATTAAGGTTTAAAATGAATGTACTTTTGTTATGAGAAGATTAGTTGAGAAAATGGAATTAAAGTAGTAACTATTAAATATATTAATTAAATTTGAATTTCTTAAGAATGATCAAGTTTTGTATACATAAGAACTACTAAATAATTTTTTGGGTTCACTGAATTGTTCATAATTTTGAACAAAATAATAATTGAAAAAAAAAATATTTCTTTTTAGCAAAGGAAGAAGCAAATTGTGCAGTGTGCGATAGCCCTGGAGACCTCTTAGATCAACTTTTTTGTACTACCTGTGGCCAGCACTACCATGGGATGTGTCTGGACATTCAAGTCACACCTCTAAAAAGAGCAGGTTGGCAGTGTCCTGATTGCAAAGTGTGCCAGAACTGCAAGTAAGTGAGACTTACAGGACATGGAGGAGGATGGCATGAGATTTATGTCCTGTGATTTTGAAATGCATATTTCGTTGTTTGGGGGGTTTTTTTCCCCAAAAAATGTAGATGATTTTCCCATCTTCCCTGTTACGATGCTGTAATAAGTAGCTGAGCAAACCCTTGTATTGTAAGCTTTGTTCTGAAAGAGCTGAGCTGAAAGTCCTGTGTGTTTCACCCCAAAAGTTACCATTACCTTGGCAGGTTCTGGAAAGCAGCAAAACATTCTGATTTTTTCCTCCTTTTATACAGGAGGATTTTTCTCAAATTTACCAAATAAATAATTTCGATGTAGTGCCTTCACAGTGTGAGAAGCTGTGCTTTTTACTCAGCTGACAGTTCAGTTGTGCCTGTACCTGCACACTGGACAGGTCTCCTGCATTAGGCCCTCTCATATAATGTCTTTCAGAGGAACGTAAAGAGTCATTATGAAAACAAAACCGTGGCTTAGTTGAACAAAGAAACAAAGTGACTTCAGTGGCCCTGATGGAGTAGTTGCACCAGACAAAGAGACAATGAAACTCAATTGCTGTGGCACCGAAAGGGTTCACTTACAAAATTCTGACTGCTTGTGGATGTGCTCTCTTATAACTTATTCTGATGGGCACTGCAGGGTTCTTTCACTTGCTTGTTTTTTTTAAAGGACTTACTGAAAAAGAAATAAGAGTTTTGTTCAGCTTTAGTCAGATCAGCTGTGACAGTGTGAAGGAAAAAAACCCACTCTAGTACTGCCTCATGTATCTGATCAGTCGGTGCTTTCCTGTTTCCCAAGCCGAACACTTGGTATCTACTAGCAATTCGCTCAACCCGCTTCAAAAAAAAAGGGTGTTCCCTGATCACACACAGCAGATAGCAAATCTCAGCAGTGAAACTAGAAAAGAGAAACACATTCTAAGAAGTATCCCTGAAAATGTTTTACTGGGTAATTACAGCATCTGCTAACAAATCTTCTTTTTAGTAGAAAAGTAGAGAAAATGTGATGTGTTTACACCCAGTCTGTGGGACCACATGAGTTACATTCAAGGATTTTGAGGGAACCAGTGGATGAGGTGGCTAAGCCACTGTCCATCATATTTTAGAAGTTTTGGCACTCTGGTGAAATTCCCACTGACTGGAAAAGAAGAAACATAGACCCCATTTTTGGAAATAAGGAAGACTTGGGGAATCACAGTCAGTCCCACCTCCCTGCCTACTAAGGTCATGGAGCAGATCCTCCTGGAAACTGTGCTGAGACACCTGGGACATAAGGAGGTGATGGTTACAGACACCACAACTTCACTGAGGGCAAACAGTGCCTGAAAAATCTGGTGCCTGCTGTGATGGGATTACAGAAGTTACGGGGAAGAGCAACTGATGTCACTTACCTGGACTTGCGCAGTGTCCAGCACAGTATCCTTTTCTCTAAAGTGGAGAGAAATGGATTCGGCAGGTGGAGCACTCTGTGGACTCGAGAGTTGGGGTCAAGGACTCAGGCGGAGACCAGTGATGAGTGTTGTTCTTCAGGAGTTGGAATTGGGGCTGGTGCTGCTAAATACCTTTGTTATGACATGGGCAGCGGGGTCGAGGGCACCCTCAGTGAGTTTGCCCACGACACTAAGCTGTGTGGGGCAGTTGATGCTGAAGAGAAGGGACACCATCCAGGGGGACCTGGGCAGGCTGGAGAGGTGAACCTCATGAACTTCAGCACAGCCAAGTGCAACGTTCTGCACCTGGATTGGAACAATCCCAAGCACCACCAGTACAGGCTGGGCAGACGGGCGCTCAGAACAGGTTGGCTGGAGAAGCCGTGGATGCCTCACCCTGGAAATGTTCAAAGCCAGGGTGGATGGGCTCTGAACAGCCTGGTCTAGTGGGAGGTGTCACTGCCCATGGAACTGGATGGTCTTTAAGGTCCTTTCCAACCCAAACCATTCTTTGATTCTATAATTACACAATGCAGCATGGCGGTTTTTCACCGTTATTGGAAGAACAACATTTTAAGCATATCTTCATGCAAAGAGGGGTTTTTTTAAAATACCAGATCTCCCAGGTAATGAGGTGGTATCTAGCATGTAAAATGCCATATACTGCAAAGCTTTATCTAGGCAAATCTTGTTGCATGTTTACTTACTGAATTAATTTATTTAAACTAAGGCAGAACACAATGCCTTTAGATATTACCAAACTATTTGTCTTGCTGTCAGCAAATTCATTTTATCACTGGAATCTGTGGTGGAGCTCTGTAATGTATCACTGTAGAAAAATTGAAATCTCTTCCTTTAATGTTTGCTTTGCTCTTGCAGTCATATTGTTTGACACTGTAGGAGCTCCAGTTGTCAGACTTGGCTCCCTTCTTCCTTTGGAAAAACTGCAGAAACAAGTACAATTGGATGTTCTTTTCAGAAAGAAATACAATGTACATTGCAGATTTTGAACTGATTTCAGTACAGAAAGACCATTAAACCTGTTTACATGTGTGTAAGTGAAAGTGGGCCAATACCTAGTATTCAGAATGGTTGCTCAGGCTCAGCTCTTGGTGAATAAACACAGTGGTCTGCACTCACATATAAAAATTAATTTGAAGGCAATTATCTCTGGAGATATTTGTAAGTAGTGTTTGCATATTTCTATGTGCACACCTGTGTCTTCCTGTTTAGACTTTACTTGAAACAGATCTTTTATTGCTGCTTACTGGAGTAATTTTTGATCACTTGTTACTTTCCTTAGACACTCTGGGGAAGACAACAAGATGCTGGTGTGCGATACATGCGACAAAGGCTACCACACTTTCTGTCTACAACCAGTTATGGATGCCGTACCAACAAATGGTTGGAAATGTAAAGTAAGTGGAAAGGTTTCAGAGTAACTCCTTGTCATTTATTAGAGCTCAAACTTTGTTATCCACACTGTGCTGTTCCAGGTGTATTGTGCATTGCTGTTGCCATGTAATGTAATTTGTGATTTCTGAAGGAATCCCACTTGGATGTAAATCCTGTGGCTCTACAGCTGCTCTGTGGGGGAAGCTGTCAGTGCTGTGGCTGAAGCAGCCTTTACAGGACAGTAAATCAGCCTCCATAGGGAAAAAGAGAAGTGTAGGATCCAGGTGCAGTGGATAACCTGCAGTTAATAACAGCTGCTTTTGTGATCCAGTGGGAACAAAAATGTACACTCAAAGCTATATAATAGTATATGTAATCTGTACTTGAAGTCTCTTTATATTCAACTCCTCCTTGCTTACCAGAACAGTTCTGCAGCTCGTGGGTTCCTTTGCATTTGAGGAAGGCAGGATGAATTTCATGTTTTATCAGTACCTTTGAAAGTAATTGCACCATAACATGGGAAGTCCCTGTATATGATAAGTATGTAATGTTACATCAGTTTGTGGCAGCTAACAAGATAACAGAGTAGCAACAAAAAAGTTTGACCCCATAAGAAATACTCTTTTTCAAGTCAGGGAGTAGTGTCCGGAAACTTCTTGCTGTTTTGCAGGTTATTCATGCTCTGCTGTCAGGTCTTGGATAACTTTTTGTGTTATCAAGGACAAAAGCTATTAAATTTAATTCAAAACATGAAAATGTCAGTTAATGGCAGTTCTATCACATTGTGAAATATCATAATTAATTACTAAATTCTTGTGATCTCTAGAACTGTAGAATATGTGCTGAGTGTGGCACACGAACAAGTTGTCAGTGGCACCATAATTGTTTGGTATGTGACAGTTGTTACCAACAGCAAGACAACTTATCTTGTCCTTTCTGTGAAAAACTGTGCCTCCAAGACTTCCAGAAAGATATGTTGCATTGTCACATGTGCAAAAGGTAAGTATCCAGCTTTTGTTAATTTGTACTAAAATGTGTAAAGCTTTTGATGAGCTATGTGACACTGATGGGTTTCTGGGAAGAATGTACACTGTGTTTGATGTACAGTGCCACAGGATCTTGTGCAGCTCCTTGATCTTTCATCCCTAAATACAATGAACAATAGCAGGTAGCTTCATTTTAATGTTAACAAATAAGCATTAATTGGTAGTTACATGAGGGTACCTGACAATTGCTTGCTGCAAGCTGCTGCTGCCTCTTGAATTTAACCTGTTTTGTAAGGGAACGTGCTAAAAAAGTCATTGTCCTAAAGCTTAAACACTGTTGTTGCAGTGATCTGGGTTGTTTTTGGTTTTTTTTAATTTTCAGGTTTATATTTTCTGTTTAATTTTATGTCTCTTTCTATTTTAGTAATATAAAAAAATATAAAATACACAATTTGGAACATTTCAAGAATATGAGCTATGGGTCATATTCAGTGGTATTGTATCTTACTGTGCAGCAGCATGATGATGCTCTACATCTTGTGGAGTCTGATTTGCTTTAGGGACAATTTAGGTCTTCATGTTTAAGTTTGTTCACTGTTTGGCATGCTGACATATGCTTATTCCTTAAAAAATCTCCATAATCAAGCATTGGATGAAAATTTTTATTTCCCCATAGGAATGGGAAGCAGTGCTACTTTTTAATGGATTTTTACTATGATGCTTCATATTTTCATTACTAAAATCACAGTCACAATAAATTAAACCACAATAAATTAATCTCCCCAGGTGGATTCACATAGAATGTGACAGATCTCCAGGTAGTGAATTGGAGTCTCAATTGAAAGACTACATCTGCACTCTTTGTAGACAAGGAGAAGGGGATCAGACTCAGTCATGTGATGTAATGAACACCTCTGAACTCATTCCTGGACCTGACAGTATAACAGGTAATCAAACTTCACAGTTCCAAAACACTGAAGTCAGATGTAATATCTGCAGTCTCACTAAGTCTTCTGTGAACCAGCCACTCAAATTCTGCTCTGTGAGGTTCATCCCTTCCTCTGTCTAACAGTAGCTGCTCAAGCAATCCATGGGTGGCCCTGGATACAAACATGGGCTAGTGAGCACCATAATTGTGTCTCTCAACCTTCCATCTCCAGCCTCTCAGCCTGTAGCTGTAAACTTCACTAATTTATTTTGAATGTGGTACAGTTCATAAATGTATTCATTTGGCAGCCTGGCTGTTCTACTCATTTGTGCCAGGTAGGTATTCTTGGAGACGTTCAGTTCTCCTGTTTCTCTCTAACTGCTGGTCACTCTCATAGTGTCTGTTCTCCTCACTTTATCCAGGAAGGACAGAGCAGTGGGAGCTGGACTGCGTTCAAGGGACACGTGTTTATTTAGCTAAACAGCTTTTAATAGGTATCCTTTTTCAAAGCAGCATATGATCAGTCATCTTGTTTCTGAGACATTCTTGTCTAAGTGGACAAGTCAAGCAGAAGGCAGAAAGTTGTGGAGATGTGTATTTTTTAAACAATAGGTCAGTAACAGTAAGCACAGGGAGGACTTGGATCTGCTGATCTGAACCCAGTGGGTCATCCACAAGAGCAGTGTTATAATCATGACTAAAAGCTTTTGTGTATTTCACACCATGTGGTCTGTTGGGCAGCACCTACACTCATCCAGGCTGAATTTCCCTGGAGAAGTACAGCTGTGGTTAAATTCAGAAGCAAGGTAAAATATAACAGATCAACTGCAGAGCCACTGCCATGTGCATTTTTTGGGCTTAAGCAGCAGTGCTTGTGCACTGGTTTTTTGTTATTTGTAAGTATCTATGATTTTGAAAGCCTGGTAAATTTTGGCAGGAAGGGGGAGATGTTGGACTCCAACAAACTCTAATGTTTGTGTTCAAACTGATGCTTTGTATAAACAAGTCATCCCTTTGATGCTATCCTGTAAATTACCTTTTGTGAGCAGTAAAGACATGATGGAAAAGGTGCTGCTAGAGGAAGGGCAGTGACAGGAGGTAAATGTCTGTAAATGAGTTCACTCTGTCAGGGAACATGGCCACCAGGTTAGGAGGAGTGGCCACTTCAGCCTTTGCAGATCATTCCCTTCTGAAAGCTTAGGAGAGGCTGTGGACTCCCAGGCAGTGTTCTTAGAGCATTTTGAAGATGTCCAAAACAAAACATACACTGGCACAACTCCCAGTCTCCTACAAAAACTCCTTTTAAGTAGCAGGTTTATCTGGAAGGCTGAAGTTTTAAGCAGTGCTTCTGTTAGGATTTCTAGCTAGTAGAAACATTGACAAGCATGCTCTTGTCCCCAAGGAAGAACAGGACTGTCATCTCAGCTGCTAGGATTAATCTGGAGCTATTACATCAGTACAGTCATGCAGTGTTTTATACCCAGGAGAGCACTTCTGTACTTTAAAATCAGATTTGGAGCCAATCTAAATGATCGTTTCCTTGAAGTTAAAGTATCGCTTTAAAGTAGGCAGAGTCTGAGCACAGCTTTTAGGGTGCTAAAAGTAGTATCACCTAATAGTTCCTGGCTTTTTGAACTTAAAAAAGACTTTCTTGATGCAGAATGCTGTATTTGTTTCACTTTTTTTTTGTGCTAACATCCTTGGAGGATCAGCTCTCTTCAAGTTAATGCTTGCTGTATAGTTTGTTTTCCATACTTCATCTAGTGCATTTTAATCAATGTCCTTAACTGAAAAAGCTTTTACACAAGGGGGAAAAAATAAGTGCTTCCTGTTTCTGTGCTCTGTAATGATCCTGTCACCCAAAAAAGCACTCAGTAGTGCCAGAGATTAAGATATTTTAGTTCTAAAGTGGCAAAATTCAGTTTGCATGTTGATGAAGACATAAGGTGAAAATCAGTGTTCCCAGTGCTGATAGTAGATGGAACTTCATATCTATGCCATAATCCATTGTAGTATTTGTATACAAATTTGAAGCCTTCATGCTTCCAGTTCTATTGAATTTTATAGACTTGGAATTTAAGAAAATTCTTTCTTGTATTGCTCAGGCTATGCAGAAGTCTGACTGTGTGCATGTTTTCACTATAAGGTGTATGTAATTGCCTTACAGACATGTTTTACCATCTGAGTAGTATAAAACAGCTTCATTGTTAATAAGTAAAATGTTCTTATTTTTTAAGGAGTACTGTGTAGTCCCTTTAACCTTCTTACTGACCTGACTATCATCATTAAATATCAATCTCTCTTTAGCCAAAAGGTCAAACAGTGACAGCAGTTGTTGATGCCAAAGTAGTAGAATAAACACAACAATTTTAATAACTGCTTTGCTTCTCCTTAAGCTTGTACAAATGAAATGGAAATGGAAAGTGTTGGAGAGGATATGGCATTTCAGGAACAACCCATTATTGGTGATGGCCCTGATCAGGAATCAGCTGTTGGGTGTGTTACAGAAGGTAAGAAAGAGTTTTGTACTCTGAGAAAATACCAGTTCAGAACCCTTCAAAACCAGAACCTTCCTGCAGTCAATAATGTTTGCAGTGCTTTATAAATGCAAGAGGAAAAAGTACCTAGAAAGCAATAGGAGACACATTGCAATAGTTCTGAGTTCTCAAACAAGAGTATTAACTTCTTTGCTTAATAAAAGAAGTGTTGTATTGAAGGCAAAGAGAGTTCAGAATATTTGTGTTGCTTTATATTTGTTTTTTTACTTTTTTTTGTTGGGACTGGCTTTTTCCAAGCTGGAAAAATAGTTGAATGCTTTGTATGCTGGAAGTTTGTTGTAAGACCCAATGACCTGTTGCTGTTCAAATACTGTCACTCACACTTTCTCTCATGTGCTTTATTGTTGTAACTCCTCAGGGATCCTTCGTTAAGGATTTTCTGGTTTTGTTTTTGTTTTTTGGTTTCTGGGGTTTGTTTTTTGGGGGGGTTTTTGTTTGGGTTTTTTTTTCCCTTTGTAAGTCAAACTTTATCTTCCAGACAAGGTTGCAGCAGCTGTTCATTTATGTTTTGGGGAGAAACTACATCTTATCAAATGCACAGGGAGGGGCAGCTAAGAAGGGTCAAATCCACTAGATGCATTAGTGACCAATATCAAGGGTAAAGAACTTGCCAGGATGTCCCATTCAGTGTCCCATTCAGTCCCAGATGATGTTAGAGGATGTTTGCTGTAAGGGGAGACAAGAAACTTGTATTTAAAAACAAAGTAAAAAAATCCCAACTTTTCAGGTTAGCTGTGATCACCGAGTTGTGCATCCCAGCCTGTGGTAGAAGGGCCATGATCTAAACTGTGAATAAATACTCAGAATGAAATGCTGGCTGTGAACTTAGTGTGGCTGAGGAAGTTGTAGGAGTGTGAGTTTAAGAAGAGTGCAAGTGTAATAGAAAGTAAGTGGCCTGTAAGAGAATTAGGGCCCATCAGAGGAAGGTGTGAGAAGCCAAATTCAGAACAAGGAATGTGATTCTTTATAGAGTGGAACAAAAACTCTGGAACTCCTTGATGAAGAATGTTACGGATGAAAGGTGCTTGATTTGGTTCAAGGGAGGGCTAGATAAATATTTTTGAAAGAAATTCATAATACATTAGTAAATTAAATTAAACCAACAGCAGCTGTTTTCATTTGAGTTGGTTTCCTAAAGTCTGAAAGAGATTTTGAAGGAAAATGTTGTTGTTTGTACTTGTCCTGTTCTTCTTAGCTTTTTGAAAGTGTTGGGACAATAGCTTAAAGTACATAAATTTATGAAAACATACAACTTCAATACACAGAAATGACAAAGAAGAAACTACTTTTGGCTGCCTACCTGGAAATGTGTGTTCAGTTCCTCAAAAATTAATCTTGGGTCTATTTTCATGTAATTTACTCAGCTGCATTTTCAGGGAAGAAAAATAATGAACTAAAAATATAGAGTACTGTAAAAATAGCTACAAAGAAAGGTATTTATGTAGTATATTTTAAGCTGCATATTAAATTCACAGAAGTAAAGTGATATGTACTGGCCTGCATGATGTGTACCAAGTATACTTGTTGACCAGTAGACCTGAAGTTTTTTTTTTCTTTTTCACAGTGAGCCTTTAATATGGTTGTACTTAATTACAGGCATATCACCAGAAGAAAAGCCCACACAACTGGAAGCAGAAGTCTCTGTTGAGATCAATTCAGCTGAAATGGAAATGTCTCCTAAAAAGACATCAGCATCTGGTGACAGTCAGACTGAAAAAATAATGGAAGTGGTAGAAGGTGTTGAAGCTGTAGCACAGCAGGAGTTGGACAAACAAGCTGAAGATGCCCAGCTGCCTCAAGGTACTGTGGAGCTATCAGAAGTGTCCACAGCAGACTCTCGGTCTCTGTCTTCAGTACCTGAGACCATGACTGGGACACCAGAAATGCTGGAGACTGAAAGAAAAGGAGATATTTCTGTCCCCGTAGAACAACAACTGGAAATAATAAAAGTGCAGAAAGACGTAGAAAGGGAAGAAACCCATGAGAAGTCAGAAGCACCAGCACTTCTAGAAGTAGAAACTGCTGCTTCAAATGGAGGTGTTGCAAATAGTTCACCAGTTGGAGACAAACCCATAAAACCACCGACTGAGATTTGTCCCTCACTTCCCCCATCACTTAATCTAAATAAGACAAATGTGTCTTCCTCACCAGACGTTTCTCTAGACTTGCATCCTGCACGAGATGTGCAGCACAGTCAGCCCCCAGTGCTGCCTCCAGCTGCTGGGAGCGCTCTCCCAACCACCTACATATCAGTCACTCCGAAAATTGGCATGGGAAAACCGGCCATCACCAAACGCAAGTTTTCCCCTGGAAGACCCAGATCCAGACAGGTAAGCACATGCACTGTTTCATTATGTGTTTATTAAATTTCAGTATAACTCATCAAATTCACCTATTTCTTATGCATTTATTCTCCTAAGTGAGAGTGTAGTTTATTTCTTCAAGGAATTAATGTTATGGTAAATAATTAAAAAGTCAGCCATCATAAAGCTTCTCTGGGGAGAGTGTAAGTTTCTTTTGGCTCATTGTTAAAGCAAACTAGAAGAAAATTTGTTGTATTTTTCATACAATATGCTACAAATGCAAATAGATGTAATGCTTTGCTGTTTAATGTAACTTTTTATATTTTTTATATATGCATTTATTTTAGCTGGCACTTTCAAAGTGTGTTAAAGCTTCTTAAACTGGCTTTAGAGAAAAAACTTCTACAACTCTGTATCCTGTAGATATAGGAAGTATCACTGTCAGGTATTTTCTTGATCGATGTTTCTAATGGTGTGGTAAATAATTGTGTGGGTTTGTTACATTAGGAAATACCATGCAAGAACTGTCTTGTACAGATCATTGTGGCTTGACTAAGATTAAATTTGATAAGTGAAAAGAATCCTCAACTCTGACACTTTTTGTAACCTCTTTTTCTCTAATAGAGTTGTGTTCCAGGGAAAATGGTTTATCAGTCCAGGGTATTCATTTCTTGTTGGTCAAATTCTATACAAAAAGTATGTCAATGTGACAAGTTAGTGTTTCATCTGCTCATCGTATTTTTAGTCTTTGTGACTTCCAGGTTGATGATTTCATGCTTTTCTGGTGGTGATAACCAAACTTTTTTTTTATATTTTATTTATTTTATATTTATATATTTTTATATATTGCACAATTCTTTCCATTTTTGCATGTTACCTAAGGGTTCAAAAATTTTTGGTTTCTAAGGTATGAGATAATGTTCTGGAAAGTTTTTCTGCTGTTTCCACTGAGTTTAGGAGATTTGTGTTTGTTGTGCTGCAGTTAGGTTTTCCTGGGTCACTGTACAGTCGAGTGTGTATATCATATTTGCAGAGATACATCAATGCCTTAAATAAATTTCCCTTCAGTACTCTGAAGTTCCTCCTCTGGGCTTTTGATGAGGGACTGGAAACTGTTGAATGGTGTTCTGTAGATTATGAAAAAAAAAAGATTTTTAGATGTCCAGTTACAGGCAGGTATTTTCCTTTTGAGAAAGATATAATTGGACAAATCCACAATGTGGAAGGCATGTATTTAAATCACTTTAGATTGCAAACAGAAATAGGTTTAGGTTTATTTTCTGGGAGTTCTAAATTACTCTTTCTGCTGAGAACATTAATTTTTTAAAAGAAATGTGTAGTTTTCCGAGTGGAGAGTTGTGGATAGGAGCAGAAGCTAAATCACAGAATGGGTCAGGTTGGAAGGGAGAACAATGGGCCATCTGGTCTAACCTCCCTGCTCAAGCAGGGTCATCCCAGAGCACATGGCACAGGGTTGCATCCAGACAGTTTGATTTCCTGTTACATGGGGATTCTGTGGGATAGTTTGGAAGGCACGCAGGTAGTTTTTCACCAGGTATAAAACCAGAGAAATAAGACGTGTTGTTTCTTTGTGTCAGTACTGTAGACACTTCAAAATGGATGCTTTCTCCAATTCTGGCTTTTGGAAAGCATTATACAGGACAGGTGCTGTCAGCTGAGAAAAGTGCTCTTTGATGATTTTCCATCATATTTTCCATGTCATTGGAACTCCACAGATCAAGAAGAGACATAAGCAAGTTTATTTTAGAACATTTTAACCTAACACAGTGTTAAAGTTCTTGTCCATCTGGGGGTGATCACATTGATCTGAAAGCAAGTGAAAAATGGGAAAAACAATACTGAAGGAAAAGGTGCTTCTATAAAGTTACAGGTGTAGCTGTTTGGAGCAAACCAGGTCATGTGTGATTTTTCTCTGGGTGGCACTGAAGAGCAGTTGTTTTCTAAAAAGAGGATTAATTTTATGGATTTGGAGTCTGCTTCTTCCTGTTTATAAAACAGCAGATATTGCTGTTGTGTGTCTCTGTGTCAGGTGTGAGGTTATGCCATACAAGTGTTACCTGGCAGCTGCAGGAGTTCTTGGCTGCCTGTCGTAGAGAGGAGGACAGAAAGTTACACAAATTGGGTGGGTTTTGCTGATGAAAGAGATTGTGGCTCCTGTGCCTGGTGAAGTTAACATTGGGTTCACCCCTGCTTTCTTCTGTTGTGCAAAGAAATTTCCATTGCAGAACTTGTTTCTTGTCCAGGACTGCTTAGGTTTAAAATAGCTCCTTCATGAAGTCTGGTCACTCTGTTAACCCCAAAGACAAGCCAATGTAATTTCACAAATAGTAGTATTTTGCACTTTCTCCTAGAAGTTTGAAAGCTTCTAATATGCAGTTGGAATGTCCTTTTCCTTACTTCATTATTCCTTGTCCTTATTGCATTAAAAATGTAATTATATATCCATTGCAATGGGTTTATGGAACTTCCTATAAAGAAGAATAAGAAAAGAATTTCTCTGGATCCTGGCTATATTTCTCCTGAATTTTATAAGACACATGCTTCACTGGAGTCAGCGGAATCCATGTAGAAGGATAGTTTCTGATTTGAATTCGTTCTCACTAAATTAATGTCTTGTGCTGGACAGTAGGATGAATTATCAGCCCTTTCTTCAGAATCTGTTAATACAATTGCTAATAAAATTTATTTGATTAATTATTCTGGTTTGCCACTGAGTACAAAGTTCTGCATAATCTGAAGTAATTTCCTATTCTAGTGATGTATCTGCAACACCACATTGCTTCTGTTTGGAAAGGACTAAAACCCATCTCAAAAATGAAGACAATATTCTGCTTAAAAAAACTTCATGAACCCCTTCCAGGGCTGCAGTCAGTGTCACTGATGGCAGCATTTCTCTGCTGCCTGGCATTTTTGCAGGCATCCCAACTTTGCTTAGAAGCAACAGGAGAAAATTCAGCCTCTGACCAAGAGGGGGGATGTGTAAAAATCAAAGTGTAGGTACAGTTAGGAACTGTATGAATTGGCTGTGGCTGGTACAGATTTACTCGGCTTTGGGGAACGTGTCAGCCCATGTCAGTAAGGTGCCCTTCTATTGAGAGTGTTTTTTAGGACAGCATGTTATCCATACCCTCAGCTACACAAAAGCTGCATTCTGCCCTGTGGGAGGACCCTCTACCTGCCAGGCTCAGCATCTCACTGGGTTTTGTTCCAAGGACTGTCTGTTATTCCTGTTCGCCTATTCCATAGTGCAGCCAAATTAATTTTTACATGTATATGAAATTTGAGTGTTCATAGATCACAGATACCCTGAGCTGTCAGCATGATCAGGTTTTTATAGTGCTGTCCTTAGAGTTGTGTCTGTCCAGTTTCTTCTCCATGGAATATAGAGATAAACTACTCTTGCCTATAAACTACAAATTTATGTCAGGGGCAGGACCCCACTTTGATAATTTTCAAATTTATTTTCTGAAGCAGCAGTCATAGTAGAAATTATTATCTAAGTTTATTAATGACTAATCTGACATAGATCCAGTTTGAAATTAATCTTTGCAAGGAAAATGACTATTTTCTGTGGAGGTCTGTATTAAATGTTGTATTTGTTCTGTGTATCTGAATTGAACAGATTTGAAATAGTTATTTTTGCTATAGCACTGTGTACTGGAAAGTATAAGATTAAGTCAGTAAATAGAAGGCATTACAAATTTTGGCACTGAAACACTGGTAGGTGAAAAGTTGAGATCATTCTGTAGAATCATTTTGAATAAAAAACAATAGACTTCTGCTGGGTTTGTAAATTCCATAAATACTATTATAGTTTTATTCCAGAGTGTTTTCCTTGAGAAATACCGTGTTCAGAGGTATTTAATATTCATCACTAAGATGCTGGTGATTGCTATTATGCAACACACTGACTATCTGTTGGTGTTTCAAGAGTTTTTTTAAATGAGACCAAAAAAGACAGAGTGCTGTGGTGGGTTTGTGTGCTGTCTTGGATGGTATGGCTTTTTTGCTGTCTTCACTTACATGGTATCACTAAGTATGTTGTTGGAAAAAAAGATCAAAAACCAGTCTTTTCCAAGGATCAGTTTCTGGTATGGTTCTTATGTTTGGTGCTTGGTTGGTTTTTTTGGGTTTTTTTTAATGAGGAGAACTGTATTTTCAAGTGATTAAAGTTTGTTCATAACCCTAAAATTACATTAAATATTAAATTGCAAATCGAGCTTTGTGCATTTGCAATTGCAGTAGATTCATAAAGCGTTAAGCAGCTAAACACAGTCAGTGGTAATTTAGTGAGATCTCCTGACCCTTGCTGACACTGGGTTTCCTTTTGTTATAATTTACTTGCAGCTGTGTTGTTCAATTTTGAGGACTCAAGAATATGATTGAGAATTAGAACTTCCTGTTTCTGTCACAGTACATAATTATTGCTGGGGTTCTGATGTAAATGAACTGAATAGAACTTTCTCTGCAGTGTTGTGTGGTAATAGGCATTAATTAAAAGCCAAAATATAATTAATGCATCTCTTTGATGTAATTCATTTGTTCGTGGTATTGTGGAAATGTGTTTTTAATTAAGTTTATCTGACCAAGAATTCAAATTTTTCTGATCTACAATAAAACTTGGATTAAATTTCCAATTTAATTCTTAACAATATGGTTCATGAATCATATACAAATCATTTTGTTTTCCAAGACTGAATATTTCGTATTCATATTTAGTGTTCTTTTAGCTTTTTAATCTTTTGAATATATTTAATCACTAGAAAAGTTATCTTCTTAAAAGAATAATTTTGTACCTCCAGACTAAGAGTAGGTAATTTTAGTTGTTGATTAAGTATTTTCAGCATGTTTAAGATCTTGAATTTTGACACTGTCAGCATGTTGCCTCCTTTATAGATTGATGTAAAGATTGCTTCTTTGACAAATAGATTTTCTTTGTGCTGCTGTACAGATTTTCTTTGAGTTGCCATTTTATAAGAACAGTTAACCTACCATGCATTATGAATTTTAGAAGTAATGGGGAAACTAATTAAAATTCAATGGAAGTTTGAATTTCACCTGCTAAAATTGACTGTTACTTGACAGTAAAACTATGTCTGGAATAGTTAAGGCAGATCTCCTGTGCCACAGACCTGCTGTTTACTAGCCTACCAGGATATCAAATTTCCCTTTTTCCCCCCCATTTTTAACATGATGTCCCTGTTTTGTCACGATGTTCCATCCTTGTGCCCTGGGTGTGAACAGGGACTCGTCCATCTCTAGGTCTGAAGGTGCAGAAGGTTTCTGCCCAGCACTGTTCTCCTGTTCGAGGATGATGAAAACCTCTTGATCTCCTGACTGGTCTGCATGATGACCAGCTATCTGAAGTCAAGGAGAAAACTGAGATAGTAAAATCTTCCAATCCAGAGTGTTTCTGTGAGCACACTGACTGGAACCCTCGAGCAGCTGCTGTCGGGAGCTGTTCTTCTGGAGTGGCTTTTGGGAGCCCCTTGGCAGAGGGGAGGCGTTGATGGCCATCCCAAGCACACAGGTGCTCTGGGCAATAAGCAGTTTGTAGGTTGTGTGGGCAGAACAGTCAAGTCGTAACTTTTATAAATGTTATGTTGTCCATATTCCTTTTCCTGTGCATGTAAAGCTGAACTCCCAAAAAGCAGATTTATGCTGAATACCACTGTGTCCACACTCTGGGTTGTACCAAGTGCTGGTGTTTTTCCCATGTGACTTTTATCCATAATTAGGCTTTTAGGTCACTGATGAGGGATAGCCCTATTTTCAGTCAGTGCAGCTGTTAGCAAGACACCTCTTTGCAGTCCAAGATGAATTGAATATATGTTTTGATGAAGTTGTTGATTCCAAAGAAACTTTCTTCACACGAGTTCTTGATGGAAAAATTGCACTTCAGAAAAAAAAAACCAACAAACCCCACACATTTTGCAAAGCCATCTCATTTTCCTTAATGCTTATTATCATTATTGTACATCCCAGTAGTCAAAGGTGTAAATGTGTTTGGGCTTGCCCTTGTGAGAAGTTGTGAATAGTTGGGATTGTTTGTATGCATGAGGTTATTCCATATCAGCCCTGGGATTGTGCTGCTGAATGGCATTCTGGGGAAGGTAAACCTACACTTCTCATCAGTTCCACTTCTCATCCTGGTATTCAGTATTTTTTACTCTCACAAATTCAGAATCGGGAAAATGTACTGTCCTTTATTAATCTAATGTGTAAATTGGCAGTCAAGTTATTTATGATGTCTGTCTCCCACAGTCTTTCTTCTGTGCTTGAGAAAGTCTTCCACAGGTTTTACTTATTTACTTACTTAGTATGAGGAGCCTCAGTATTTTTTTCCTTGTTTGTCTTAGTATTTTCTTCTTGTTTTGCTTTATTTCTAGCGACAGTCATACAATATCTCACCATGATGGAACTACATAAATAGGGATAATAATTAACTAAAAAGAGCTTGTAGGTACACATATGGTGTATATTATTACATATACATAATAGCATGTTAAAATGTGATACCACAGCATAACATGAAAATGCTGGGGTGAAAGAAAACCAGTGGTAGGGTTTTATAATGGTTTATTTATGGTAGACTTGCAGGAATGAGCTGCTTTGTTGATTACCATGGCTATTTTCCTTTCCTTTTGTCCATTGGTTTATTCATATTCCTCTTGTTTGCTGTGATTCTCAGACTAGTTGTTGCTGTGATTGGGGGTAGTTTAGCTTCAAAAGTCAACTGAGGCCATCAGTTCTTCCAAACTCTGATTTGGAATATAAAAGGGGATGTTGCCACCTCCAACCACTGTCGTCTTCACTGATGCAATAAAAATTAAACATGTAATTTGCTGTTGTTGTGATTGCTTGCTTTAGATTTGTATTAAGCTTTCTTTATAAAACTCATTTTGTTGCACTTAACCATCAGTTGGAAGTAACCATTAATTTTAGGGTGTGTTTCAATGAGAAACTAAAAATTTCCCGCTTTCTACTCACTCAGTGAACTAATTGACTACTTAAGTTAATGTAGTAATGCCTATGCCTGCATGTGCTTTGCTTTTCAGATTTTTTTTTTTGTTGCTTGCTTTTTGCTTTTGTTTTGTTTTTTTTTTCCTTTTTTTTTTTTCTTTTTTTTTTTTTTTATGTTGCAAAGTTTTATACATCTATTTTCTCACCTACCGTATCCTAGGGGGCTTGGAGTACCAATAATACAGTCAGCCCACCTTCCTGGTCCCCAGACATTTCAGAAGGTCGGGACATTTTTAAATCCAGACAGCTTCCTGGCAGTGCCATTTGGAGCATCAAAGTGGTAAATAACTTGAATTTATTTTCATGTATCCATTGCTATCTTTCTGCTGTAGAGATTAGTGATGAAATTCTGTATCTCACACCTTAATTAATCTTCCATTCTGTTACTGTTCAAGGCCTCTAAAAATTATTGAAACTCTGGAGCTTTCAGGCTAAAAGATGTGAGCTCTCCAGAGTGTACAGTATGATGGCATTGCCTTGATTTTCAGTGGCAAAGAATACTTCGTATTACCCAAATTTTGTGTGTGTTAAGTATATCATTTTTTATGGTTGGCTGTCAAAATAAATTACCTGAGAAGGAAAATGTCCTCAAGACTGGCAGTAAGGTAAGCCAGGCATGGAAAGGAGCAGAGATCTGAATGATGGCTTGAATTCATTGCTGTGGAGAAATCTTGCAGAGTGGATTCAAAGTGACATAATTTTTAGCTGATGGGAGAATAAAAAACAACTTTCCTACCTGATTAGATGGACTAAAACTTATATCCACGGTGACATTTACCATGAAGTAACTAAAGTAGAATTATTTGGTTTAAGTAAATTTAAAAGAAAAAGCTAAATTATGAAACTGACAAATAGCTGTAGCTTCCCAATGATTTAAGTTCATCTCACTTTAACTCTCATTCTAATTTTATTTTAATTTGACATCAGCTTAGCTTTTGCTGCTTTAAGCATTAATTTTCAGCTTAATATTCAGCATTAACATTGATACAAGTGTGTGCTTATTCCTGTTACTAGTTGTGTGAAAATAACAATACTGACACCTGTTCTGAAACAGAAAATAAGAAACTTGTCAGAAGAGTTTTCACATTAAAAAATTGATGATTGTTTGTCCTGTATGTGCATATGTATTAGCTCCATAGATACCTAAGGACATTTTTTTGTTTCACCTCAGCCTCCAGCAACATCATTCCTTTCACTCAAGTATCATTGTATTACATTAGCGTGGTGTGTGAGTCAATTTAATTTCTCTTTCCTTTATTATATGGGTGTTAATACAATTTTAACATTGGGATCCTTCAGTTCTCCCTTCAGTTATGACCATAAAGTTCTTTATGTTCTTTAAAGCAGGAGTTGGAATATTTGAGAAATACTGTAAGGGAATATTGAGCCCACAGTGCTTATTTCCATCCAAGGAACTCCTGTCTCCATCAGGAAAGACCCTTCATGTCTGGTGGTGACACGGTCCCCACAGAGCTTTGTTGCTTCCATCAACAATGTTTTACAGAGCAAATGTTCTGCTGTGGTATTAGAAGTATTTTGCAGCAAATGTTTGGATACCCCATACTCTGTACTCCACACTTGGGCTGTATTAGGAGCTGAGATTATTGACAAATATAAAATACAATAAATAATGTCAGTGCTTACTTTGTAGTAGGAAAGGTGCTTATTTGAGTACATGCCATAATTATCAGTTACACAGATTAGAGGCTCTGAGACACACTGTAAATATGTCTTAGAGATCAGCCAGAACTGGGGGATGTGATTTTTCTCTCTGGAAATGATTAGGGGGGGATTAGGAATCCTCTTGTGCTTAGTTAATTCAGAAATTAAAAAAAACCTCAAACCAAAAAACCCCAAAATTCCAAACTTAAGTCACTATATGAATAACAGGTAATAGTAAAATCATACTTGCTCTCCCAAAGATAATTGTAGTTGAACACACTGAATGCTCCAAAGCACAACACTGCAGCTCTGCATCTGCATGTTAAATAGGGAAGGGAGAAAAGAAGCTGTCTGTATATAAGTGAAGATTGTATAAAAAAAACTTCACAGTATGGGGAATGTTGATCTGAGTGTAACTGATAGAATTAATATAAAAAACTCTCTCTGTATATGCTGAATTAAGAGAGTTCCATGGAGCCAGCTCTCACTTTGTTTTGTGAGTGGGACTCAATCCTAATAAATTCCAGGTTTCACTCGATTTATTCATAGTGTAAGAAAAGTATCTATGATTAGCAGTAATCAAGTGTCCAGACCCTGGGCAAGAAGTCCCATGACTGTCTGGGCTGACTGTTCAAAGAGAAAAGAAAAATGAATCATAGAATAAAAGATATATTTTGGAAACTTTGCAACTGAGGTGGAGGGGAAATGGTGGGGGAAATGCATATTTCCATTTACTCCTGAGCAGAAAATAAACATTGCTGGTTTGGCTGCTTTCTCATTGATGATAAAGATGAGCATATTACACCATGTAAGTAATTAAAGTTTATTTCACACAAATTTATGCAGAGGTTTAATGACCATGCCCTGGTGTGCACATACTCGCCTGAAATCACAGTTTGTTTTTTTTTTTACTTATGTTTTTCCCTAGATGAACTGAACAAGTTTGAATCCCATGTAACAAAAGAACTTGAGGTTGCATTTACATTGTTACCTTACATTGAATAGGGCCGAGGATCAGGATTCCCAGGGAAGCGGAGACCGAGAGGAGCTGGTCTCTCAGGAAGAGGTGGCAGAGGAAGATCAAAACTGAAGAATGGAGTGGGGGCTGTGGTCATTCCAGGGGTAAGGACATCTTTTTTGAAGTCGTATTGCAGTCTGTTAATGTAACAGTTTTATTCAGCTATAATTTTTGTATTAAAATACTGTATAAAAAACCCAACAAACTCTGCAGAGCCAGGGGTGTTTGATGAAGCCTGGCTGTTACTGCTTGTGATGAAGAACTAGAACACTACAGCTCAGTGGGCTTGAGGCAATTCTGTGCTGCTCTTGCCATTTAAAGTCAAAACAGTTGGGAGTTTTAAAGTTCCATTTCCTCATGTGCAGAACGTGCTTGGGTAAAGGCAGCAGTGACTGGAACAACCCAGAAGGAGAGAGCAGGGTTTGTGCTTGAGAGTGTAACAGCAGCCATAGGAGACCAGAGCAAAGGTTCTTCTAGACTGAGTGGTGGTGCAGGAGTGCAGAACAGAAGAGGAGGAGACATTTCAGCACTTTGTGGGTTGAGGACTTGCTGAACAAGATGTGATGTCTTTGTCTTGGGCAGCCTGTGTTGGAGCTTCCTTCATAAATCTGCCCATTCACTTGAAAAAAACTTTAGGAAAACCATGTTAACCTTTTTCAGTTCTTCAGCTCCACAGCTTATGTTTTAAGTGGCTGCCTCCTGGATGAGCTGCCTGCTTCTCAGTGCTCTTAGAGAAGAGACAGTGGAAAGCTGGTTTCTATTCACTTCATCCATGCCACTCAGTTTCTGTAGACCTCCATCATTTCTTCTCTTCTTTCCACTCTTGACTTGCAAGTATGGAGAATGCCATTATTTTGAGCTGTTCCTTGTATGGAAACTACTCCATATTTCCCATCATCAATGCCAATTCTTTTGTCGTGTTAATTTCCTTACTGTGTGGACCTTCATCTGCCATTTTATAGCCCAGCACTCAGCTTTATGAAGTTCTTGTGCAGTTCTTCACACTTGTCTTTTGGATTTTATTACTCTGAATATCCCAATCCTGTTGGCAAGCTTTGTCACCTTGCGTCACACTTGATTTTTCAGATTGCACACAAGTGCATTGAGTAACACCACCTGTTAGCAGGCAGGCCCTGTCAGATTTTGACTAGTGCTATTCTCCCACATACAAAACTGATAATTTATTCCCCACTTTATTTTGTGTATTTATCAGTATAGGGACCATTCCTCTTCAGTTTAACTTTTTTTAAGTAGCTTTGGAGAAGGACTTTGCCAAAAAATTTGATAGTGAAGTAAGTCGCATCAATCAGATTTCTCTGTCCCCAGAATTGCTGAGTCCTTCAGAGAGCCCTTACAGATCATGATTAAATAACTAAAGCTTCCTTGACTCTTTAATGAATTAATGTAACTCTCAGTGTCTCTCAGTTCTTTGTTGTGATCATATGTCTACTGTTCTGTACACAGCTTCTGTCCAGAAAGCTTTGAGAAAATGATGATTACATTTGCCGTCTCCTATTCTTCAGAAGCAGTGAAGTGATTGTAAGCAGGTGATTGCTCACTGCAGTTGATAGTTAAGCTACTTAATGCTTGAAGTGTTTCTGGAACTTAAAAATCCTACACAGTCCTAGTCTGCTCCTCATAAGAAGAAGGATTCTGGTATGAAAAACTCAGAAATCTGGACTGTAAAACAATTTTTTCTTCCCCACTGTGGGCTTGTTCTATATGAAAGTTTCTTTTAAACTTCGATTACCAACTAGCGCTGCCTGTTTTGTGAGACATCCTGTTCCTTATGTTTGGAGAGGGACTTGTTCATTTTATGTCTTTGTGAAGTAATTCCTGACACTCTCTGTTGAGTTGTGTTTTTGTGTTCTTGTGTGTAATCTGTTTGAGTTTGTCACACTTTCTGTTGCATGTGTAATGATACCTTGGAATACTCAGGTGTTTATGATTTTAAGAAGGAACAATCAACACTGTCACTTTTCCCTTTTAAAGCATTGGATGGTCAAGATTCATAAGCAAATTTGTAATTTTAAATGTACAGGATGAGTTCCACTTAGGCTATTTATAGCACCTTAATGAATTGGAGGCACTCACATCATTATTTTGGTGTTACAAAGCACAAATCTGTACTTCAGGAGAAGCTGGGATTTATAGATCAAACTTCTAAAAGTTTTTATACTTGAACTAAGGTGAGTGATTTAGGTAACTTTGCTATAAATACAAAATGGACATCACTCTCCACAATTTCCTACAGGAATTTGATCCTTTGAGTCATCATGCAGATGGCAGCTCCAGAGTTCCAGAGATGCGGTTGCCTTGTGATTGAGTAGATGAAATTAGCAATACCATGAGATCAGCCTTTTTCCAGATAAATATTTGAAATGGGAGTATTTTCATTCAATTTGCACAAGATAATTCTTAGTCAGCATAGGATCAGTGGATAGCCACACAGATTTGGAAGTACCTTGGTATATCCTGGGAATGGGGAAAAAGGTGGTTACAGGGTAACCCATAGTGGGTCAGTTCTGGGGTTCAGCAAACACCAAGATTGCTGTCATTCAGCCCTTCAAATTCTGCTCTTTTGAATGTGCAATTACAAAAATTTTGTGAAACCTGTGGAAAAGTAGGTAAGGAAGTACTGTCCCTGATGGTATCAAGGTATTTCAAGTGCTTTGGAGTTAACTGGTTAGTTACAGCTGCAGTGCTCTCAAATATTTGGTAATCAAAGCACATAAAGAATGTATTCCCTTTTTAGCTGTTTCTTAGTAAATGCTGAGTTTCAGCAATTGTGTATCAGAAGGATTTCTCTAGCTGATGTAATGATATTTACATTTGTCCCTAGAGTTATGTTTGGATTTGTGAAATACTTAAATTATTACTCAAACAAAACTTACCTGTGTAGGACTTACACTGTATTTAAAATAATCCACATATATATAATTGGAACAACTGGTAAAACAAAGTTACATTTCTCTATCATGCATTTGATCTTTTATATGGAACTGTGTGCCCTTGTATTCCTGATTCAGAGATAACAGTTGGGCCTATTAGTTTAAATTCATGGACAGCAACTTCTCTATTGCAAGATTCACATGAAAATCAGAACACAGTTGAAGTCTCTCATTCTTTATTCTCTTCCTGAGAAGCTGTACATTAATGTGGTGGATTAGTAAGGGTAATTTATCAGAATAAAATTTGTAAGTAATTTATCAGAATAAAAATCCCTTGATGAAAAAGAAAAGTTGCTGTCTATAGTAAGAACTGATGGAAGGAGATAAAAACAGATGTTTCAAGTTCAATGCAAGTTTTTATGGTAAAGATAGATAATGCTCATAAACTGCTTGCAGCAAGTAACTTTTGAACACTTATTTATTCCTCTAATATACTTGGAGCATTAGGGAAACCACATTTTAGGCAATATGGGACAAAATATGCAGTTGCTCTTTGAATTAATACTCAGAAGTCTGTTACTGCAATTAACTTTTTGATAAAAAGAACTTCAGTGTTTACGTGCAGGGAACAGAGCAGTCTGGGCACAGTATGACAATTTCTGCTTAGTGATTTTTTTCTTAGACTATGTCTTTCCTTCCAGTTCCATTTGGAAGTGTAATGGGATAATATGTGTAGGTGAAAAAAGCAGAGGAAGAGAATATGTTTGTAAAGCTATAATACTGATGATGAGAAAATGTGGATTAAGGCAGTAATTTCTGATGGAGGTAGCTTTTTATGAAAGTTTAAACTATATGAATAAATATTCACAGAACTCTTATTTAGAGAATGTTTCATATTGTCTCATGTCTTAGAAAATGTGATGTGCTTGCTATTTATATTTTGTGGTTTTTTAATAGGTCACAACCATGGATATTTCATCTAATAAAGATGAAGAAGAAAACTCGATGCATAACACAGTTGTCCTCTTCTCTAACAGTGACAAGTTCACTCTCCATCAGGTTAGGAGAATAGTTCCGATTTTTCATTTTGTTTCCCTGCTCTTAATTAGAAAAACGTGAATGAATGCCCTTGTTGGTAGTTAAATGATACAGCATGCTAGTTGGATTTTATAGTTACATGTTTTCAGAATGTAGTGTCTGGCAGGTGTTGAGAGTCTGCTCTTGTGTGTCATTGCAGGATATGTGTGTGGTTTGTGGGAGTTTTGGCCAAGGTGCTGAGGGCCGGTTGCTGGCCTGTTCCCAGTGTGGGCAGTGTTACCATCCATACTGTGTCAGTATTAAGGTGAGTGCTGTTGTTAAACACAAAAATCACTTGATTACACTGTTTTCATATTGTACTTTAATAGCACTATGCTGCCTTTGGTTTTGTGGTAATTAGGGGAGTCATTAACTTGTTAGATATTCATCAGCTAATGTGACCATTATTTGTATGTGACTTGTGAAAGACTTTAATTAAATGTCATTTTATAGTATGCATAGCCTCAAGAGAAATTAACCTTTTTGTAATTTCACAACCATAAATAGCGCTGATTATCCAGCAGTTGGTTAAAATAACAGTTAGAGATAGAAGCTTTAAAACTAGATACAAGCAGAATTAAAAACAAAGAAAAAAATTATACTGCATCTTCATTTACTTGGGGCATAAGGTTTAGTTGATTCAATTTGCCTGTTGGCTGTCAGAATTGACAGCAGTTGGAGTGGTTAATTAATACATTTTACATTCATTAGTCTAGGAGAGAATGTGTGAAAATTAAATTTGAATGCTGTGAAATGACCTAGCAAGCACAAAATAAGCTATTTACTGCAGTATATACACTATACACTTTTCATTGGTTGTGATGTAAGTATATCTGTGCAAAAGTGGGATTTTTTTTTAAACATGTCAAAAAACTTTATTTTGCACATACTTCACAAAATGCCATATGTGTATTTCATGCAATTATAATTTGACTTTTTGTTTATATACTACTCTTGCATTATATATCAATTGCAGTAAGTTAGCTGTTTGCTTCAGTTGACTAAAACTTCAGCACCATGATCACATCATGACATGAGAGGATCAGGTTTGTGATCTCTTGAGGAACCAGAATGTACACAAGTCTCTGGGACTTGACAAGATGCATCCCAGAGTCCTGAGGGAATTGGCTGATGCAGCTGCCATGCCACTGTCCATGATATTTGAAAAGTCCTGGCAGTCAGGTGAAGTCCCAGGTGACTTAAAAAGGGAAACATTGCACCTGTTTTTAAAAGTAGAAAGGAGAACAGTTTCTTTCTGTTTAATCCATTCCTATTCGTTGAAGCTTCAAAAAGTCTGATTGATAAAGAGCTCCTTGAGATGTGGGTGGTGTGCCCAGAAGAGCATCCTGAGGTCCACAAGCCAGACCTTAATTCATACATTGATCACACTTCACTGAACCATTTTCAACTAATTCTCACCTTGTGTTTTTCAGATTACTAAAGTGGTACTTAGCAAAGGTTGGAGGTGCCTGGAGTGCACAGTGTGTGAAGCCTGTGGGAAAGCCACAGATCCAGGGAGACTCCTCCTGTGTGATGACTGCGACATCAGCTACCACACCTACTGCCTGGATCCACCCCTGCAGACTGTGCCAAAGGGAGGCTGGAAGTGCAAATGGTGTGTTTGGGCCTGGGGTCAGAGATGCTGACTGCTGGCCTCTTCTGCTTCTCTCTGTCACTTGGTATTTGTAATGTCAGTTGATTTGTAACAAGGTTTTAATTGCGTCTAAGTCAGGTGTATTAAACAAAGCCAACAAAATGCCTTTAAGTTGTTTTATTCAATTATCAGTCTATAAGGAAAACTCTTACCTTCTCTTAGAACTGCTTCTCATACCAAAACCCACATAAGTAGAGATAGAAAAAATTTCTCTTTTGAAACTCATAGCAAGAAAAAATTTCAAATTTACATTCATTGCATTAATTCCAGTGTTCAGCTGGAAAAATAAATGTGTGTTTCACCCAAGTGTATTAGAAATAAAACCCTGTGAAAACCATTTGTTTTACTCGGGTGAAACACAAACAGACCAGACCTCTCACATGGTTAAGTCTCCGGATCTCAAAGTGAATGGCAACTGGAAGCAGGAACTCCTTTGATCTGTTGAGCTGTTACAAGAACCCATCTGCCTGCTTTTGCAGTTTCAAGGGAATTATTAATTAGGAACTTTCTTTACAAAGTACAAAAAATGTTGTTAAACATTTGTGGTTAAACATGTTGTTAAGTTAAAACTTAATTATTCACCTCATTCTAAGTGGAAGAGATTTAAAGCCACAAAATGATCTTCCTGTGAACTGACAATAATAGATCTCTTTGTCTGTTCTGCAGGTGTGTTTGGTGCAGACACTGTGGAGCAACTTCTCCAGGTTTAAGATGTGAATGGCAAAATAATTACACACAGTGTGCTCCCTGTGCAAGTTTGTCTACCTGCCCAATCTGCTACCGCATGTACAGGGATGAGGAGCTTATAATTCAGTGTAGACAGTGTGATCGGTAAGGATTTCTAATATTTCACATGTTTTTCCTGTTCAAATCTTATTTTAATTTTTTGTCCCCTAAAGTAAAAGTGTAGAGATGAAGGAAATGGTCATGTGGTAAAGAACACTGGATTACTGAGTCTCAGAAGTCTCTTAGTAGTTTATTCTTGGTTGTACCACAGATTTAACTGTCTGACTCTGGGCAAATTAATTAATCACTCTCGGCTTCTTCCCCCCTGCCCTGTAAAAACAAAACTAATTTACCTCACAAGACTGTTGTTGTGAGGCTGAATCTAGATTACATTGTATAAAGTAATTAAAATTATTGCAATGTAGGGAGAAAATTATCATACAAAAATATACTTGGGAGATTGTTTTATAGAGGGTTCCTTCCTGTGGAGGGAAATAGTTGATGTGCTGCTCCATATACAGGGTGTAACACACACCACTGTAGGGGATGCTGTATATGGAAAACCTGATTCTGTGGTTTCTCCCTAAAAGAATTCAAACTGAACAACTATTTCCCATTTACTTGGACCATAGACTGATACTTGGGTCTCCTAAAACACCATCTATTTCCTTTAAATTGTATTTTTTCCCCCACTTAATTTCTAGATGGATGCATGCAATCTGTCAGAACTTAAACACAGAGGAGGAAGTGGAAAACATAGCTGATATGGGTTTTGACTGTACCATTTGTAGGCCATACATTCCACCAACGAACGGTAAGAAGACGATCGAAACCAATGGCAGGATTGCACACTGCAATAAATAGGTTTGGGAATGTGTTCTGTGCTCTGATGGAGGTTTGGCTTGTGGTAGAAGTAAGATTTTTTTCGTGTTCTTTTTAAGGGCTCTTGTGGAAGTGTCATAGGCTCTTTTCACACCCTCAAGTGCTTTAGGCCAGAGGAAACCTCATGGGAGATCTGCACAGAGGTATTGAAGATAGGGATAAACTGCTAGGAGCCTTTGGGAGTGAAGGGCTCAAAGGCATCTCACTTTGTCAAGTGGAAGGAAGATAGCCCAGTTCTCTAAAGTTACATCTGCAGCAGAATCTGAAAACTATTTCTAAGCACAAAAACTTTGTGTATTTTGATGCTTTGAGGCTGTCTGACGCAGCAGTAGCTGTAACGGCAGTCTGTGGAAGCACTTTTCCCCTCCTCCCTCATGTTTTCTTCATGCCTTTTCCTCAACTCTCCCGGTATTCAAGACAAATGCTTCCTTCCCTAGCTGCAGTCTTGAGAAGAATTGGCCATACTTTTTTGTCTGGGAGTTACCACTTCCTTATTAACTAAAATGTGTAATTCCTTCTGATGAACTTTGCACTTCTCTGGGCATGGACACTGACAGCCTTGTTGGTCTGTACCACGGTTGTGTGGCAGTGGCACTTGAGGAGCTGAGGTTACTGCAGTTGAGGGACATTTGTGGCATCTGGTTCTGGGTATCTGGGATGGTGCTGGCTAATGCTCTGTGAGTGGCCTGTCAGCAGTTAGGTTAGCCTGTGACATGATTTATAGTCTTATATTTAATCTTGCTGCAAGGGTGATAGCCCAGGTCTGTTTTCCCTGCATGTCAGCTCTGGGAAGTTGCTGTTTCAGTTGGTTCCTTTAACATTGACACGTCTTCCCATTTTAGCATAAGCACATGAAAGTGTTCATATTACCCCTTCATTGGGGTATCACAAGAGAACAGTAAGAGGAAGGTACAAGAAGTAAGCAAATAATTCAAGAAAATTTGTATCCACCAAGAAGTTGTCAGTGAGATTGGTTTTACTGGTCAGGATCGAAGATGTGAGGCATAGGCTTGAGAGGTCTGCCAAGAAAAGTTCAATGGAGCATTTAATGTGCCTTAACATTGGCATGTCCTCATCACAGCAGTAATTGTAACTTACTGGCCTGACCTTGGAGTTTTATATACTCCTTGCTGGAACACTTCCAAGTAACCCATTTTTATCACAAATAGAAGAATGAGTAATGCTTCTGTATTTTTGCAAGTCACTTCATTGTAAAGATCTGCTTTCAAAAATTCAAAAGGAAAGAGGTTTTTTAGGTGGAAAAAGCAAGAACTTGCAGATATAATGCAGACTTTTGTTTATTTTTATAATAAGCTTTGAGTACTTAGAGCAAAAAGTTCCAAGTAAGAAATACTTCTTTTCTCTTTGGAGCTGGTAGAACTACCTTTTAGAGATAATTAAAGCCCATGATACGTGAGATGGGACAGTTTCACAAGAGGTATTTCACTTCCAGGCAGAAGCTGGCCCCTGAATTAGTCCTTCCTGCACATCTCTGTGAAGTTGTGCTGCTTAGGTTTGGGTTCCAAGGAATTGGAACCAATCTCTTGGGAGTTCCAAGTTTTCTTTGCAGGTTTTTTTTTTCACCTTTCTTATAAGAGAATTTTATCTGCTTACTCTTTCCTGTTTTGACTGAGTATTAAGACCTCTCTAACACATGTACATTTGCACAGTTGCATGTCTGAATAAGTCCTTTGATGCATGTTCATAGAAATACCTGCATGTATTTTTATATGAAATGTTTCGGTCTTTCATGAATTTTTCTAAAACTCTTCTGAAAATTTTCTGTAATTTTTTGTTTCAAAGTGAGAAGAATTAGCATTTGATAAACTTAGAGAAATAAATGTAGTTAGCAGTAGAAAGGTTCTAAAAATGTATCATATTGTGGGATTCTTACTGGGATGGTTCTTGCCCTTTCCATTTCATGTATCATAGATACGTTACAAATATTATTACAGGGCTTTTAACTACTTTATTTTTAGAAGAAACAAGAGCCCCTCAACCTAATAAATAAACAAAACATTGCAGGTGTACCCTTGGTGAAGAGCAAATGGTTCAAGTGTGTAGATACTGAGAAGGAGCTTTCATTTTTCTTTCTTCAGAAAGTGGAAACTTCTTTAAATTTGCAAGAGCTCTTCCCTGTCTCACCATACCTGATATTCTTAAAAAGTTGTCTTCTTCAGGAAACAGAAATAAAAGATAGTGTTTTTCTTCTTGAGCATACATAAATATCGAAAGCCAGAATGGTGTAAGATTTGCTCCAGCATAGCTTTTTCAGGTTCCTTTTAGTACTATTTCAGGTTATAAGAAATGTTCCCCAGCATATTGCTGTGTCCTTTTGAGAAATTTATAAATTCTCATGACTAGATGCTAGCTAGGTGCATTAAGTAGCAGCAGCTTTTCCCCTGTGCTGTAATTCCTGCATGTTTGGGAGGGGTGTGTGTGTGTCTCTCATCCACATCCACTCCTGGACAAGCAGTTTTTGGCCATCTACTCATCAGTTCTGCCATATGTCATATACCCCATCTGCAAATTTCATCCACTCCCATCCTATCTTCATCCAGACTCAGCTTCCTCCTCCCTTGGTGCTGTTTTTGTTTCTCTGCAGGATGCAGAAGGACCAGCTCTGCCTGGTTTTCTGTAACCAGTTAGAACTGATTTGATTGCGGTTTCTGAAGCTGCCTGTGTGCACTTACACCTCCTGGGGCTCAAGTAAAACATACTTGGGGAGGCAGTGAGGATTTGGTATCACTTACCCCTTCCAGGGGTTCCTGATACAGCCAGTGAGACACATTACAGCTGGCAGTCTCTGTTGTATCATTTTCATTAAACTGATTTAAATTTTTCTTCGTTCTGAAATTTAATTCTATGTACTTTACAAATACAAGATAATAAATCCAATATAATATGTTAATGTGTTAAAAAGTTAACTTTTGAATTTTTTTATTATTTGGCGCAGTTATTCTGTCATCTCTAATGTTCTTATGTTATTGTATTTACCAAAAAAAATCCTTGTATTATCACTGACAGTTATGCAGGCACCCAATAAAGTGTGTTCTGCTAGGGCTGTATTTCTACATCAACAACTCCACTTTCTTTTCTTATTATATTCTGTGCAATCATTTGCTTTCAGCTGAGGCTACTAAATGCTATACATTATTCAGCATGTTTAAACCCTTTTGCTGATAAATTTAGCAGTGTTGGTTAAAATTCAGCTGAATGCCTCAGAAAGCACTGTTTTTTTTCGTTTTAATTTTCTCCCTTTGGATCGACTTTCTCTAATAGTACTGCACTTTTCTGCTTTGCATTTTATTGATTGTAATCCTTACTCTGCACACTAATTAGTTCTTTTTCTACAAGTCTGTTTGATACTGTCTTCAAACACTGTTTGTTCGTGCAGTTTTTGTGAGTGGGTCTCTGAAGGCCTCACCTCTGTCACTATCAGCTTGTTTATTTGAACATTTCAACTCTATTCAGTCTCCAAAGCTAAAATTGTTCAATCTGACCTGGATGAGAAGATCTTTCTGTTGTTTGACTTCTAAATGAAGTATTTCAAATTCCTGTTCACAACTGTTCAGAACTGTTTTTCTGAATTTCTTGTTTACCTTAGATTCTAATTCAGTAATTGCTACTTCAGTCTTAAAACCATCTTGTAAATTACAACAAATCAGATGAACAGATGATGTCTTATTCCGTTTTGAATAGTTCTTACAATCTGCCTATTTTGTGTTGTTTCAATTCAGTGTTTTGAATATCTTCCTTTCTGCAGCTTGTCCCCTATTCTTTGTTTCTTTCCGGCTCCGTGTCTCTTTCAAAATGTCATCTTCAATTTATTTTCTTTCTTGTCTTCTCTCTCCATTTTTGAGTTCAGTTTTTCAGTAGTTCTCATAGGCTCCTTTCATTTACTAATTGCAAGAAATACTGATTTTCTGTAGGTTATACCGTGTGCATTAGTTGCACATTACATAAAACTTTCAAAGCCCCGTAGTTATTGAAGACAGACTTGCAGTTTCCTTAAATTTTTTTACATGCTAGATAGCATCCTGTATGTTTCATACTCATTTTAAATGTTGCTTGGAAGCTTTTGTGCTTTTCCTTGTCTCTCCCTGGCCATGGTGTGTGTGAGGTGGGAGCAGCAGCACATGTGCCATGGTTGATGTGACACATGGACATGGACCCCACAGGTCTTCTCCCTCAAGGGTCTCATCTTGTGTGACAGGCACAAAAGAAATGCTCCTTGAGTCCTAAATTCAACATGAAAAAGATTTCTAGGCAAAAAAAAAAGCAAACAACCAAAACCAGGAAGATAAGTGTGGATAAACTTGCCTCTGTGGTAATGCTAACTGTGCCAGACTAACAGCTTTTCTGATTCTAGTTTTGTGTTTGCGAGATAGAAGCTCCTAATTATCACTTTACTGCTCTGTCTGCATAATCTCTGTGAGGTCACTACTAATTGTAAAATTTAGTTTACATATCATAGGTGAGTGAAGCATGATTGCAGTTACGTAGTTAAGGCAAAAGGGTAGAGCATTTCTGCCCACTGCAAAAGTAGCCTTGTGTTGAAGAACGTTTTGATTATTATTTTTTAAGTCACACTCTTCCACTGCTGCCCTGTAGCACACAAGGGGTAGTTTTTGAGTGTCTGCTGTTCCATTTATCAGTACTCCTGTCTGAAATAAGAATTGCCCTGTCTAACTTCAGCAGGTCCTGTGTTATCTGTTTTCAGATACATCAGCCTTCTCCAAGTGCTGTGTAAGAGGTCTGACAGCACAGACACAGTGAGAATCTTCTGTGCAAAGCTCTTGGAGTGTGCTGGCCCCTCCTTGGGGAAATACTGATCAATACTCCTCAAAACCCTCAACTTTTTAATGATTAGGACAGCAAAACCTGAACATCATGTCTAGTGTAGAGCTTTCCAACCCACAAATTCCAGTGTATTCATTTGCCCTTGGTCCAGTAGATCATTTCCCATTGAGTTCAGTGCTATTCCAATGCCATTCTTGGCTTTAGGAAGTTTGAGAACTTCAGTTTGTATCAAGACTTCTTTTGTAGTTACATCTGTGACAATGAAAAGCACTTTCATTTAAAGGTGCAAGTAAATAATTACAAACAGTATAAATTTAGGAGTTTAACAGAACTGTTGGAAGGAAAATTTATAGTTTCAATTTAAATCAAGTCACCATTTTTAAAAGTTGAAATTATTTTCCTTATATTTTTCAGTGCCTTCTTTGGACTGTTGTGATTCATCAGTTGGAGCTCAGATTATTTCAAAATCAAAAGAACTAGGTAAAGAATGGAAATGCTTAATATCTGATCATTTAGCATATTTTAAGGGTATATTTTTACATGAGACAAAAATTCCTTTTCCTATGGTTTTGTGTCACACAGCATTAACTATCCTTCAGTTACCACAGCATGCTTTACATTTTTTTTCCTCATTCTCTCTTCTTACTTCTCTCTTGCCTGCCATACCTGCACTATAATAATTACTTTAAATTATGCTTTGAACTGCAGTCTTACTTGCTTGCCTTAATATCAGTGGTGATAACACAGTGTGGCTGAGTCAAGCATATATACAAATGTTTACAGGCTTGAGCTGTTAGGAAGATGCAGCTTTTCTGTATTTGTCTGGTGTGTGCTAGGAATTCATAATCCTGACAAGCTTACTCCCAAGTCAGTCTTTGTAGTGATAGCACCCAGCAGCTTCCGTCGTGTTGGGACAGCTTCCATCACATCAGAGTTTTTTTTTCTATTTGACACCTGAGAGAAGGTTCTCCCCTCAAATACTCAACCTGAAAAAGAGTGTGAGATGTTTTTGAAACACACACCTTTCAAGTTCAGTGTAAGAAGGCAGTCAAGTGGGAAGAATTTGTTCAGAACCAGCTGTATTGTTACATGAGGAAATGTTTTTGGTTAAATGGAACAAATGCTATTATATTTGTATGTTTTCAAAAGCTGTGTTATCAAATCATGATTTAATTGACTCCAGAGAGCTGAAGCATCATTGCAGCCTCTTTGTCATTTAGCAATTCCCTGAAAGTTCCCAAGCTTCCACTTGCAGGGCCCCAGCACAGGTGACAGAGCCTTTCTGCATGGTGAATTAAGGAATATTAGAGCTTATCTGTGGACTCAATTGTCATTTAACAGCTTGAGGAGGAAGCAGTCTTGCAGGTCTTGGGAGACTTGGGTTCTACCCACAATTTCCAGTTTGGTCTTGAGCAGTTCACTTGATACAACTTCAGTTTTTTATCTGCCTATAAGATAGGGCTGATAATTTCTCTGAGTTACCAGGAGGTTTGATGTTATCAATAAGATGAAGGTAAAGTGCTGAGGGCTGGCTGGGGGCCTTGGCTGATAAGCAACAGGGACACAGAGTATGACTTGCACAGTTTTCTGTGGGTGCCAGTAATACAGAAATATCCTGCAAGGCACCAGTTTCCATAATTAAATTGTTCTTGCTGATGAGTCTTTGCTATAAGTTGTTTCATAGCAATATAATGGATTATTGCTGGATTTGACAACAGACTCTAAATCATAAAGCTGTAATTGTAATGTGTAAGACAGTGTCAGATACCTCTGGTTTATTTATACCAATTTCTTCACTCACTGGTCAGCTCTGTACATGTGGATTATTAACTCTTGTAAGTGCTATTCCTAAAAAATCTAAGACTTGTAAATTAAAAGAGTTTTATATTGCTGTTATGATTCATTCAACTTTTATAGACCCACCGAAGACATACACCCAGGATGGAGTCTGCTTGACAGAATCCGGCATGTCTCAGTTACAGAGCCTCACTGTTACAGTACCGAGAAGAAAACGGACGAAACCAAAGCTTAAACTGAAGATTATAAATCAGAACAGTGTGGCTGTGCTTCAGACACCCCCAGATGCCCAGTCAGAACACTCAAGAGATGGGGAGATGGATGACAGTAGAGGTAGCAGTCTACTTTTGGCATGTCTTTTAGCGTGGAGTGTTGCAGTACCTGTGTGTACTGCAAATATCCCTGGGAGTTTTTATTACACTGATACTCCTGTGTTCTGTACAGAATGTTTCATGGAAATTTCTTGAACAGTAGTTATGGCTCATTGTTGTCCATTTCAGGAATTTTCCTTGTTCTGTTTATGGGTCATCCATCCTATAGGAAACTGACCTTTTAGGGCTGCCAGCACTGGAAATAGGAGATGATTTTTTTTGTCTAATCTTTGGGTTACCTGTGGGAAACATTGTGCACTCACTGAGTGCAAGTGTACTCAAATTCAGTGCAAACTGTTTGAAAGTGTTGGCTCAGCAGAGCAACATCTGTATCACTGAGAAGCTGGTATTAAAATCAAGTGGGAAAGTGAAGTAGTTCTTTGCTGAGGGTATTTTCTGAAAGAAACAAGGTGAGCTGACATGAGTCAGTGATCTGGGCTGACATTTGAGTGGTTCAGCACCGTTGTCCTTGCTGTGGTGTGGCTGTGCATCCTGAGAGGGGTGATGGCACAACAGGTGTTAATCCATGGCCTGGGGCAAGGCTTCTTCCCCTGGCAGGTGAGAAAGTCATTGCATGGGTCATGTGGGTGTCTCTTTGGAGAGGAGCTGAGGCACCCCACCTCCCCACAATTCTGTTAATGCAACACTGCCTTGTTAATCAGATTAAATGTCATAAGAAGCTTATTTTAGCTACAGTGTACTTGAGATAACTGGGTAGTTCAGCCATCAGTGAAGTTTCAGTGTTAACTTGTTGATAGAAGTATTGTTACTATTTGATGAGCACATTCTTACCCTCTGTTGCTGACTAGAACTATTATTTCCTAAAAATAGCTTCCTTTTATTTCCTTATAACCTTTTAAACAGTTTGTTTTTCTTTCATTTCTTTCAGTATTAAAAGGATTTGGTACATTATCCTAGCATTACATGGACTCTGAAATTTCATCTCACATTTTCATGTTCTCCATCAGCTAGATTTCTGAAAGCAAAAAATGCTTTTGAATTTGGAGGCAGGTAGTCACTTCCCTGTTCTCCTTCAGTGGCTAATAATCTTTACTTTTAAAAATGTGTGCCTGTTTTCTATATGACTGATTTCATTACCTGCTTGTTGGCCTCTATAGGTGGTAGGTCTTTTCAAGTAGGTAACAGGATATGTAGATGTGATAGCAGGGTATGAAAGGGAGAACCAGAGTGTCCACAACTTCAATTTCAGTTCTGATCACCTTTTGTTATCTTTTTGAGGGTTAAAGCACATTGATGTGTGTGATGGTAACAGCACAGTGAGTACGTGGGAGATGGTCTGGATTTCCTTGAAGCTCCAGGTGTGTAGGGCTCTACTCTGCAGAGGGGATCTGTCTCTGAACATCTGGAATTTTTGTGTGAGCATTAGGATGAATAAAGCTGTGCCATGGCTTTGGTTGGAGTAACACAGTGTAGTAACCCCAGGGAGAAAGGGAAAAAAACCTAATTTTGACTCTTGATGTTCCAGGTGGAAAAAAGAGGCTTTATCTGAGAAAAGTGAGCTCATGGAATTTTGTTACCGTCTCATCTGTTGGCTTGCATCAGGTTCAGCTTTCATTGGGTCTTCTACCTTTTAGAGTTGACTTGAAAGTTGAGCTTGCTTTGGGAGCTTCAGCTTGATGGCCCTTGCCATCCACTGGCTTTGTTGGAAGAGCTCAGTGAGGTCTTTATCAGTGGGAAAGTCTGAGCCATCACCGAGCTTGGGAAGAGTGAGGGTTGCAGCTCTACCACAGCAGAAGTGGTGTGAAAGATTCCAGCTCTGTTATAACAACATTTCTCCTTCTTACAACTGCATGGGGTTTTACTCCATCTAGAATTATGCACCTATATCCAAAGCAGAACATGAGAATTCCAGTATCTTTTCAGGGGTGAGATTATATTTAACATTTCAGGTGGTTTATAATAAAATGAAGATGCAAGGTCTTTTTGGGGATATCAGGAAGAATTAGTTCCCTCTCTATTCAACACCAGAGGCTTTTTAATGTCAGCATACTTTATATGTTTCTATCCTTCATTCCCACAGAATATAAACTCTTAACTTTGAATTATAGTCTGCATCTTCAAGCCTGAGTAATTCCTTTGGGCTGAATTTTGTATTATATAAATCAAATTCCTCTTCATACATCAGTCCGCTTGCAGTCAGTCACACAGCTTCAAGTTATGAACCCACTACACAAAAGTCATTGCACTTCACCTCCCAAGTGCAGGCTGCAGTTTTTAAGTGTCTTCTCAATAGAAAAAAAGCCCTGTCAGAGAAAGAGGAGGACAGTGAAGAAAAGGAAGTTTATCTTGGTAAATTGGATCCATTTTCCTTGGTGGAATAGCTAGAGATTGCTCAGACACTTGGCACAGGCTTCAGAAGGAAGTACCAAAAACTTTCTCTGATTTACATATACTAGTTATAGTATTTATATGCTGGTTTTGTCTAAACATCATCTCATAGGAAATGCATACATAGATAGGATGGGTTTCCCAAAAATGTCCAGGGATTATGATTATCTGTCACCCTTTTGAAAAATCTGTGTTCTCAGCCAATTTCTCATAAACAGATGTGGAAGTGGGAAAAATAATTCTCTGTCCCTTTTCTTAAAGTTATCATTGCCTCTTTTTTGCAGAAGGTGACCTTATGGATTGTGATGGAAAATCAGATTCCAGCCCAGAACGAGAAGCTGTGGATGATGATACCAAAGTGGCTGAAGGGGCTGATGGGATTAAAAAAAGGAAGCGAAAACCTTACAGACCTGGTAGGATAAAGTAGCTTACATCATTATGTGTCCATTGTTCATTTTCTTTTCTGTATAATTACAAAAAAAAAAAATTAGAGAACACTATGAAATTCTGAAGTATTCTACTGCTTATTGTTGACTGTAGATTTTTATCCCTATTCTATTTAAAGTTTCCTTTTTTTCTTCTTGCCAAAACGCATTTCCAAAGGTTGCTGGTCAGCAGTGCACTTGTTCTTAGTGTGCTTGTCAATTACTTGTGGTAGTTCAGATCTGTGCCTTGTATTGATTCTTAACTTGATAGGAAATTGTGCTTTGTACAATTGGAGGAGAGTTTTACGTGTGTATGTATATATATATATGAACATATACATATGGGAACTTCAGAGAACTTTTTCAGTTATTTAACTTTTTTTCTGAAATATTTTAGAGGAGTAGTTTACCAGGTATTTGCAGATTACTTCTGACAGGTGAATTTTAATGAATTCAGTTATTGGATGAATTAATTTATTTTAATTTCTTTGTGCAGTTGACTCTTAATTATCCTGAATGAATTAATTAACTATATGTCTTGGGTGCACAAACAGTTGAGCTATATCCACTTAGAATACGTCCATTAGTTATCCATTAGTTTTCTGCCACCAACAATTCCTTTGGAAAATGACACAGATCTGTGTCTGATACATTTAGATACATACACACCAACTGCAGAGGATCAGGAACTCTGCAGTCTCTAGTGAAGGATTCAGGAGTTTCCAGGCACTATGTTGATTAATTATCTTTTTATTTGGGATACATCCTTCTCTAGTAGCATCATTTGGAGTGGTGGGCTCTCCAGAGCAATTTGCAGAGGATTTTTAGTGGTCCTTTGAGGTTCTGTAATAGGTTTCATTTGGTAGATTGACAGCTAATTCCAGCAACTCACCAGTTTGCTCCAAGGGAGGGGAAGACCAACATCTGAAAGTTGCCAGGTTTGGTGATTTGAACTTCTTGTGGATGTTCTACAGTCCTGAAATTCTAGTCATCTTTCATTACATTTATACCCAGTGAGACATAAAAATTCAGAAATGTTTCGTAAAACTCCAGATGAAAACTCCTCAAGTAGCTCCGATTCATCCTTAGACATCTTGATGCAGCAGTCTCCTTGACCTGCAGAGTAATTTTGGCTCCCTTTCATACTACGAAACACAGTTTCTATTCAATACATTGACTTTCTTCTTCCTTTTTCAGGTATTGGTGGATTTATGGTACGTCAGAGAAGTCGTACAGGGCAGGGGAAGACAAAAAGATCTCTCTCCAGGAAGGATTCTTCTGGATCTGTTTCTGAACAGTTGCCTGGCAGAGATGAAGGTAAGTGCAGGAATTTGGTGTTAAATACTTGTTCATGCTTAATGCAGTAAAAGCAATACAACTCACCAACATGTATGTTTGTCATGATGGCTTTATTAATTCAACTGAAAATACCCATTCCTGCATAGATAAATTTCAACAGAGCCCATGATGTACAGAGAAACTGAAACAAGGAATTGCAGGCTGTTATAGGAGATAAAATGAATTATTATTATTACTAAGTTGGATTTAGAGCAATCCTCTTTCTGATACACCTTTCTCCAGATGTAGCCCTGGTCCAGGGGTGTCTCCTGGACCATCAGTTTTAATATTCAGCAGTGTTCCATATTCCATGAGTGTGTCTAATTAATTTTTATATAGCTGTTTATGCTCTGGAAAATCCTTCATTGGAGAGTTCAGTGATATGTTATTGTTGCATGAAGAAATAATTCCTTTTTTTTTTTTTAACCATGTATTGGATATCTGAGAGTTTCATAAGCTGCCCTCATGTTTAGTGTTATGTAAGATTATTTTTAAAAAATCATTCATAGTAATTTTTAATACAGAAATACTTTCTAGTTGTTTATCATATTTCCCCATCAGTGTTGCCTTTTCCAGGGCTGAAGAATCCTTGACTTTGTTGGGTGTCTTTTCCCATGGCAGAGCCATTTTCATGCTTCTGACACTGCAGTTCTCAGTAGACTGGACATCTGACAAGAAGTCAGATTTTATTCATGGGCCTTTTTATCTTTCTTGCTGTGTGTGATTAGACTAAATTATTCCATTCATCTGGAGTTGCTCACACTAATCTAGAGAATGTTGAGGTACCATTCAGGGAGATGTGGAATATATTTAGTTCAGTTCCAAAATCTTAGGAAAAAGTTCCCAATCTTGGTATAGTGTTTGCTTTCTCTTTAATATTAGTGCTGCAGCTTTGTTTCTGCTTTGTAAATAATATTTCAGTGTATCATACTGCTTTACTTCAGGTTGTGTTGTAAATCTTGTGTTAGATCTTTTTATTTCCATAGAGGTTTGCTCCCTTAAGTAAAAAAAAAAATTTAATTGGATAAAAAGCTAATTCTCATTCTGGGTAACACTACAATGCATATTGTTTCAAAGGAGTATTCTTAAACAAGTACTCCTCAATTGAAAGTTGGACCTTCTTTCTGTCTGCTCAGGCACAATTGCTAGTTGAGAAAAATACAAATCATATCTTGCCAAGAGCCTGCTTCTCAATGGCCAGTACTCATCAGCCTTACCAGGATCTTTTGCCCCCTTGTCATATCCACTCCTTTTCTCTGTAGTATCTCCCTCTCAGGCAGTGCAGAGGTCACAGTGTTGGTGAACCTCATTCCACTCATGGTCCTCTAGATATGCTACAGGAGATCACTGCAGTACAAAGCAGAGCTGATTTTATTACCATGATAATATGGTTTCTTAAATAACTTGCCAGAGTCCTTAACTTCATGTAATTTGCTTTGGCAAGACAGAAGAAGCAGGGCTTGAAAAGTTCTGCATTACCTGCAGTGGTTTTCTTGCTCTGCTGTAATAAAAAATACTGAATGATTGATGAGCGCTGTGTGCTTTTGTGTTTATTAGAAAAAGCAGTGCCACTTTGAAATATGACAGTTGAATAAATGTGTAATTTCTCTTGAAGGGCTCCTTTATAGATTTATTTTTCTAGGTTGTTCATTATTTATATGATAGTTCTTTCTCAAATTTAAAAAAAATAAGTTTTTTAATTCTAATTTGTGAAAAAGTAGGGTATTAAGTCTCCAGTATCACTTTGGAGATACTTCTGCAGTGGAATTGTCTTTTCAAATATCTGCTTGAATGGCACCTATAATTTCCATCAAATTAGTGAATTCTTAGGTTGCCTGGGGATACAGAAGTTAAAGGTCTGTGTGTACCTGGGAAGTAGAACAGTGATGTGGCTGGTGTCACATCTGGCATTTCCTGCTGCCAGAGCCTGGGTGGTCAGGGCAGTTCACAGCTGGATAAAAGCCACCTTTGGAATGTATCTGAGTCATGTGCAGTAACCCAGGCACCCAGAGGTAGCCAGATGTGCTGCCACTATACCTTTAGAGCTAAATACTGAGTGTTTTATTATTTATTTAGAGGTAAATACTGAGTGTTTTATTTATTTGTGCCTGGATGTTCCTTTGTAGGTTGGACAGAGCAGCTGCCAGACACTCCGGTTGAGGAGTCTGCCCCAGCTTCTGAAAGTACTGAGAAAATAAAAAAGCGCTACAGGAAAAAGAAAAATAAACTTGAAGAAACCTTTCCTGCCTATTTGCAGGTAAAGCTGGTGATCTGCTCCTCATGCTGTAAATCCATTTAAAAGCCTAATCTTCATGTGCTGTCTCATAGTTCTTTTAAACCATTAATGTTTCTTTCCTGATTCCAAAATGATGATTTAAATGAAAGGGGTTTTCTGTAAAGAATGTTCATGAGCTTGTACAGAAAACTGTAGATTATATTAAATCTCCAGGATTCTGGAGAATCCTTCTCAATGTATTTGGATCTCTCCTTGTTCTGAGAGATGAGATGGGGTGGAAAAATCATTCCTTTGCTCTCTGAACTGACGCATGATGTTTCCACATTCAGCCTCTAGGATGTCTTAGCCTGGTCAGGCCGCTTCCTTAGCTTCTCATTTTGCTTTTTGAGGAGTATAGAACATGAGTTGATAAGGGAAACTTGTTTCCTACAGTTTTATGGATTTATATGCACTGCATCTCCTTACCCATCTTCTCCCCTCCCATTAATTTCATGGTGTCCCTAGCAGGTAAGAGGCAGCAGTTGTGGATAATAACCAGGATATTAATGGTGATTGAGCAACTTCCCTTCCATTAATCAGGTTATAAACTGGCTGGTTTATATGTATATGTATCTCTCACTTATTTAGCTTGTTGTTCTTCTCAGCCACCTTCTTCATGGTGAAGGGGACTTTCTAAAGTTGCAACTTTGATTGTTTTGTAGATGTTTGCCAAACGTCATGGCATGAACTGTATTGGGATTGAAAGCAAAGAATTAACAGAGAGGCAGAACATTTTCTCTTTAAAAAATAGTATTTCTTAAGTGGGGAAGTGACTTGGAAAGAAAATACTTAAACATTTCCTTTGGACTAATAAGGAAAAATATTTTTAATACATGTTTTAGAATGTTTCTTAGATTCTTTGTTAGTATTACAATGCTTGCTACTGAAAAAATATACTTTCAGATTTATTTTTAGAACTGTATCCTAAATCAAGATTTTTAAAGACAACATGGAAACAGAAAGGTTGTTACATAATGAATAAAGGTTGATTTGAAAGTTTGATAGGTTGTTGCCAAATTACTGAGTATTCAGGCTTAGCTGAGTGATAGCTCTTACATAGTATTTTAAAAGCCACTTTTATAATGTAAGTTAAACATCTTCAGGTATTTTGTTATTGCACTTAGACATGAGGATGATTTTGTGAAATGCAGTGTATGGTCATTCTTAAAACTGAACCGGAGTTCTAGACCAAGTTGCCCAGTAATGTTCCCCTTCTTCAGCTGTCCTTTTTGTGCTACGAGAAATATTTTAAATAATAAACAAATTGTGATAGATAATACCACTGTACTGATACACTGTCAGTGCCACATATGTTTAAGAGGGCTAAAGTTTTTCTGTATAACCTAAGGCGTGAATTTAATCCTAAAACTTTGGTAATGTAGCTTCCTAATGTAATAGCCACTGTAGCCAGTCCTTATAGCCTGGAAGAGAAAATTGCCATACTGGAATGCTTGTGAGACTGAGACTGTGTTTTTATATTCTTATTAATCCTTGGCTTTTAATTGTAGCTTTGTCGTTTACTCAAATTTTTCAGTCAATACAATGTTCTTCCTACCTTAAATCATTTTGTCTTCTTTGCAGGAAGCTTTCTTTGGGAAAGACCTACTGGATACCAGTAGACAGAACAAGATGAGCCTGGACAATTTACCTGAAGAGTCACTTCCACTTTCATGTAAAACAAACTTGGCCACCAATTTCCTGGATCCTTCATCTGACCCCCTTCTCAGCTCCACCTCCACTCCAGCTCAGGCAAAACTGGGACCTCCAGGTATACAAATCTAAACTTAGTGATAATTCAGTAGTTTGAGTTTATTGTGGTGGCTGGGCTTTTCCACTCTCTCTTCCAATTTCTTCCCAGGGTTTATTTTTCAGCATTCTATATATGAACCGTGCTTGTGAGGTTAACTAACACTGATATTTAGTGATACTCTTCTCAAAGGCTTTAGCTGTTTCAGAAAGAGCAGTGGATGACACAACAATTGGTGCTTAATGCAAATCTGCAGCATCTTAACTGTAATATCCATGGTTATAAAATCCATGAAAATTAGCTCTGTGTAAGAAAAAGCATACAGTTCATTATAGAAAACATAGATACTCTCATTAAATGATATTTTTAGTAGTCTAGTGAATACTAGTTGGATGAATATCATCCAGATATTCTTTTCTTTAGTGTTTTAGGTTATTTTAGGTTGCCAGTCTCCTCAGAATTTGTTTCACCATGTCCTTTCTGAACATGAGTGCCCTTTCCAGCTAGTTTGTAGCCCCTAGGCAATCTTTTGCTTCTGCTATTGCAAAACCTTACTGAAGGTTCTGCTGAGAGTTTTGCAAATAGCCAGAGGGTTGTAAAGTGCTGCTGAAAGAGCAGCCTCATACAAAAGAGCAATTAAAACCTTACTGTCTCCTTCAAATTATTTTTTCTCTGTCTTGTAGTATATGCTGTTTGCCAGAGGTGTCTTTATTTTTAAAATCTGTTATTTCTTTTGTATATTAATTAATTCGTGGCTTGTGTTTCAGCTGATCCCCAAAGTTTTTCCATCTGAAACTCTTTGCACACACTGTCACATTTTCCACTGTCCAGAGAGTCACTTGAAGAAAGGTCACCTGTTTGTGATTGTTACTCAGTGAAAATCTGCTAAATGAAAAAGCAAAAGGCTGTATTATATTTAAACATTGATTCTTCTACAGTTAAGTTGTGAATAATAGAGAATGCAAAAAGTAACTTCTGAAGGTGAAGCTGCTAGAAATGAAGTGTTGCATGGTTTGTATTTCCTTAGTTCCAGCACTACAAGATAATCTTACTATAACTTTTTTTCCACCCTGGCTTTCTTTTCTAGCCAGAAAAATTCAACTTCAGAGGTCTTTGCTGGCCTATCCAATTGCAAGCTTGAAGTCACTGATGTGTTCATGAGTTATGGTAGTACAGGGTTTTAGAAAATCATGAAGTTAATTTAATGTTCTGTTTTTCCAAAGTCTGAAAGTTCTCCATAAAAACAGTGTTGTAAAACTTTATATTCAGAAATAAATAATAAAGAATGTCTATTAATAAATAAATCACTAGGAATGGCTTTAATGGATAGCCTACTGTCTTTCCAATTTGACATGTGAGACACTCAAAGGACAGTGTTTTCTGGCCATAGGAATGTTCTCAACTCAGTTGTCTTTCACAATTCTCTTGCAAATGTTCAGATTTCCATCCAAAATTGGGTCCAGATGGAGCTGTTTGGTGTAGTTGGGGCACCAGTGGGTGAAGTCATGTGCTGGTATTGACCAGTTCCAGTGCAGTTCTGAACTCTTTGCCTGTGACTTTGTGGGACACAGTTATTTCCACAATAGCATCCTCTGTGTGGGAGGCCCTGGTTCACTGGCTAATTGCTGAGCTCCCTTCTGGCTGGAGCTGCAGATGAGAACAGTGTCCCAGGGCACCTGATGCTTTCATCATTTCCATTTCCCTACAGACCTGGCTGTGGAGCAGGAGCAACATGAACTGTTTGTTCCCTGTGCTGGGGGCTGCAGGACTGTGTTGTCACCAGCTGTGCTGTTTTCCTACAGTGCCACTTCCCACACGGATTGCTGACTCCTGTCAGAGTCCTTCCTTAATTGCACAGGTCTTTTCCACAAGGAAAATGTTCTTCTCTTGGAAATTCCATTTGTGTAATCCCAGGATTAAGGGTTAGATATGTTTGTTCATCTTCCAGAGACCTCTCAAGCATCTGAAGAAGTGACCCTGCTCTGCTTTCCAGCAGGTGACCAGCACTGCTGGGGAGGGCAGCGATGTGTTCCAGCTGCTCCTGAACTGACAGTGCATTTCAGGGACACGTTCTGTCATTTATTTGTTCTCACTCTTTGGTTAAGGGTGGCTGAACCTTTCACAAGCCAGGATTGCAGTAGTGATGGAGATTGGCAGAGCTGGACAGAAGAGGGGTTTGGGAGTCCTTTGTTTAGTGTTAATTTCTAGGAACTGTGACTCAACTGACCTTCAGGCTCCCAGCCCTGCTTTTTGTCTAGCAGAGGTTGCTGGTTTTATTTTATGTTAGAAAACTCACCTTTCCTGTGTTTTTCTAACACGTGGCACTCTGTGCACTCTGTTCTGCATGGCACCAACCCTTGAAATCACTTCCAAGTGCTGGAGTTGAGTGCAAAGGTTTGCTCACAGGTCTTGCTGTCTGTTCATGGGTGAAGTTGAAGGTGTTGATTTAGATCTGTTGTATTCTGAGGACTGTCTGCCTCTTGAGTTTCCTGACCTGTGTGTCCCTGATGAAAAAGAAGCCACTTGATGAGCTGTGTTCTGCGAAGGCTCAGGCAATGTGACCTTTCCTTTAGTTTGAAATAGCTTAAATTCAGTGTATTTTTTTCTGTAAGTGCTGAAAAAGTCATCTACTCAAGTGAGGTCTCCAGAGAATGCTAAAGAAATCGTTCCTAGACAAAAGGAGAGAAGTTGTCTGAGTATCTGCAACTGATTCAGGTACTGCAGGGACATTTTATAACTAGAAATGTTACTGTGTGATTAAGCATCTTGGGATGGCTGCAGCCTTGGGAGAGGCATTTTTATGATTTTAGAATTTCATAAATAAATAACTGCATTTGAGGGATCAGGATCACAAGATAGCATTAAAACTGTTCTCTCTTAGAGATCCAGCATTACAAGAAAATTATTTTCCTTTTTGCTTTGTCTTGGCTTTCATCTCCATTCTGAAAGAGTCAAATTAATGAGCAGTATTGAGCTATTTGTTTGGCAGCAGATGTCAGCCAGCTATTGATTGTGATCTGAAGCAGCTGACTCAAGTGATTCCGTTGTTTCCAAGATAATATTTAACACACATGGAATTAAAACAAGGAAAAAATAGAAGAAGAAAAGTAAAAACATGCTTTAGATTAGATGACTTGTGTGAGTTTTATGGATTATAGACTCTATCCCTCTGCTGTCACCAACACTCAGGTCTTTTTATAGACTTAACAAACTTTGTTTTGAAAGCAGGATAGTTTTTCCAGCTTATTTCATCTGAAGGCCACTGTGGAATCTGATTTCCTTCATAGTTAAGAGACCCTTAAATTTGAAGCCTGAATGTATTCATGGCCAGTTTTTAGCTACAGGTGGTAAACTTCTTATCTTTAAATATTAGATAATTTTTTTTTCACCTGAGCTCTTCCCAGCTACTTAAACAATGTATTTATATTTAGATTAGAAGCTGAATTGTTAGGGATTGTTCCCTAGCACAAAGGCTGTGGAGAAAAGCACTGTAAAGTAAAATAGTGTAGAAGAATTAAAGGCTGCCAATACAGTCCCAGTGCTTCCTCCATGTTTTTTTTCCTCCCTGATATTTAGCTGTCTCCAAGCAGGAATTGAGGAAAGTTAAAGAAGGGCTAAAATCAATCCTTCAGCCAGCTGAAGTCATTACATCACCTTGTGGTGTCTGGTGTTACAGTTACTTGCATAATGAGACCAAATTGCCAGAAGGAAAAGAAGTATCTGAAAAAACCCAAACCAACTTTTTTAAAAAACCCAAAAAACAACCCAGCAAACCCCAATAACTAGGCTCTGTTGAGAGACTTATCTTTGACAGTACCTTTTATCAGGTAGACAAATAACTACACCTGCCAAGTGGTGTAGTTTTGAGGGCACTTTTAGATAGTTTTGCTGGTATCAGTAGGAGCTGTATTTTGTTTGTACCTTTAAATGGACTGGTCTGCACTGGCTTATTAATCCACCTTGTGGAGTGGCAAATACAAAACCTGATTTAATTAGGATGGTTTCATCTTGTCTGCATTACAAAGGATGAAAATGAAGAATAAAAATAGTAAAGAGAAGAAAAACAATTTTTGTTCTGACTTGGTAATGGAAGAAGGGAAAAGGGTTGTCTCTGAAAATCAGAAGGCAATTGTAATTCATTGTTAAATTTAGCAGCTTGGAAAGTAACCTCATGATAGAAGTAAATCCTTGGCACCAGGCTCTGAATTAAGCTGTATACTTTCTGGGACAGTTGGATTGTAACAATGGGAAATACATCTGTATTTGTGCGAAATGTGTGTGTTTTTTTGGCTTTCTGGTCCCTCTTCAGCCTGGCCATATATTTGTTGTCCAGACTGTATATTTTATGATTAGTATTAATCGCTTTTTTCTGTTTAATTTATATTTGCCATCTCATCATGTTTTATTGGTCTGGCAGTGATTGTTCATGTAATCATGATGGTCTGCAGTTTTACTGAAAAATATTTTTCTCAACTTTTGTTTGTCAAACATTTTTTGCAAATGTTGCACATCTGTAACAGTCCAAAGCAAGTAGTTAATAAAACCAGATGGGCCATTTGGAGTAATTACTCTCTAATGAATTGGAGGTCAGGAAGATAATAGTATCCAGAATTTATTATTTAATATTAAAGAATTAATTGCTCGACCAGGTCAGTTTTCCCTAGATGACAAACAAACATGACATTTCTACTTCTGGCCATTCTTGCTCCTTCAAGTTTTCTTCTGATCTTAAAAGTATCAGCTTCAATTTCTATTTATTTACTATTCCTTCTTACTCTTAGGTTTCACTTTCCTATCAGGGTGTAGTAATTAGTTGCTTCTGTATTAAGAAAGAGAGTGATGGTAAAAGAAGTAACTGATCACCTTTTTTTAAAAAAATGCTCTTCGTAGGTTTACTGTGAGCTGTCCTAAATAAAACCTATGTGTTGACTTATTCATTCATGGTCCTTTCTGGCTTAGAGGTTGCAAGTTCAGAGTAGATTTTGTGATTATTTTTTCCCTGAAATCATCCAGTGTTTGTTTAACATGATGTGTTCACATTATCACTTGTAAAAAGACTAAACAAAGTAAGCACATACAGGTGGCTCAGTCCTGGCAGGGAGGGCCTGCAGCTCAGCACAGTCTCTGACCCCAGGGACACTTGCACATTCAACACAGCATAGAAGACCCTCAGAGCCTGGTACATCTGTGTTTGGGTTTGCAGCTCAAGAACATCACCAGAGATGTAGAAATGTTGATTTTGTTCTTTGCATCTTCTACAGGCAGCGCTGACGATCCTTTAGCTGATCTTTCTGAGGTCTTAAATACTGACGATGATATTCTTGGAATACTTTCTGATGATTTGGTAAAGTCTGGAGATCATTCAGGTATGTATGTCTGTAGGGTCTCTCTAGTCATTGTTTCGGTTTTTTTCCTCTTTATTATAGATGTATTTGTTGTAGTATATCTGTAGGTTATGCTCTAGGTCATTTCATACAATTTTCATATCTTAAGAATACCTTGGTTTGGAATGATTTTGGTTTGTTCTACCAAAAAAATGCCCAAACTTGTCAACATTTTGTTTTTACTTGGCTCTTCGCTTTGCTGCTTAAGAGAGGATAAATTGTAGCTGCTGTTGTCTCTCATACCTGCGTAGCTTTTTTCAGCATGCAGCTTTTTCTTTACTTTTTTTTGTTTTCGTGTTGTAATCATCCATTTTATCTGGTTTGGGTCCTGTAGGTCTTGATTTATGCACTTTCCAGGTTGAGAACTCACCCTCCCCATTTGGTAAGAATCTAAACAATGGATGATCCATGGTTAGCAGTAGCCCTCTTTTCCTAGTGGTTGTAGGTGAAAGAACTGCATGTGTAGAAATTACTTCTCCTTTACTGTGTCACTAATTCATGTTTCATTTTCCACTCTCTGGTGTTTGAGTCTAACACGACCTCTAAACTCTGCACTCTGCCTTTAAGAGTCCTGCATCAAGTTTTGCTTACAGCTTCTGAAAACCTTCCTTAATTTTTTGTGTTTCATGATACAAACCCATGCATTTTCTTGCTGCCACTGTAAATATTACTTCCTGTAGTAGTGTGTAGTTTTTATCATAGTGATATATTTTGTAAATGAAAAGAATTTTTATCAATGTGGGTATAGTAAAGCATGATTAAAGCAGTCAGTATCCTTTTGTTTTCACTGGATAATGGTTCATCACTTTATGTAAAAAATAAGTAGAATTATGTAAATAAGTAGAATGGCATGTTTCGTTATTTTAAATTTTGGGTTATTTGGTAATTATTACACAAATATATTTTAAACAGTAAAAGACATAGTTCTTTTTTACCAGATTTTTCTCATAAGAGAGATTTATTTACTTGTAAGGGATACTAGAAAATTTATGTAGTGAGTTATGTTTTCTTAGTGCCAACAAATCATTATGATGTAACCCATAATAGTCAGGATTTGTTTTGAAAGAGAAACTAACTTGTTTTGTATTGGCTGTACTTCAACAACATTTCAGTAAATATTTTATGTAATATTTGAAGTCAAGAACATTTGAAATAAACCTTCAGGTACATGAGGATGAACCATATTTACTATTGGTGTGATTCTTTTAAAAATGTGAAAAATAGTTTAAATGGAACTATATACTGAAACCTATACGTTCAAAACTATGCTGAACCTAAACTCAGTCTTACTTCCCATTCTTCCAGTTGCATTATATTCAATTAACATTCCTCAAACAATACAGTAAACTGGAGGGAAAGAGTGTGAAGGATTTTTAAACCTTTTCTAATCAACGTTTTGTTTTGTCTTACCTTTCAAATATTAGAAAGTCCTGGTTTAATTGACAGCTGAATTCTAGGGGAAGGAAACAGGGCTTATGCTCGTTATTCAGTACTAATAAATTTTGCTATTCATGTCTAATTTAATATTATTTCTTCCTCTAGCTGGATTGGATATTGGCCCCATCTCTGATGATCCTTCTTCTCTGCCTCAGCCGAATGCCAACCAGAGCTCACGGCCACTGAGTGAAGAGCAGTTAGATGGAATCCTCAGTCCAGAACTAGACAAAATGGTCACAGATGGTAATATTCATGTCCTTAATCTTGGCCTTCTACAGAACTTATGTAAAAATCACCTTTTCTTTTTCCTTTCCCCCAAATGACACATCTCTGTATTGTAACAGCCCTATTTAGACTTGCTTGCACTATTACTTTTACTGCTTTCTCTGATGATCACTTACCCTGTGTTGCCTTTACTTTGTCCAGGTGCTATTCTTGGCAAACTGTACAAAATCCCAGGTACGTGTTCTGAGCCTCCTTGTCTTTTATGGAACACAGTTCACAAGCAATGCCAGAAACTCATGCAGAGTGGTTTTTTTTTGCAGAGCTGGGAGGGAAGGATGTTGAAGATTTGTTCACAGCTGTGTTGAGCCCAGCAGCCACACAGCCAGCTCCTCTGCCACAGCCTCCTCCCCCACCACAGCTCATGTCTTTGCACAGCCAAGGTATGTTCCTCTGGTGCTTTTGTGAGCAGCAGCCTGGCCAGGAGAGTTGTGCACCTTTTAAATGCTGATGTGGAAGTAGGACACACCTTATGCAAAATTGTGGAATCTGCTGTTGTTAATTTGTGCGATATTATTCCTAACCTGTTCTGAAGGGAGTACGTGATTAACATCCATGTAAATATTGTTAATACAGAAGGACAGTTACTTCAGATTTTTCTGACATATCGGTGCTTTTATTTTAGCTGACACTTAAATGGTTTGGAAAGTAGTCTGTGATAAAGCATGTGTTCTCTTCTGACTTCACTCTTAATTACTTTTGAGTACCTCCTCAAGGGTAAGGCAAGAGTCTCTGTAATGCTGATTTACTGAGTCTTAATTTCTGTAAGAATGCAGTTTAATGTATTAGTTAGTCCTAATAGAAAGGCTAAACAAATTTTAAATTTATCTTGGAAATTACACTTTATTTTTCTTCATTACTAGCAAGACTACCATGAGTTGAAACAGCATCTTGCTCTTGTATTGAAGGCAAGAAACTGGTTTCAGTGTTAGTATCAGTAGAGCTGGTTTTTTAAGCAGTATGTGTGAATATAATTGGACGTGCTCATTTCCTCATTGAACACCTCTAGTGGTTTTCCATGAGCTCATGTGAAGAGTGTACACTCTTTTATACTGGTACTACAAAAAGGACTGTGCAAATTGATTTGACCAGTGAATTAAGCATAAGAAGAAAAGTGATTTGTTTCCTAGTTGGATCAGTTTTCATAAAACCTAAATACTTCAAAACCTTCCTAGAAGGGAGCATGTTTTAAGTGCATAATGAGTTGATTTAAAGCAAAAGATAATACAGATATCATTGTCTGTTTCCCAGTTACTTGAGTATTTGGGGATAGCTCCAGCATTTGGGCTCTGTAAGATTTTCAGCTCCTCCCTGTGGGAACTGCCATGACAACAAATTTTTAGATTTACAGTTTGGTTCTGCTCCAGTTGAATGATCCACACATTTCTGTGAGATAAATGCTTCAGTAACAGGGCAGCTTGCATCAAGGTTCAGCAATTTCAAATAAAATTACTGCTCTTCTCATAAAGACAAGGGGGCAGCCAGTGCAAACCAGAGGCCTGACTCCATCCTGTTCGTTTGCCAGGACTTCACAGTTAGTTACTGTGTTTACTAGCACAGTAACATCCTCTTAAATCTTGTGTTACAATTGTAGTTGCTGTGTAGCCTACGTAACCTTTAGATCAGAAACAGTCTCCTGAAATGGGAGAATGATACAGTGTCATCCTGCAGATGCATCTGATTCCTGAGCTACTTCTGTGCTTTTAAGGAAATAACTGGGGCAACAGTTATAATCTCACTTAAGTGAGGGGATCCAAAGGCCAGAGTTAATTCTGTGTAGTAACATCTGCAAATACCATCTGCTGGAATGAATCTGCCTGTGCCACATTTGTAATACTGTAATCAAATAAATAACATTTTCTGCCTTCATACAGCTAGACTGGACATTTAATTAGAAAATGTTAATGCTCATTTGAGCAGAGTTATCTGTTTCATTGGTTACAAATTAGGAAGCTAGTGGATAATGAGGCTTACATTGGTACAATGCTCAGGAGTCTCAGAAGAGATGTTTAATTCAGGTGGCTAGTGATCATCCCACAAGGACTGAAAACCACATTCTCCATGGCTTGTTGCTTGGATCTGGGTCTAAAAAACGTGAAGACCATTAGCTTTTAGGTTTATTACCTCAATATAAGGTGCAGTACAATGCATGGGCTACTGTAAAAGTTTTGGGAATCCATTTTTGAATAAAAATTACATTTTAGACAAAAAAAAAAAAAAAATCTGTGCAGGGATGTGATAGAGCAGAAAAGAATCCTTTACACTTATAGGGAAGGATTTAAAAATTATCTAAAATCTTTCCCAAAACAATAAGAGCAGCACTGTAAAATTTTAAAGCATTTAGTTTTTCACTAGAGGAGACATTGTTTTCTCAGTGAAAAGTTCCACCTCTGCCTTAGTAGCAGTTACCCTTGAAAACTTAAATGAGTGACTTAAACTTCTTTTTCCAGGAGAGAATGCATTTCCAAGAGTGCCCCTCATGAATGGTCTGATTGGCCCCAACCCTCATCTCCCTCACACAGCTCTGGCTGCTGGAGGTGGGCTGGGCACCTTCTCTCCCATTACACAGCAGCCATACACTGATGCCAGGTAAGTTCAGATGGGGAATAAAAGATATTTATTTAGCATTAAATAAAAAAGAGTAAAAAAAAAACACCTGGAGGGTGTTGTTGGTTACTAATAATTTGATATTATTAGTTCTTGACAGGCACTGCAAAACCTTGTGTATTCTTGCAGTGTGTTTACTGCTGAAATAGCAAACAGAATGAGTGCTTTGCTAGTTGAATTGGTCTGTTTTGTTGTTTTTATACAATCTGTAAAACAAACCCCTTTTCTCTTCTGTCAGGGATAAGAATCCAGCGTTCAATCCAATGGTGAGTGATCCCAACAGCTCATGGGCACCAGCTGCTCCACCTCTGGAAGGTGAAGGCGATACCATGTCCAATGCTCAAAGAAGCACCCTGAAGTGGGAGAAGGAAGAAGCTCTGGGTGAAATGGCAACTGTAGCACCTGTTCTCTACACAAATATCAATTTTCCTAACCTGAAGGAAGAATTCCCAGGTGAGTGATTTACTGAATCAATTTGAATATTTTGTAGCAGTTGGTGCACCTTGATTTGAAAGCATCTCAAATAGACTTACCATAGCCTTGTGTATTGACGCATTTTTTGGTTGCAGACTGGGCTACAAGAGTGAAGCAAATTGCTAAACTGTGGAGGAAAGCAAGCTCTCAAGAGAGGGCTCCCTATGTGGTAAGAACAATTCCCATCTGTATTTGCATGCTTCCAGCAAACCTATATTTCATTTATAAGGTTGTGGCTTTTTGTTTGGTTTTGTTTTGTTTTTAACTCAAGTTCTAGGTTTAGTGAAAGTTCCTTTACTACAAGAAAACCTTTTGAATTTAACTCCTACATCTGAATAGTTCTACCTGTATTCTTTGTTTTTCAGTCTTGGAATAAACTCTATTAGTACTGTGCAATCTAAAGACATCAGATGAGATGAGAACGTCTCTGGCTCCCACTGCCTCTCAGTTGCATTTGATTCATACCTCAAATCATCTTTGCTCTGTCTCTTTCTATACAGAATCTTACCAGATTCTTCAGAAGGATAATAGCAGCTGATCATGAGATTCCTCTCCCTTTCATCATCCCCTCTCACTGGCTATTCTTTTTTCCCCTTTAGAGTTGCTGAAGTCTTTCAGCTATTGAACTAACAATTCCAGAGGTGTCAGTGCTCACACCTCTGCTTTCCTCATTTACTTCTACTCCTTGTGTTCTTCCTTTACTGCTCCCTGTCTCTGCTTACTCTCCTGTATTGCTTTGTATGGAAACTCTTCTGATACCCATTTTTCTAACACCATTTTGTAGGGAGCATGAAGGACTCCATTTTTCTCTCCAAAATCATTCACCTTCTTCACATCTGAGTTAAGTGAGCACAGGTACTTGTAGTAGCTATCTGGAGTTACATAGTCATTGATTTCCTCCTGCAGAACTTCTGCCATTCAAAGGGGGTGACCTTAAGCTTTGTTGAAGCCTGTGTGCATCCAGATCTCAGAACCTGTATTATTGATTTTTTTGGACTTTCTCAACAATTGTTGGCAAATGTACTTTTCTTTAACTTCCATTCTCTCATCTTCGTTTCTTCACAGCAGCAATTGGATGATTATTCTCAATTTACAGGTTTCTGTGGATTTTGCAGTTTTCAGTCTCTTAGCCTTCCCCTACCTACCCTTTTTTCATATAGTCCCATCAGTAAGCAAACTTCATTCCTCTGCATATTGATGACTCAGAGTTTAGCACTACTACATCATCTTCTGCTGTCCAAATTCAAAAGTGCCCTTATCTCTGGCTTAAGAGGATAAATCATATCCCAGACTTATTGTGAGAAGTAGAGTTCTTGATCTTTCTGAAACCCTTTCCACTTGAAAGAATAATTCTCTCGTTTCTTCTTTGTGTCACTGAGGCATCATCATTATTCTGCTTTTTATTCAGCATTGCAATTCTAGCACCTTTGGACCTCCATCTTGCCCATGCTATAGTCAATCTTGGTGATTCCTTCTTTGTAGTATTTATAAGCTAATACCCACTTATACAGGTGGCATTTACCACTTCACAATTATTTCTATTACTGATTGCTTTATTTTTCACTGTTCTTAAAAACTGCAGTCCTGGCATTGTGCACACAAGGAGCCAATGTGATGTCTCTCCTGAGGGACTTGAACTCTGAGGGATTGAGTGAAGGCTGAAATGAAATTCAGAGGAGTGTTAGTAAATTTTCACTGTAGGCTTTTTACTTTACTTAGCATGCACAATCCCATCACTTACAGGGAAAAATGACAGTGATTTTTCTGCTGCTGTGACATTGGTGCTCTCATCCATGTCACTATTTCATTGTTGGGGAGGATGGGGAGGTGTTAAAGCTCTTTCCTCAAGGCAACCCCTACTTGACAGCTGCAAATAAATTTGTGAAAAAGAGGATGTGAGGGTTTGCTTCAGAGAAGAAATCACATGCTAGATTGGTGGTGAAACAGGCTCTTTGAAACTTCCATTAGATACTTTAAAGTGTCACTATGGCTGTAAAATGCCTCATTGAAGAGGAATTGCTGTGTCTCCATACACGTTTTCCTGATCCATAAGCCCATATCCTATGTTTATACTGTTAACTGTTAACTGACTTAGATCTTCAGAGGTCATTTAATGGACTGGACTGTATTTTTCTTGTCATTGAAGTTCTCCACATTAGTGGCCTTTATTGATCCAAACATCATCTGCTGTGCTCAGCCTTCATGTTGTAGACCACACCAATATGTGATTTGAAAGGTAAACTGGTGGGTTTAACAGTTTCTTGGCACAGCGCAGGGCCTGGAACAGACACCCTCCTGTACAGAAAAGCTTTGCTAATAGGTTCATTAATTTACTAATTGCTAGTAACCTCTTAGTTCCTTCTATATATGTTAAATACAGAATTTCTGTAGAGTTGTGAAGTATGTTCTGTTCAGAATTGTTTTGGAAGTGCATAATGTCATTTCCACAAGGATGTGTGTGATTAAAACAGGCTGTACAAATAATTTGGTGATGGATTTTTTTAGGAATAACAGATGCAGTGTGCACACTTAGAATAAGTCTAACTGCATCTTTTCTCTTCTTCCAGCAAAAAGCCAGAGATAATAGAGCTGCCTTGCGCATCAATAAAGTACAGATGTCAAATGACTCCATGAAAAGACAGCAGCAACAGGATAGCATCGATCCCAGCTCGCGCATCGACTCCGACCTCTTCAAAGATCCATTAAAACAGAGGGAATCGGAACATGAGCAGGAATGGAAATTCAGACAGGTGTGTAGCATTTAGGGTGTTTTGTTATTGTCTCCCTGCTTTTTACTGCGTTGTTGGAATCTGTTGTAATAAAATCAATTTGAATCTTTTTTTATAGAGGAGTATACAGTCAGCCATTCTGCTTGGAAAGAAAATAGATGTTATCAGAAGATCAGCTGCTTGTAAAAAAAGTTTTTTTTTCAATTTTGACTCTAAAATCCTGTGTATTATAGAAACAGGTTGTTCTTTCTCTGCATGGGTGGCTGGTGCAGTAGGTTTTTATTACATTGCCTGTATTGCAATAACTTTGTCCTGCAGACTGCTGCCTCACATGGGGCTGGGTGTCTCTCAAAGCCCACACCAGTGCTGCATGTTAATAACCTTTGTCTCCAGAGTACAAGGTTGGAAAGCAGTGATGCTCTTTAGGCAACCTGGGAAATGCTTATTCCCAGGCAAGCAAGATGCATGTCAAGGTAATTGAACTTCACAGATAGCTGGACTCTCTCCTCCTATTGCATTTAAAATTTGCAGTTACTTGTAACTGATATTGGATGTGTCCTAAAGTTTTAATTGTAGATTCAGTCATTAGAAAGATTTTGTATACCCTGAACTTAGAAGTATAACATTTTTCCTCATAATTTTTAAACAGCAAATGCGGCAAAAAAGTAAACAACAGGCCAAAATAGAAGCCACACAGAAGCTTGAACAGGTGAAAAATGAGCAGCAGCAACAGCAGCAGCAGCAACAGCAGCAGCAGTTTGGTTCACAGCAACTCCTGAACCAGTCTGGCTCAGACACACCCAGCAGTGGGATCCAGAGCCCCTTAACGCCGCAGACTGGCAATGGAAGTATGTCTCCTGCACAACAGACATTCCATAAGGATCTGTTCACAAAGCAGCAGCAGCTCCCTGCTACGCCCACGTCAGCGTCCTCAGATGATGTGTTCCTAAAGCCACAAGCCCCACCTCCCACTCCCACCCGAATCCCAGTACACGATTCACTGTCTCAGTCTCAGACTCCTCAGACATCATCACAGCAGATGTTTTCTCCAGGTTCCACAAACACGAGGCCTCCTTCTCCGATGGATCCGTATGCTAAAATGGTGGGGACGCCCAGACCAGCACCCATCAACCAGAACTTTGTTAGAAGGAACACCATTGCCCCGTTAGATTCCTGTGCGGCACAGTCCTCCATATCTCGGGAGCCGTCGGGAAGCAGGCCCTCGCCGGTCAGGGACTCGTGTTCTTCATCTCCAGGTAGCAGCGATCCCTATGCAAAGCCACCAGACACACCCAGGCCTGTCATGCCAGCAGAGCAGTTCTCCAAACCCCTGGGAGTGCCACGGTCACCCATAGTTATGGAGCAGGCAGGGAAGGTTCCTTTAGCTGCTGGAAGCAGCGATCCATTTACTAAGCCGGCCCCTAGGACTGACACATTTCAGAGACAGAGAGTAACCTCTGCTGATGCCTATGCACGGCCTCCATTGACTCCAACTCCTGCTCCTGTGGATGGCAGCCCTGGACCTTTCAAAACTCCTCTGCGCCCTCCTCAGTCCCCACAAGATCCTTACTCCTCCATGCCAGCCACGCCGCGGCGCGTTGCTGTTGATCCCTACGAAAGGCCCCCTCTGACACCGCGGCCGGTGGATAACTTCCCTCATAACCAGGCCAATGATCCCTACAGCCAGCCTCCCCTCACTCCCCACCCTGCAATAAAGGAGCCTTTTGCCCATCCGCCGCGGATAGTGCGACAGCAGGGTGATTCTTTCCCTCAGTCTGGGCCCATCTCCAGGCCAGCTTCTCAGGACCCTTACTCCCAGCCTCCAGGTACTCCTCGGCCAGTTGCTGATCCTTATGCCCAGCCCCCAGGAACTCCCCGTCCCACTGCAGTGGATCCGTACATGCAGCAGCCACCAACACCAAGACCTGCTCAACCAGCAGATCTGTTTGCTCAGTCCCCAGCAAACCAGAGACATTCTGATCCCTATGCCCAACCTCCTGGAACACCACGGCCAGTTCTCAGTGATCCTTACTCTCAGCAGCCAGCAACCCCAAGGCCAGGGATTCCTGAGAGTTTTAACAGACCTGCCATGACAAGGCCAGGACTTATACCAAATAGAGATCCTTTCCTGCAGACACCACAGAGCAGGTTGCAGGGCACTTTCGTCAGGCCATCAGACCCATGTTCTCAAACTCCCAGGTCTGCAGGACCTGCAATAACAGATTCATTTAGCCATGGTGCAGCTACTCCAGCACGTGACCCATATGATCAACCACCAATGACTCCAAGGCCCCAGCCAGAATCTTTTGGAACTGGTCAGCTGGCCCGTGATGCTGCCGAACAGCCACGGCCTGGATCTGAGGGTACCTTCAGTGCATCTGGAAATTCTCCAATGACTTCTCAAGGACAACAGTTTCCCAAAGTTTCACAAGTTCCTGGCCCAGCACCCACCACGGGAGTAACAGATACACAGAATACCATGAATATGTCTCAAGCAGATACTGAGAAGTTAAGACAGGTGAGAATTCCGATGATACTAAAATTCTGGAAGTAGAATTTCCCCCATTCTTGTTAATACTTGAAGTTTCTTGCTATTAAATGTAACTTTGTGTAAGTTATGAATTATCTTAATTTACTTAATGTGTTAGTTTGGTTCTTCTGGGTAGAACCACAATATACAGAATACAGAATCGTCAGTAATTTTTAAGGAGTTTGGACAAGATCCAAAAAAAAGAAAATCTGTATTTGAATCCACTGAAGACATAGATGGTTTGTCTGTAACAGCGCTTTTAGTTACAGTCTTAGGAAAAGAAACATTTTAAAAGATCAGTATGTTCTGTTCTTCAACAAATGAGGTGTGGAACTGATTGTCAGTGACTTGTTCACTGGCTGGAGAAGGGAGTACAGACAAAGATCTCAGACTACACGTCTGACTTTGCAGTTGGCCAGCATATTGAGGTGAATCCTTCCCTTGGTCACTCCTCTTCTTGAGGCACATTCACACCAGATTTCTGTCCATGAATGTCTGGCAAACAGCTCTTGCTGAGAGATAGAATTACATTCAGCTTGTGGAAAGCTACTCAGTCTTTTGTTTGGAAGGAGGGATGGGAAGTGAATTTAATGGAAAACTGCTGGTATTTATCATACAGAGTTAAGAGTAAATTCTGCAGTTGTGGCATAAATGTCTAGCTGAATTTTCTTCAGTGGCCCTCTAGTCACCTTAGTCCCTCGGAATGCACTTGTCCTATGGTGAAAGGGTCTGCATTACTGGAATAGAAAAAGGGAAAGAGAGTTGCTTCCATGTTAATTGGTAGAGTGGGATCACACCATACACTTTACCAAGAGGTCTGGATATTAAGTTGTGTTACCAGCACCATGTGCACCTTTTGGCCCCTCTTCTCATTTCTGAGGTGATTGTAGTTGTTCATAATTAATTTTCCTGTAACAACTGAAGGATTTCTTTTCTCCAAAAAGCTTAACCTAGCAGAGTGTAACACTTCAAAAGATGTCAATTGCAGTGTCAAGCGTAATGATTTATTTTCTTTTAAACAGCGCCAGAAGCTCCGTGAGATTATTCTACAGCAGCAGCAGCAGAAGAAGAATGCAGTTCGCCAGGAAAAGGCCTTGCAGGACGCAGCAGCTCCTCCCCATGCAGCCCCTCTTCAGCACTGGCAGCAAGACAACATAAATCAAATCTTTAACCGCCCTCCTCCTCCCTATCCTGGGAATATTCGGTCATCTGTGGTCCCTCCTGGTGGGCCAAGGTTCTCCATGTACCCGAAGGACCAGCGTGGGCCATTCCCTGGGGATGGGCAGTTCAGCAGGCCCCAGTTCCCAGGAGACATGAACACCATGGGGATGAGACCTCATGGTCTGAGGTAAGCTCTTGGATCTCTTAAACTCAGGGTATTAAAGGGGTAGGTAGAGAAAGGGGGCTTTTTGGACAGGATGGAAAATCATCTACAGGAGCTGGTAACCTTCCTGAACTCTGTATGTGCAATGGGTTTTCCTGTAACATTAGAATGTGTTTTACACCAAGTATTTTACTCTGTTTTGTTGGGAGCAATTCAGAAAAATAAATGGAGAAACTGCAGAACTATTCAAACTGAGGTGACCTGAAACAGCTTGTTGTCCATGGCTTTTGGGGCATTTCTAAAGAAAAAGATCAGACTTTATTTTTGATGTCTTAATAATGAATAAATTAATTTCTAATGAAAATGTAATCAAATGTCAACTTCTGTCTGTGGCATTTTTACAGTGAATGCTACAATGTAAAATGAATACCAGTATCAACATACATTGTAAGAAATTAATTTTTTCAGTATCTGGATTTATTTCAGTAATTTCTAAATCCACACACAGTTTTTTTTTTTACTCTGAATTGCATTAACATGTATTTTAATTACTAGGTTAGTTCTGACTGTCAGAGTTTTCTATCCATTATTATTAGTGAAATTGAAAACAGGTTGTTTGTTAAACATAATTAAAGCAATTATTTTATTGTAGTCATAAAGCTCATTTAAATGTAAGTATAATTAGTCAAAACATTTATTTATATATCTTGATGAATGCATCATGTAAAGCGTTTTGGTGAACAGTTATTTAGTCATGCAAGACCGAGAAAAAAAGATGATTTGGCCTTTCATGCTTTATTTTAGATATGGGTTTCCAGGAGGTGGCCATGGTCCACCCTCGGGCCAGGAACGTTTCCTTGGTCCTCAGCAGCCGATGCAGCGCCCTGGAGTTCCCCCACAGCTGAGGAGATCCCTGTCTATTGACATGCCCCGGGCAGTGAGCAGCCCACAGATCAATAACGCACCCGGGATCTCGCAGCACTTTCCCCCGCAGGGAATTCCGGTCCAGCAGCACAACATCCTGGGTCAGGCATTCATCGAGCTGCGCCACAGAGCTCCTGACGGGAGGCCGAGGCTGCCCTTCAATCCTGCCGCTGCCTCTGTGCTGGATGCAGCAGCTCAGCACCAGCGGCACCCCGGCTTCCTGCCCAGGCAGGACTTCCCAGGCCCAAGACAGGCAGAACCGCTGAGACACAGTTCTCAAGGAATACCAAACCAGTTGCAGATGTCGGCGAGTTTGGAGCACATGTCCCAGTCCCAGCAGGATCAGATCAATCCTGAGAACCCTCCTGCCCTTGTGATGCGTTCTCTGGGTCAGCCAGTTGCCGATGCATTCCCAGGACCGTCCTTGTCTACATCTGCACCAAGTGGTGAAGCTGCAAACTTGCAGATTCCTAACCAGCCAAGTGATGGTCTAGAAGAAAAGCTTGATCCTGATGATCCTGCTGTAAAAGATTTGGATGTGAAAGACCTTGATGGGGTTGAAGTCAAGGATTTAGATGATGAGGATTTGGAAAATCTGAACCTGGACACAGAGGATGGGAAAGGAGATGAACTGGACACTCTGGATAATTTGGAAACCAATGATCCTCACCTTGATGATCTTCTGAGATCTGGAGAATTTGATTTAATTGCATACACAGACCCAGACCTTGATGTGGGGGATAAAAAAGGAATGTTCAATGAAGAACTGGACCTTAGTGTCCCCATTGATGACAAACTAGATATTCAGGGCAAGGCAGAAGAACCCAAACAGAAAGAGCAAGGTGATACAGCTGTTGCCCCTGCTGAGACCCAGTCTCCACCAAAGAAATCAGCTACAGAAAATGAAATTAAAGCAGAAGTACTTTCCCCAAACACTCAAGAGGAAAAGAAGAATGAAAATGAAAAAGGTGATGGAAATACTGAATCCACAAGTACTCAACAGGCTGCTGAGGTGGAGCTGAAGGATGGAGAAAAGGCTCCTGCTCAACCTGCTAACCCAGAATTCCCTGACAAAACTCCTGCTGTTCCTAGTCAAGATGCAACTGTGCCTAGTCCAAATGCTCAGGGATCTGCTCCACTGCCTGTTCAAGGAGCAGTAAGTTCCTGCAGTATTTCTGGGTCCACCCCAGTCCTCTCAAGTTTGCTGTCTAGTGAAAGCTCAGACAATGCTGAAGGAAGAACTCTGGGATCTCCATCTCAATCTCTGCCACCCACACAAATGAACCATGGATCAGGTATTCCACAAACACTCATGACACCTGCTGGACAGATCTTGGAAAACACTTTAAATTCAAATCTGCCCATGGTTCCACGAATGAACCATAATTTTTCTCAAGGATCACCAAATCCAGGATTTATTCAGGGTCAGTCATCTAATCATAACTTCGGGACAGGACAGACATCTAATCAGACTGTGGCTGTACCAAACCGTCCTGGTCCCAGTGGCATCTCTGGTCCCCAGCAGATGATGCTCCCTCAGCCATTAGCTCAGCAGCAAAACCGAGAGAGGCCACTTCTGCTAGAGGAACAGCCACTTCTTCTGCAGGACCTCTTGGATCAGGAGAGACAGGAGCAGCAGCAGCAGAGACAGATGCAAGCCATGATTCGCCAGCGTTCGGAGCCATTTTTCCCCAATATTGGTATGTGGGTGTCCTGTTTGTCTGTGTTTTAGTTGTTGTTTCAAAAATACAGCAACAAACAGTTAAATAATCCACAGCACTGCGAGTAGCAGGTAAATACGTAGAGCTTGAAAATGGCATAATAAAAATCAACCTGCCTTTTAGGTACAAAGGGAGTATGGAAATTGAGCATGTAGGTGGAATTCTGAACCCTGTGGCAAGACTCCTGTTACCATTCCCAGGATCAGGATAACTCTGCTTTACTGATAATGTTTGTGACATCAGCTGTGTCACATACTCTCTTTATACTTTAGGTTCTCATGAGATAGGGGGTAAATGCATCCTTTATAAACAAAATTAAGTGATCGAGTGCTGTAGCTGACCTTCTGATATTTGATCTATAAATTCCATGTTTATGGTTGCTTTATGTCATTTTTTTGCAGTATTTTTTGTGTCACAAGAAAAGGGATTATCAAAAGCTGTTACTAACCCACAGTCTGTGCAAGGCCCAGTAATATCACATATAATTCTGCTTGTCCTAAAAAACATTTAAGAAAAACTGGGTTTGCTTGTTTAATATAACCTAGCAGTTTGAGTGTTCAAATGAAGTTCATCTCCATCATTTAACTGATAATGAAACATTAAATTTTTGGAATTGTTGTAACTACAGTGACCATCAAGGCCATTCTCGTAGTGCATTAGTGATGGTCTACCAGTTGCCAGTTGAGACAACAGAAACAAGTTCTCATCCTGAGTCTTAAACCTACAAATAGAATTTATTAAATCTGTAGGGTCATAGGCCAGATTTGGTCTAGAGCCCTTCTCATACTCTCATACTGACCTGCTTTTGTTTGTTTGTTGTGGCTGAAAACAAGGACAGCTGTTGATAGACTTAACTTCTCCTACAGGATACGTGAAACTGCTTATGAACCTTGAATATCACTGGGGAAGACTGTTAATGTGAACTAGGAATGCAGTTAATGTTTTACTGAAGATTTACACATAAACTAAATATAAACAAGTAATTTCCATTTAATAATTTGTAATATTCAGCTGTGTGATAATCACTGCTGCTGTTTTTGTCTTACAGATTTTGATGCAATTACGGATCAGAGTAACATGGGGATGCCACCAATGGTCATGAACAGGTAGGCAGCACTTGCTGTCATTCTTTGGGACTACAGAATGTAGAAGGGGATGACTCAGGGAAACTGTGCAGGAAATTGAAAAAAATTGTTTCTGTCATGTAGTTCCCATTCCATGCTAACACAGGATGATCTCCTAGGAATAAAGCCAGTGTGGCTGGTAGTAGGAGCTATAAAAGGTACTCAAATGCATCAGGCTTGTGTTCCAGTTGTAATGTCATGGATCAACATGATCAGCATGGCTTCACTGTTTATACTCTTCTTGTTTTCCCACTTGCTAATTGGGTAATGTGGGCCAGGGAGGATCTGTGCCTGTTCTTTTTGTGTGGCACTTCAAACTGGGTTTTTTCTGTCCAGTGCTCCATGATAATAAATGGCTTACCAAGGTGTACATTTACCCAGCTCCAGTTGACTGTGATGGTGACTATGAAACCTAAATACATTCAGCTGTTCTTCTTTAAATTATAAAATATTAAAATACAAATACAGACATGTGTGTTTGTGTTTTCACTGTTCTAGCACAGTAGGTCATAATTTACATCATCTCTCTGAAAAATGTAAAATGGAATAGTTTCAACCAAGGGCAAAATGCTGTCTGTATCCTCCAGATGTTGAAAAGGTTTGATACAGAAGTTAAAGAGAATGTCTGTAAAACATTGGGGTGCTTTATTTGAGTTGAACATAAAAAAGTTGTCTCTCCTCAAATGCCAGTTTGCAAGGTTGCAGTTTCTCTTTCTGCTTATCAATAGGTTTCCCTTTATGGGTCAGCCAGTGCCAGGGGCTCAGAGCAGTGAAGGCCAAAATCACATGCAGCAGGCGATTACTCAGGTAATGCAACTTAATATGGGCTTGAAACAAAACTGTCCAATAATGATAACTAGGTTTTGGGTATTTTAATTGAATAATGATTTAATATCCTTGTCTGTCTGTTCTACTGAAACTTGTAGGATGGAAGTTTGACACCTCAGATTTCTAGACCTAATCCTCCCAATTTTGGTCCTGGTTTTGTCAGTAAGTAAAGATTTAATAATTTATTGTATGGGTTTTGGTTTTTTCATTTTACAGTTCTGTTTTCTCTAAAAAGAACTATCTATAAGTGGATCTCTTAAAAAGATCATCCTTTTAAAATAGAGTAATTTCACCATTATGATGCCAGGTATTGAAGGGGTGTATACTAAATGCTGCTAACATTTTTTTCCTGGAAGATACCATCAACAGAACACCAGAAGGAAAGAGGGAAACAGAAAATGAACATTATTTGGGTTTGTGTGAGAGTAGGAATCTATTAGCTGTCAGACTGCTGTATCAGAAACCTGGGCTTGGGTTTTGTTGCAATATTCTGAGCTCAGTGAGAACAGCTGTGTGTGTTGATGGAATTTTTTATTTCAGAAGCAGAAAGTTTTGTGCAGCATCATTGTCATTTAAACAAATATCAGAAAAAGCTTTCCAGGCACTGGTTAGGCAAGCCTGGCTGTGAAGCACAGTTGTTGAAAGCAGAAATACACTGTGCTAGCTTTTTGCATTTCATATTTCTGGCTGCCCTAGATCAATTGTGAATCTATTCTCTGTGAAGAGAAAGATTTATTAGCAACAATTAAAGCTGAGTATATGTTGGGAGAAGAAGACCATGTGTAAAAAAGTGTTTCTAACATTATAAATACTTCACTTGGTGTTTGTGAATAAGAAACAGAAGTAAACTCCTTCACATTTTCCAGAAGCTGAAGTAGCAGCACTGAGTATGCAGTAGGGAGCTTTGGCGATATTTGTATTAATCATTTGTGGTGAGATTTCACGTGGCACTCAGCATGGCCCCACTCTGGTTGGGTGGTGGTGGGTTCTGAGCACTTGAGTAAATCTGTTTTTCAGTTCAGTAGTAGTTACTCTTACCTGGAACTCATTAAAATTTCAGTACTTTCATGTTTCCCATGTTACTCTCAGTGTTTCCCCTCAATTGTCCCCTCAGTTTTTGGGATCAGTTCTCCAGAATTTTTCCCTGAAAGCACCTTGAGGCTGTAGCTCACCCTGAATAGGTTTAGTTGAGCTGTTCAGTCAAAGCTGTCACTGACTCAGTGAGTTGTGGAGTTGAAGGTGGCAGGGTCTGGAGCACAAGGAGGATGTGATTATCTTGAAATTGTGATGCTGTGTGGTATCTCTGTTAAACAAGGATCTTCACAAGGAAGAGGGGTGCTTATTTGTCGTGTCCCAGCTCACTGAAAATGTGATCAGAAGACAAATGACACCATCACCACTGCTCTCTCTTGCTTTCTGTGCTTAGTGCAGGTCAAGTGTTATCAGACATGGTTGTTTTGCCTCCAGAAAAACACCAGAGAGCAATGGACTGCCTGTGGCAGATGAGCATTTCTCATTTGAAAGAAGAGCAGGATCTCAGTTACAGCCTAAATGAGAGGCATTTACTTTGGGGTCAGGAAATGGCACTGGGGCTGAGGACCTGTGCTGAGGGCTGACACTGACAAAGTGATTTTTACAAAGACAGTGTCTTTCTTTCACTTTATGAATATTTGTTGGTGTTCATAATTTTAATATTTTTCTTAGAAGTTGTAAGAAAAATAAGTTTTGTATGTACAACAGTTTTATGCAAGCACCAGAACTAATCAGGCTGTAAGTTTATGTCCCTGTTCCCTAATCTCTTTGTACTTGAGTACTCCCAGAGATCTTCCATGTCCCCTCTTCTGTGTCAGGACAGGGAACCACTGGGTTCTGTAGCAGTTATCAAAGCCACATTTGTTCACTGGCAAGTGCAGGTTTGGTGCCTCAACTTCTGGCTGATAAATCCTGAAATGGACTGTGTTAAAACTGTTTTATCTCACAACTGCAGTAATTTGGATATCTGTCTCATTTACTCAAGTCACTCCAAGAACATACTACTACTTGAAATACCAAGTTCTCTGTCAAATTTGGCTGAATTTGACCTATAGTTTTTTAAAATAAGAGGGAAAACCTGATGGTTAAACTTGAGTTTTAAAAAGTAGGATGAGAGCTCATCTCCAGGATGAGGTCATATCACACTTCATTTCCCTTCTTTCTAGATGATTCACAAAGAAAGCAATATGAGGAATGGCTGCAGGATACACAACAACTTCTTCAAATGCAACAGAAGTACCTGGAGGAGCAGATTGGAGCCCACAGAAAATCCAAGAAGGCCCTCTCAGCCAAACAGCGCACAGCCAAGAAAGCCGGCCGGGAGTTCCCAGAGGAAGATGCAGAACAGCTGAAACATGTTACTGAGCAGCAAAGTATGGTCCAAAAACAGCTAGATCAGGTAATCATCTGGAATCCAGACTCTTCACCTTGGCACTGAGCTGTCACAGTGGTAGTAACTCTTTCCTTAAAATCTTCTGAAAGGCACAGTGGAGCTCTACCTAAAGGAGCCACTCCCTGTTCTGTGCCTGTAACAGCAATGCTCTGGAGTGTAGGTGACACTGGAGCTGCAAAGGAATATTCTGTGGCAAACATTATGACAAAAAGCTGGGTTAGTACTTCAGGAAGAGGGGAATTCCTTGGCAAAATGACTTGCAGCAGAGTTCCTGGCACCATGCAAAGCAAAAATGAAACATTCAGAGATAAGTTTTAGCATGTGGGGCTTTGTTTCAGGCTTGAACGAACCTCCTAACCCAATCTTTTTTTTTACAGTTTGAAAATCTCTTTTTATTATATCTTTAGTGTTAGATCAGTTTTATGGTCTGTCTCATTCCTAGATGCTGATCATCACTCTTGTGTAATGGAATAACACAGGTCAAAGGGATGTCTGGAGATCTTTTTTGATCAAAGCAGAAGTAGCTTCGTGATTAAATCAGGTTACTCAGCACCTTGTCAGTCAAGTTCTGTGAGTCTCCAGGAGAAGAGATTTCCCAGCCTCTCTGGGCCCCTGTTTCTACATGTAGCCACTTTCACTGGGCTGTGTTTTCCTTTCCTTACATTCAGTTGGAATTATACATATTGTAACTGTGATAATAGTAAGTGAGGTAAACCTGTGGTAGTTTTGTTAATATGCTTTGCCCACCAGTAGTTAGTGCTGTGTTTCTCAAGACATTTTTTATAAAATATCTGGCATGATTATCAGGATCAGCTAGTCCTGCTGAAAATGAAAATTCTTTACTAATATAAAGGAAAAACTTGGCAGCAGACAGCTTGGAACGAAGTCCTGAGTGATATTTGACCCTCAAGTTCTCACTCCTGTGTTACTTCAAGACAAAGTATGTGCTGGATAGGATATTAGTTGGCTCATCTTTCCACTGTGAGGAAGAGGGATGGAGTGGGTAAATTATTTCTACATATTTTTTTTCACCTTCCACAATGAATCACACATAGAATAAACGCCAAAAAAATTCCCTTTAACCAATCTTTATTATACATACAACAGTCTAATCTTATGGTGGAGTTAGACTGAAATAACAGCTGCTAACCATGACATTGCTGGCAGATCCATTTACTGCCCCATAATTAAGGTTCTCCTATTAGTAATGTCTAAATTTAAGTTTAATCTAGTGCTGGCAGAAGCCATCCAGTGCCCTTTAGCCACTTATTTAGACCAGTGGTTGATTCATCCACATCTTAAGCAGCATTTTCTTCTGTACCTCATAGGAGCTTAAATGAGGTTTAAAGTATAGTTTCACCCAGCTTCTATTGGAAGCAATTTGCCACTCTTTCAAATCAGATCAAGTAATTTTTCTGCAATCAAGCTCCTGATAGTTTTTGAAAAGTCTCTGTACAGAGAGAAAAGAGCTCCTGGATCCCTGTGAGTGGCTGGTCCTGGCCACAGGCACGGAGAACCCAGAGCTGACTGTGCTCCAGGAGCTGATGTGAGACGGGGTTCTTGGCCAGGCATGGAGCCACACAGACACTGCCAGATGGCCCCTGTGGCACCGTGCCTGTGCTCACAGCTCTGCCCTGCTCTCCCTGCACTGCTGAAACCTCCAGCTCAGCTCAGGGCCTCTGGCTGTGCTCAGCCCTGTGCCTTGGACACTTCAGCTCATTCCAGGGACAGTCAAGGCTGATCCACCCCTGCAGACACTGGAGGTTGTGGTGCTTTGGGTGCCTCGTGGTACAGCCCCACAGAGCCAGCACAGGTTTGGTGCTCCAGGACCACAAAGAAGCCCTGGAGCACTGAATCTGTGCAGTGCAGATGGATCCAGTCAGTGGCTCTGTGCGGTTGCACTGTTTATCCAGCAGTGTCAGTGCCAAGGCAGAGCTCCTAAATCATCTTGGACCTGGGATTATTGTATAAATAACCTTTTGGGGTGCATCTGTCCTGCAGCCTGAAGTGTGTCCTGTGGCATCACTGTTACCTGGAGCTTTTGGTCTTAGTCCTTGCTTCAGATAAAGGAGAGGACTGTCGCACAATTTGAAATATGTTACAGTGTTTTTCTATCACTACATGAGCTGTGGAAGTCATAATCTAATGAACAGAAGTGAAAGATTTTTCATAACATATGTATCATCAACCACTGGATTGCAAATCCTTTTATTCTTTTAAAGACTAGTTTAGTTGGGTCTCTGCAGTGTTTCTGAAAGGTTCTTGCTTGTCCAGTTGACAGTGTTGTGTCCTTCCCTCGACTTCTCCTGTTTGTCTAAACTACAAGGCATAACTTGTAGTGTCCATGTTGAGTTTATTTTGGTTTTAAAATTTTGAATTTTCAAGCAGCAGTTGCAATTTTCATCTGACGTGAGATGTTTAAGGATCTGCCTGTGAACAAATGGGAATATCCATCACTGTTTTCCTGCAAACTTTTCCTTTCCAGTTGCATCTTTTTTAAATGTTGCTGATGTGTGAACATCATCCATCTCACTGTTTCCCTTTTCCTGTCTATTCTCGAGTGTATCCTGTGCATGGATGATAAGATCTGCAGGACAAGGATCACTGCTGGTTTATTTAGGTTTCTCTAAATAATTTCTCTATATTCTCTAGCACAGTGCAGTCTTGGTGTGTAATTAGAGCTTTGAGGCGCTGCTGCTTTGTCTGACGTTTTGGGCTGGGGACTGTTTGAATGCCATTATAATGAAATAATGGCTGTTTGGCATTAAAAACACTCCAGAAGTGCTGTTTTGGCCTGAGGTTGGTTGTCTCCTGGAATTACATGGTGAGTTAGGTGGTTTATGCTTCTTGCACAGCCAGTTCGTGGCAGAGGCGAATAATGACTGTTTCAATGTCTAGATCCGGAAGCAGCAGAAGGAGCACGCGGAGCTGATTGAGGAATACCGGATCAAGCAGCAGCAGCAGCAGTGTGGGATGGCCCCACATTCCATAATGCCAGGGGTCCAGGCCCAGCCTCCCATGGTTCCAGGTGGAACAGCACCAGCAATGAATCAGCAGAGCTTCCCCATGGTGGCACAGCAGCTCCAGCATCAGCAGCATGCAGTGGTGATCCCTGGGCAATCCAACCCCACCAGGATGCCAAATTTATCTGGATGGCAATCTGCAGGCACCCCTGCGAGTCACATATCCATGAATCCAGCGAGGATGCAGCCTCCAATGACACCATTGCCAATTACTCCTGGTGCACCCGCTCCTGTGGCTGGCCCAAATGCAGCTGCACAGTCAGGGCCACCCCCAAGGGTGGAGTTTGAGGACAACAACCCTTTCAGTGAAAGTTTCCAGGAGCGGGAGCGGAAGGAGCGCCTTCGGGAGCAGCAGGAGCGGCAGCGCATCCAGCTGATGCAGGAGGTGGATCGACAGAGAGCTCTGCAGCAGAGGATGGAGCTGGAGCAGCACAGTATGATGGGGCCTGAACTGAATAACAAAACATCTTTATCTCAGATACCTTTCTTCAATTCTGAGCTGCCTTGTGATTTCTTGCAAACCCCTCGGCCAGCAGCAGCAGCAGCAGCAGCAGCAGCAGCAGCAGATGGGGCAAATCCTGCAGCAAGGTGCTGTCACCTCCCCTCCTGCCTCCAATTTTATGCAAAACACAGAGCGAAGGCCAGTGGGACCTGCAGCTTTTGTACCTGATGCATCTGCTGTTCCAGGTGGAGCCCCCAATTTCCATAATGTAAAACAAACTCATGGGAATCTCCCTGGGACTCCGTTTACACAGAACCAGGTCAGGCCTCCATTCCCTTCTGCTGTACCTTCATCTCCAGTGCTGGGGGGCGGTGCTCCATGTGGGTCGGACACTGGTGTGCCCCAGGCTGCAAACATCCCTGTAGCAGGCCAGTCTCTCATCCAGCTGTATTCTGACATAATCCCAGAAGAGAAAGGCAAAAAGAAAAGGACACGGAAAAAGAAAAAGGACGACGATGCCGAGTCCATAAAAGCCCCGTCAACTCCACACTCGGATATCACTGCACCATCAACCCCAACCATTTCTGATGCTACCTCCACCCCTACAGTGAACACCCCCAGTGAGCCACGGCACCAGGATGAGCAGGAGTCCATGGAGCTGACGGGCCCCTCCGCATCCAACACAGGAGAGAGCCGCAGCTCCCCGGAGCTGGAGGGGAAGCTCCCCAGCAGCAGCAGCGTGTCCCAGAAACAGCCCAGGGGGAATGCAGAGGCTGAGAAGGCTAAAATGGACACACCCACCAGCCTCCAAGAAGTTAAACTGGAAAAGGCAGAAACTGATCAATGCTCAGGTCAAGCTGAGCCTAAACCAGAAAATCCAAGCAGTATTAAGGTGGAGGAGGATAAGGTCACCTCACAGCCCACCTCTTCAGCTCTAAGTCCTGCACAGCCACCCAGTGCTCTGGCCGCCAAAGGGGAGTCAGGGAATGAACTGTTGAAACACCTGCTAAAAAACAAGAAATCCTCATCTCTTCTAAATCAGAAACCGGAGAGCAGTGGCCGAGCAGAAGAAGAGGCTTCTGGGGATAAAAAGTTATCAGAGAAGCAGAGTCCAGCGGAAGGAATGGTGAGCCTGATTTTGTTACACTGCAGTCAGCAGCAGTCCAGCCTAGTCTGCCTTTCTGTAGGCATTGTGGGAACAAAACCTACCTGTGTGAGGGTGGAGGAAACAGCTTTAAAGAATTTTTGCCTCTTTCCTTTCTTTTCTCCTCAAGTAAACCACCTGTGTTGAAAAAAGAATAAATTTTGGTATGGCTTCTTAGGTCAGCATATTCAGCAGTCATTAAAATGCAAAAAAAGTATTTTTCTTCAGAAAATCATCTTTGAAGAATACCACTTCCTGATATTAAGGCAGGATTTACAGTATGGTTCCTGATTACGCACCAGTATGTGTCTGTACAGAACGTGGTGTGTCTGGGTGCTCCTTTCTCCTCTGACTCCACCTGAGTGATTTATCAATTTATAAGGTCTTTAAAAACAGACCCAAAGAAAAGTGCTTTCTGTGGAGGTAGTAGACTTGTTAGCCATTTTATTGTGGTCTGAATCTCTACATTTGGGTTTGACTGCCTAAACTGTAAATTAATTATTTTAACAAAATGTAGATGTATTTAAAAGGAAAAAAATACCCATAAAAGTAATTGTGAGCAGCAGGTAATTAAGTGTTAAAAATCCACAGTTAAAACATGTAATGGGAACATTAGAATAGTGGTGGTAGGGGTCATGTAGAGCTGTTTAAAATAATAATGGATTTTTTAAAAAATGGGCTTTGTTTTGGCTGGCCCCTGTAGCATTAAAGTCCTGTTCTGATCCCTTTTACACAGCTATTCTTCTATGTGAAGAAAGGCTTTGCAGATTTGTACTGGAAGTACTTAAGAAAGTGGTACAATCCAGAAATGTTTCACAACAGTTTCTTTGTTTCTAACCTCAGAATACTTCCATATTATATTAACTTCCACACCTTTCTTCTGCCACCAAGTCTGTCTTCCATTAGGCCCTTGTGAACGTCTCCAAGGTTTCATGCACATGTAACTTTATTTTAGGGGGTATTCAAAGGAGAATGTTACTGGCCTGTGAGTTTTTAATGATGTTTTCAGATGTCAGTGGTGTTAATGGGAGGTCATAATTCTGTCTGTGGGGACAGTTCAGCAGTTCCACCTGCCAGCAAAATTCACTTTGTTTTCAGTGAGATTTATTACTCTGTGCCTGTGCTTTCACAGTCGTGCAGTAAATCGGAGTGAACTGTGTATTAACATGTCAAAAATTCTGCTGCACTTCCTTTTTCCACACCAGCAAACTGCAGGAGCCCAGATGCAAGGTGCTTTTGGGTGCAGTAACAGCCAGCTCCAGAGAACAGATGTAGGACCTGAAACCAAGAAGCAGAGAAACAAGCGGGCTCAGAGGACGGGAGAGAAGGCAGCTCCTCGGTCCAAGAAAAGGAAGAAAGAGGAAGAAGAAAAGCAGGCTGTTTATCCTAATGCAGATACCTTCATCCAGCTGAAACAGGTGAGTGTGCAGGGGCTGGGAAAGGCAGTCCAGAGGCCACGTGGAGCAGTGGATTTCTCCCAGTGGAAGTGAAGTTGATGCTTAAGTTGAATTTTGAGCATAGGGTGGGGAAAATGTGAATTTCCACAAAATCAGGGAATTGAAAGTTTGTGGCTGGTTTAATTTTGGAGGATGGGTGGACATGGTAGGTAGTCCCAAAGCCACAGAGTTCCTGTCAGTTCTGGCAGCCTTTGGATGAACTGGCAGGGAGCTGTAGCTGAACAGGGGACCATATTCCTTAACAGAGAGTCCCGTGTTTGACAATTTCCTGACAGTGGATAAATTCCAATTCTTCTAATTTAGAAACCACTCTACTGATTGGAGAATTGCAATGTTTTCTGTTATACTTAATTTCTGTCTTTTTTTTTTTTCTTTGAATACAGCAACTTTCTCTTCTGCCTTTGGTGGAACCAATAATTGGAGTGAGCTTTGCACACTTTCTCCCCTATGGCAGTGGCCAGCTAAATGGTGGAAATCGACTTGTGGGAAGTTTTGGTAGTGCTACTCTCGATGGGGCTTCAGATTACTACTCTCAACTCATTTACAAGGTATGGTTTTAATCTGGATTTCTGTTGTGTGCTCTCAGTGGGAAGAGAAGTCCATGATATTATTACTACTAGTCATAGTTTTTGTCTTTTATGCAACTAGAAATAAAATAACCTACTGCTAGACCTGATAGTGCAAAACAGTCATCATTGTTTTACTCTCTGAAAGTGGATATTGGTTCTGGAAACTGCTGTTGTAAAGTAATGAAAAACTCTAAATGTGTTTTCAACAAATGGATGCTAAATAATGAAAATTGTAATTACAGTTTTGTGGAGCAGAAAAGACTGAATTCTCAGTACTTTGCAAAGTCACTGAAAGCATTAAAGCATTTCTTAATGTGAATTAAATAATGGACTTTTTCTCATTTGCCCACCAAGCCCTAACTAAGAACCTGGGAATTCTGAACAAAATAGACTGTTTGTTGATGAGTTAATAACCCACAGCATTTAAAACTCAGTCTCCGAGATCAGAGTGGCAATATTGGGAGGGCAGTGGGATACTGAACAGACAGAATCAAATTTTCTGCTTGGATACCCTAATATAAAAACCTATCAAAACCAGTGGTGTTTTTTCCAGCCTTACACAGTGTGTAAGCTGAGAATGGGACCTAAAGAAATAGTTGTTGTGGTCAAAAGTGAGTAATGAGGATTAGCTTTGTGGGCATGACTGCAGCAACAACAGATACTGAAGAACTGAATGTTCTCATTTAATTTTCATTTAAAATATGGGCAGTTGAATAAACTGGTGAGAAGTAGCCCATAGTATGAACTTGAGGAGTGTCTGCTGCTGCATGGTACCTGCTTCAGTGACAGTTCATCCTGTGCTGAACAAGAGGCAGCTTCCCCTTCAGGGACAGTTGGTGTTCATGTTGTTGGAGAGTCACTGTGCACCAGCTCTCTCAGCATGGAATTGGGACCTTTGCTGAAACTGTAGGAACTCATTGGAAACCGTTCCTTAAAGTGTTCTTGGTGTTATTTTTGTAAACAGTTTAGCTACATCTTACTTGGTAATGTATTTGGCTGTGTTTACTCATGTGAGCTATTTCTTTGGTATCAGTGATACAAGAAAAGCCAATCCTTGTGCCTTGTACAGTAGATACCTTTCTTCTTTTCTGTCACATGCTCGGGTATCAGCTGTGGCTGCATATCAGTTCTACATCTGGGCATGAGACTCTGAATGGGTTACATTACTGGAACAAGGCAAGTTCTCTCCCTGTGTTCCATCCTGATTGATGGTTCTTTAATTCATGTCATGCAGCAGAACAATCTGAGCAATCCCCCGACCCCCCCTGCCTCTCTCCCTCCCACGCCGCCGCCCGTGGCCTGCCAGAAGTTGGTCAATGGCTTCGCCACCACGGAGGAACTCGCTGGCAAGGCTGGAGTGCTGGGAGGCCACGATGGTAAGGCTCATGCGTGTCTGTTCTGTAAAGTCAGTCCTGTCTGTAGCAAATGGCAAAACAGATCTTAGAATCACCACATACGCTGAGTTGGAAGGGACCCACAAGGGTTTCTGAGTCCAGCTCCAGCCCTGCACAGGACACCCCCAGCAGTCCCACCTTGTGCCTGAGAGTGTTGTACAAGTGTTCCTGGAGCTCTATCAGGTTTGGTGCTGTGACCACCACCCTGGGGAGCCTGTTCAGTGCTCAGCCGCCCTCTGGGTGAAGAATCTTTCTCTAATATCCCACCTAAACGTCCCCTGACACAACTTGAGGCCTTTTCTTGGGTCTGGTGCCCAGAGAGGAAATACACACCTGCCCCTCTGCCCCCAGTCATGAAGGAGCTGGGAGGTCTTCCCTCAGTCTCCTCCAGGTTACCTCCTAGGATGCTTCTCACTTGCAATACTCCTTTATGAAAACAATATACCCAGACTTCTGAAGGTTATGACCATTACTAGCCAGCAAAATTTTACACAGTACAGTGTCAAGTATCAGTGCCTTTGCTTTGTTCAAAAACATGTTGAGAGCTAGACACACGCTTAAGAAATGAAACAGGAAATGTGAAGATCAGTTTTCTGGGTCTGGTACAAATGACTGGCGTGAGCTCCTTGGTTGAATGAGCTCAAAGCAGCCTAACCAGAATGTGTGCAGTAATTATGTATTTCCTGATTCTTGCAATCTGGACAGTTAAAATTGCTTTCTTCAGTATAAATATTCTTTATATTGGCTTTTTGTAAAGACTATTCAGTGATTAAAATCCTTTTCTTCACACCCCTTTTCCTTTGTTGTTACAAAATTGTTGATTTTTTTGTAGTTCTGTGGGTTTTTTAAGTAAACAGACATCCTCTCATAGTGGCAGAAGACACACTCAAAAGCCTTTTAATCCCTGTTCGCTCAAAATTTGCAGGTTTTTGTAAAAATGGAAGTTAATCCTGAATGGTCACAATTTTTTGAACTTCCAAGCATCTCAGAATGGTGTCAGCATCAGACCCCACCCACACCCAGCAGGCAGCATGTCTGTCACTGAAAGAGCTGTCCAGATGTCTCATTGTGCTGTGCCTTTCTGGTTTCAGTTACCAAAGCTCTGGGGCCAAAGCAGTTCCAGTTGCCTTTCAGACCACAGGATGATTTATTAGCCAGAGCAATGGCTCAGGGCCCCAAAACTGTGGATGTTCCTGCTTCGCTTCCAACACCACCTCACAACAACCAGGAGGAGTTAAGGTAGGTTTTCCTTGACATCTTCAAAAGTAGGTGATTCCAGCCATTGCTAGACTCCAGATGCTGTTAAATAGTTAGGAATACCTTACCTTGGTCTCTTAAAAGTGGAAGAAAATGGTAGTGTGGTGCTGTAGTAACTGGTGACTGCTGTAGCAGCAGCAAGGCTGTGCAAGTCCCAGCCTGAAACTGCACAGCTCCATTCAGTTTCCCAGGTGAGTAACACTGGCTGGAACAAGAACCTCCCCGCAGAGATCTTGCCCTTTGCCTCCCTTTCACTTTCCTGCCCAAAATATGAGTGTCTGTGAAACACTGGAGCCTGTATGTGGACAAAGGCCAGACAGTTTAAATATTAAAACAGTTCAAATATTAAATGCTCATTTTTACCCTGGTAGATAGAGCCATGGGGAGCAGAGGGTTTGGCTCTGTTAATGTCCTTGGTTTTTCTTCGTGGACCTTTCCTGAGAAATGGAATACGTGTGCAGTGGAATATGAGATACCCAGAGGTGATGGCTTACCAGAAGTTTCATCCATTTCCCAAACAACTTTTTTGGGTTTTGTTCCAGGGTTCAAGATCACTGTGAGGACAGGGACACTCCGGATAGCTTTGTTCCTTCTTCCTCTCCTGAAAGCGTGGTGGGAATGGAGATCAGTCGCTACCCAGACTTGTCGGTTGTAAAGGAGGAGAACCCAGAACCTGTCCCATCTCCCATCATTCCCATCCTACCCAGCAGCACTGGGAAAGGTGAGGCTGCAGTAGAACGAACACTTTCAACTATGATTGTTCTTCTGTTTCCTTAAGTGTAGGATTAATGTGCTGTATTCTGTTTCCTTTTCAGGTTCAGAAGCCAAAAGGAATTACATAAAATCAGAACCTGGTTCAGGAGCATTACCTGGTTCTGGCTTCTTCTCCCAGCTTGGACCATCCCAGAATGGTCCTAAATCTGGCCTTATCTCTGTAGCAATTACTTTACATCCCACAGCTGCTGAGGTAAAAGGAATTAGCCTGTATTACATACATAAAGCACCAGAGCAGTTAATTTGGTTTATATATAGTAACTCGGGGGGGTTACAGTGTAACAGTGTATAGTAATGCTGCTGTTGCAATCTTCTAATAGTTTGTATCTCTGCTGTGGGAGCTGCTTGTCAGATGTAAACAAAGGTTTGTTTTTGTTACTGTTTTTAGAACATCAGCAGCGTTGTAGCAGCATTCTCCAACCTGCTCCATGTCAGAATTCCCAACAGTTACGAGGTCAGTAATGCTCCAGACGTCCCATCCTCCATGGCAGCCACCAACACTCACAGAGGGAACCCACCTATGGAGTACAGGCAGCACTTGCTCCTGCAGGGTCCCCAGGCAGGATCCATGGGGCCTGCCAGGATCGTGGGGCCCTACGGACTCAAGCAGCCCAATGTGCCATTCCCTGCCAACAGCAATGGTGAGTGGCCTTTAACTTCCAGGTGTTCAGTACCAGGGTTTAACTGAGTCAGAAATGATGTATTTTAGCCTTATAAATCCATGCTCTAGAATTCAATAATTGGTTCTTGTTCCAAATAAAACTTTCTCTTCATATGTGATCATGTGGATGCTCCTGGGTTTAACCATGAGTAATCGTCCATCTCTGATTTCCATTGTCTGTTTTCATCAGTGTCAGTGAGGCATTACTCCCATAATTCCTTACATTTATTAGGGTTTGTTTTGTCCAGAAAGATTGTTCCTATGCTGGAAAGCTTGACATGGTTGTTTAAGCCTGTATTCCTGTGTTAGTTTATTTTGTCATTTTTTACACAAGAATGTGTTTTTTTCCTGGTTTGCATTGTTTTAGGTCTGATTTATACAATTTATCTATCAGGCCACAGTTTAAAGCCCTCCTTCCATGCCAAGAGAGTGCTGTGAAGAACACTGTGATTTCTGATAAATTTGTTTGATCTGCTACAGCCTCTGACAGATAATCTGTTCCCTAGGTCTGGCTGGCTACAAGGATCACAGCCAGAACATGGCAGAAGGCTCAGCACTGAGGCCTCGCTGGTGCTCCCACTGCAAGGTCGTGGTTCTGGGCAGTGGAGTGAGGAAATCCTTCAAAGACCTGCCCTTCCTCAAACAGGTCAGTGCTGAGGTGCCCAGGGCAGGGCCCTGTACTCAGCTGGGGCTCCTTAAAGCAAGGGATGATGATATAAAGTCCTGCTTGTCCTGCCAGCCAAGAGCACTTCAGCTTCCTGGGTAGTCTCCCTTCCTCGTGTGTCCTAATTCAGGGTGGGATATTCCAGTACATTTCATAAACCAGGTCCCATCTATGGGAGTTCTCAAAGCCCTGCTACCAATCTCCTTCCCTGACCTCTTCAGGGACCTCAGTTCAAAAAACCTTACTTGTGAGGCAGCCACGTTGCTGTGTCAGGAATTACTGTAAGAGCAGGAATACTTTTACTCATTTTGGGCAGGAATTAGATTTCAGTTGAAGTCTCTTGTCCTTACACTGGGAGCTGTCATTCCTTCAAAAAATACCATTGCTCTTCAGTGACCAGGAGGTGACTGCACCACAAAGACCTAGCCAGCACCTGAGTAGAGTAAAGGGTTCACACAGGCAGGAAAGCACTGAATTCCCAGTAAGGTTTTGCAGATGGATCAGTAGATAAAACAGTGTGATCTGGCTTTGATTAGGCTGAAATGAAACATTCTTTTGCCATCTAAAGATAAAAGAAAATGGATTTTGCTTTGCAAGAGTGCCTATGGAGCAGATGGGTGCATGGTATAGAATGCTTTATTTTGATTGTTAAATTTCTGTGAGAAGCAGGAAATGCTGAAGAACAAGGGTGTAGGTGGTGGTAATGTTAGATTATCTGTCAAATAATCAAGTATTTATATCACAGCATCCCTCATTATTTCACAAATGTTCACAAATAAAAGAGTTTCTAGCCAGATTGGAAGACCTGTTTCATTACACTTACTATGTGAAGAATGGTATTAAAATGCACTTCTTACACTCTTCTGTGTTTGATTCCCAGGATTCCCAAGAAGGCTCAGATAAAATGAAGGACATTGTATTCTGTAGCAACAACTGCTTTGTTCTTTATTCAGCAGCTGTGCAAGCAAAAAACTCAGAGAACAAAGTAAGTATCAAACACTGGCAGACCCAAGTGAGCTGAAATTACTGCAGCTATTTGTCGGAGAACAGAAAGGGGCCGAGGGGGAAGCTTGCACTTAATTTGAGAGGTTTATAAATTAATTGCTCAATATTCAGACATTGAGATTCTGGACCAGCCGCATGAAGTAAAAACCATATTTGCAGAACTTTGTGTCTGACAGATGCATGGCAGAAAAGCCACCACCTCTGGCTGCCCTCCCAGGCTTTGAAGATGCAGTCTCAAAAAATCAGTCATTCAAGTTCTCTGGGCATTGTAAACAACCACAGACATGTTTTTAAGGAGCATATGCTGCATTTGGATTTGGCTTATATAGTTAAAAATAAAATTGCAGCTGTGAAAATAATAATTGAGCAGCAAGTTTATAAGAAGTTTCATTTGTTCAGTAAAACTGGGAAAACAGAATCCTGTTCCCTGATTTTATTTGGGTGAAGCTGCCATTTTAAAAGCATTGATTACCAAAACACCAGTTAGGAGACTGTGAGCTGACAGTGACCAGGAAAAGGAGGCTCTTATTACTGGAGAAGTACATCCGAAGAAGTTTATTCAGCTGAAGGTGGAATTGGTCCAGGAAATTTTCTCAGGTGGTCCCAAATATTCTGCTATAGTTGTCTACATGCAGACACTGCGAGGAGTGTCTGAAATCTGAGAGAAACAGGGCATCACTTCTTGCTGTGTCGAGAGTCATTCAGTGTCAGAGGAAGGTGGAATTAAATTTATCTAATTATTTAATCATTAAAAGTGAAATAGTCTTCTCTGAAGACTGAATGATCCTGCTGAGTTTCTCACAGTTAAAATTTTTTGTGTACTTTTAACTAACTTGTCTTCTGCTGTTTCTAGATCAGATGTTATTCTTTTCTCCTAAACCATTGGACAGAACAGCTGTGTCCTTCAAGCTTTACCTAATCAATGTGTTCTCACAGTCCTGTGCAGACTGTATAGTTTGAATCCTTCCTTCAAGTGCATCCTCCTTATTTTCTCAGGAGGAATTGAATTTAAAAAATACAGCCCTGGAGAAGATAACTTTGTGTTCATCCATATCCTTTTAGTGTCCCATGTAGCTCATTTTCAGTTGTGTATAAACAGGGCAACATTCCTCTACAAGTGCATCAGCATGTACCTAATTAAGCTAATTAAATGTCATGTTCAGCCTCTCAATCCTTTAATTTACTCTTTCAAGATTAATCACACAAAGCACGTTAAGCACTTCATAATCTAAACTTCCTTTGTTGTTCTTGTTTTCTGTCTTAGGTTTTTGTTTGTTTGTTTGTTTTCCCACAAATCTCTGCAGGTATAATTTTTATTTACTGTGACTGAATAGTTTAAGTCCTCAAGTTGTATCTAATCCACAGCTCTGCAGGAATTCCTCCTCACTTGTTTCCAGGAGAAAAATACATGGCATTAGTTCTGAATTTTCCACTTCTACCAAATACCGGATTCTTACACTTTAAATTAGTTCTTTGACACATATTTTAAGGTTACTTTGTGTTGTAACAAAACTTTCTAAGAACCCTTAAGAACTAAAGCTGGCACTCAGCTCACTGAGCGCAATTGAGGAGTTTTGCATTCAGAACCTGGACAAAAGATTGTTTGTGCTTTCTCTCGTATATTAAAGGGGCACCATGTTCTAGGTGGGCTGGGAGAATTTCTTGCTCCATATCCTGGCCCAAGCTGTGGTAAGACGGGTTAGGATAATTTCCATCTTTCTCTGTTGCTGCATCTTGATTTTAGGCATTTGGAGAAGCCGCCCTCCTACTGAGGTGCCCATGTTTTCAGGTTATATTTAATGATAAACAGGTTTGGGATCTTTTTCTTAAAGAGTTTTTCTGTTGGTTATCAGGAATCGGTCCCACCCCTGCCTCAGTCACCGATGAAGGAGAGGCCACCCAAAGCATTCCATCAGTACAGCAACAACATCTCCACTTTGGATGTCCACTGTCTGCCTCAGCTGCAGGAAAAGGTTTCTCCACCCTCATCACCCCCCATCATGTTCCCCCCTGCGTTTGAAGCAGCCAAGGTAGAGGCAAAACCAGATGAGCTGAAGGTAACGGTGAAACTCAAACCCAGGTTAAAAGCAATACACAGCAGTCTGGAGGACTGCCGGCCTCCCAGTAAGAAATGGAAGGGGATGAAATGGAAAAAGTGGAGCATTCAGATTGTGATTCCTAAAGGATCATTCAAACCTCCTTGTGAAGAAGAAATAGACGAATTTCTTAAAAAACTGGGCACAACCCTTAAACCAGACCCTGTGCCTAAAGACTACAGGAAATGTTGCTTCTGTCATGAGGAAGGTGACGGATTAACTGATGGACCAGCAAGGCTTCTCAACCTGGATTTAGACCTTTGGGTCCATTTGAACTGTGCTCTTTGGTCTACAGAAGTCTATGAGACACAAGCTGGTGCCTTAATAAACGTGGAACTAGCACTGCGGAGAGGCCTGCAGATGAAATGCATGTTCTGTCACAAAATGGGTGCCACCAGCGGTTGCCACAGGTTAAGGTGCACCAATATTTATCACTTTACCTGTGCCATTAAAGCACAATGCATGTTTTTTAAAGACAAGACCATGCTTTGCCCCATGCACAAACCAAAGGGAACTCACGAGCAGGAGCTGAGTTATTTTGCGGTGTTCCGGAGGGTGTACGTGCAGCGCGACGAGGTGCGGCAGATCGCCAGCATCGTCCAGCGCGGGGAGCGCGACCACACCTTCCGTGTGGGAAGCCTCATCTTCCACGCCGTGGGCCAGCTGCTGCCACAGCAGATGCAGGCCTTCCACTCCTCCAAAGCCCTCTTCCCCGTGGGGTATGAGGCCAGCCGGCTGTACTGGAGCATGAGGTACGCCAACAGGCGATGCCGCTACCTCTGCTCCATCGAGGAGAAGGACGGGCTCCCGCTCTTCGTCATCAAGGTGGTGGAGCAGGGCCATGAGGATCTGGTTCTGACTGACACAACACCTAAAGGTAAATTTTGTGAACTAAGATCGTGAGTGTCCTGGGGTGACTTTGTGGCTTTGTTGTTTGTTGGGGTACTGCGGATTCCTATGGTACAGTACCTTTTTGAAGCAACTGTTGCAGGCACTGTTCTAACATAATGTTTATGGTGAGCTTCCATTTTTAATACCTTGCTGTGAAGATGTGAACACCTCTGAAGAAACTGTATAAGCTACAGATCAGAAGAATTGTTCTGAGTCTACAGAGGAGACCCAAGATTGAGTGCTGAAAATTAACTAAAGCGGTAGGAAAGTCAGCACAGGTTTCATTTCATGAAAAGTGACTTTGTTTAAATACAGAGCCTCTGCTCAGTTATCTTCAGATCAGCTGGGCTCAAGTTAGGGAGCTCTAAAAACAGCTGAGTGACCACATTGTTCTCAGGATGGGTAATGTCTCTGTCAGGGTGTCCATAAACATATGGACAGGTCTTGGAAATTGGCTCATGTTTGTTCTGGAGGCCTGTAAGCCTCTGGGTCTCAAGGCCTTGGTGCTGTGGGTGCTGATACCCACACAGAACTGACTGCAGACAATCAGTGGAAATAGAATATATTTTGTATTTTCAGAAAACCGTACTTTTGCAGGATTCCTCAAGAGAAGCCTGTCCATGTTCTTGTCAAAGGACTGAAAGTTTCCATGCTGAGAACACTGAAAGCTCCATTTCAGAGAACTGAGAATCAACGGTGTGTTCGGGATTTGTTAAATCCCAAAAATTAGCAACCAGTCGGTCTCCACTTCAGCTTTTTAGACCCTGGCCTGTTTGTATAGGCAAAGACAAAAACTTTCTCAGTGCTGGGTTCTGGTTCCCATATCCTCAGGCATTTGTTTTGAAACCAAGTGCAACAGTTTTTATTTTTTTGATCACTGTAATTCTCTCCCAATGGTTGTGTAGGTGTGTGGGATAAAATCCTGGAGCCCGTTGCTTCTGTTAGAAAAGAATCTGAAATGCTCCAGCTGTTCCCCGGCTATCTGAAGGGTGAAGACCTCTTTGGTTTGACAGTCTCTGCAGTGGCCAGGATTGCAGAATCGGTGAGTTCACCACCCCAATTCTTGCTGGATCATCCCACTTGCTGGATAGACACACGACAAGGGGAACAGAAAGAAGTATGAGAAAGTAACCATTTTGTTACACACATAATTAAACACATAATTATTTCTAATTTTTTTCTTTTTCTCTCTCTCTTTTTTTTTTTTTTGCAGCTGCCAGGGGTTGAGGCCTGTGAGAACTACACTTTCCGCTACGGCCGAAACCCCTTAATGGAACTCCCTCTTGCCATCAACCCCACGGGCTGTGCCCGTGCCGAGCCTAAAATGAGTACCCATGTCAAGAGGTTTGTGTTAAGGTATTTTGTTTTAATTTCACATAGTACAGCCCAGGGTTTATAGGCTGCTTTAGGGTTATTTGTGCTTTCGTCTGCTGCTTACAAACCCTGTCGTCCTTGGCTGTGAATGTGCATGCCCCAGTCAGAGGAACTGCTTTGTGTCTCCGCTAGCTGGCTTTAAGTGTCTGTATGTCTGAGAGGATTTTTATTGGGTTTCCTGGCTGTTTTCAGAGAAATCTTCAGTTTTTCTTGTATTCTTTCCTGTTACATGCCCAATTCCTACAGGCCTCACACCTTGAATAGCACCAGCACATCGAAGTCCTTTCAGAGCACAGTCACGGGGGAGCTGAACGCGCCTTACAGCAAACAGTTCGTCCATTCCAAGTCCTCTCAGTACCGCAAGATGAAAACCGAGTGGAAATCCAACGTGTACCTGGCTCGCTCTCGCATTCAGGTCAGTTCCAACTTCAGGAAATGGATATTAAAAACAATTACATGTGCTTTTATTAATACCTGTTTTACAGCTGAATTTTGTAGATGTTATATTTTATATATAAATATTTATCCGAATCCAGATGAAAATCTGAAACTAAACCTATTGCAAAATTCCTTGCAGTCTCGTTCCAAAATTGGCAATTTTTATGTGGCACATCAATTGCACAGATTGACCTTAAGTAAGATTTCTTTCTAATTTCCTCAAAACTGTAGTAAAACTTGATAAAAATAGAAATACACAGTGGAAGCATGAGATGCTCAGGCTAAGCTGATGAAGTAGTCCAAGACCAGCAGGAAGAGCTCAGTACTTGCTTGCCTTCATAAGAGTATAAAATCCATTGCTTTATGTGATGCTGCCGGTTTTGCCCCACAGTCTATTTTGGAAAAGCTTTGTGACTAATCTGGCCATGTGTGGGCATGGTTGTTGGGTTCCTCTCAGGTGTCTCTGGTCTAGCAGAACCCACTTTTATTTCTCAGTGAATTTATAACCTTTACACAGTCAGTGTCAGAGGGGTAAGAGCAGCTCCCCCACTGAGACAGCAGCCGAGTTTTCTGGGATCCGTGTGAGGCTGGATTCTGCGTTGGGCTGTTAGTGCATCAATTATTTATCAGTGCTGCTTCTCTCCCCTTTCCACTGTTGGTTCGGGGCACAGAGAGGAAAACAGAGTGTAAAGTTATTAACTCTCAGTGTACATTGTGTAGGGCCTGGGTTTATATGCTGCTCGAGACATTGAAAAGCACACAATGGTCATTGAATATATCGGGACGATTATCCGGAATGAGGTTGCAAACAGGAAGGAGAAGCTCTATGAGTCTCAGGTAAGGGTGTTTGTTCATTCTCTCTTTCCCCTTCCCCATTCAGACATTCATAGAACAAAACAGATGCTGTTCTCCCCGATGAATTCAGGTCCCCTGATTTGTTTTCTGCTGTGCCAATAAACGCAAATAGGCTTAAAATAAAACCAGAGGACTCTACAGTGATTGTTGTCAGAGTATTTCAACGTTTAATAAATCTCACAGCACCCTGGCCATCTTCTGTTCCAGACACAGCTCTGGCAGACGTGTCGGGACCTCCGTTTTTAATGAGAACTTCTTAAATTTAAAGCCACTTCCTTTGTGTGTGACTCAGTGGCATTGTAACAGTTAGTGCCTGTTTGGGAAGCAGTCAGATATCCTGGATAAAAAGCAGTGTGAAGCTTTTAGGGAAAGCTAAATTGTCCAGAGGTTTGTGTTCATAACCCATCATCATCCCTCACAAACGCAAGGGGACACAGACAGTACATGACACTGCTTTCCCTCATGAGCCAATGGGCAGTGCCTGGTGTGGAATGAAGGAGGGCACTTGGAGCTGGCCCATGCTGTTGGTTCATCACTGGCAATGCAGTAAAGCCTTACCAGAGCCCTTGTGCCACTTGTGTCTTTCAGAACCGTGGCGTGTACATGTTCCGCATTGACAACGACCACGTCATCGACGCCACCCTAACGGGAGGCCCTGCAAGGTGGGTGGCCCTGGAGGGATCCCTCACCTCCTCCTGGGGCATCCCCTGTGTTGGCCTGGGGCTGTTGGAGGCTCAGAGTGTGTGGGGTTTATTCTCTGAGCTGGTGCATTCAGTCTTCAAACTGTCCCACTGTCTCTTCCATCAGCTTTGCTCATCTTTCAGTTACATTTCATGGCAGCTGTGAAGAAAGGAATTTTTTTTGATCCTTGATTTTTTTGACATTTTCTAGGTAAAGAAACAAGTACAGAGTAATGTAATTGTATGTGGAAAGGCGGTGAGCCCGTGGAGCTAAGGCCATCCTGAGGTTTGATTCAGATTTGCCTCAAGGGATGGGTTTTCCTAAAAGGTTTCATCTGTCCCACTCTTCTTTTGCAGGTACATCAACCATTCGTGTGCACCCAACTGCGTGGCTGAGGTGGTCACTTTTGAGAGAGGACACAAAATTATCATCAGCTCCAGCAGAAGAATCCAGAAGGGGGAGGAGGTAGGGCAGGTTCTGGCTTTACACCCCTCTTGCCACGTGCATCCATTCTGTGATTCCTGGCCAGTGGCACTTGTTTGTGCTGGGGGGAGGTGACATTTCCCTTCCCCTGTCCTGTGCCTGTCCCTTACAGTGCAGCAGCCTCTGCTGTGTTTAACCTGCAGGGAAAGCTCTGGCAAATCCCAACTCTTCCATAACCACTCTCATGCCTCTCCTTCCAGCTTTGCTATGACTATAAGTTCGATTTTGAAGATGACCAGCACAAGATTCCATGTCACTGTGGAGCTGTAAACTGCCGAAAGTGGATGAACTAGAATGCATTCCTTGCTGTCTTTGAGGGTTGCTTGTCCCTAGGAAGAAGTGATTCACATTTTGATTTTGTCGACAGAAAATTGTTGCCTTTTTAAAGGGGAAAAAAATAAATATCACTTCTGGAAATACAGATTTCTACACAAGTATTTAAAAAGAAAAGAAAAAAAAAAAAAAAAGAAAAAAAGAGGAAAATAACCCACCAATAACAAGCACCAGAAGCAAGCCGGCAAAATCTGAAGCTGACTTTCCAGACACGTGGAGGTGAAACTGAGTTAACAGAATGGTCCAGCACTTTTGTTTTTGAGCTCACTAAGGAGAAACTGTTTAACTTGGGCAAAGAACCGCTGGCTGACCTGCAGGAGGGCAGGTGGCCACTATGAATGTAAGACTGAAATCACCAGCGAAAGGGAGAAGTCCAAAGTGCTGGCCACAGCCTTATTTGATAAAGGGGCAGGCCCTCTAATTAAAGAAAAAATTTTAAATAAAAGTAGACACCACTGAACAAGGAATGTACTGAAACGACTTCCTTAGGGATAGAGCTAAGGGAAAAAATAACTTGCACTAAAATACATTTAAATACTTGATTCCATGAGTCAGTTTATTGTAGTTTTTGATTTCTGTAAAATAAGAGAACCTTTTTGTATTTATTATTGAATAAGTGAATGAAGCTATTTTTAAAAAGAAAGTTAGAAGAAAGCCAAGCTGCTGCTGTTACCTGCAGAACTAACAAACTCTGTTACTTTGTATAAAAGTGTAAATATTTTGAGAAAAAAAAATACAGTATAAAAATAGTTATTGACCAAATGCTACCAGACTCTGCAGCAGTTCGGGTGCTTACTCTCAAACGTTGATAGGGATGTTACAATATGATCTCGTGTACTCACGGACATGCGATTCCCAGTTCGGAATAACCAAAATCTCAATTTAAAGAGAGGGGGTTTTGTATGTTTAAAGCAGTCTCAACTGTGGTCTTACAAGAATTTTTTTAAGTAAACCTTAAGCCTGGTAAAGGCGTGTATATTACAACTCTGACTTTTGTAGCTGTTTGGGTAATTTAGATTAATTTTATTTGTATTATATTGTTGCATCCCTATTTCTTAAGTCAGGTTTTTTTGTGCTTACAATTTGTGATAACTGTGAATAACTGCTAAAACCACCCAAAATAGAGGCTGGACATGGTTTTTATTCTTCAGCAAAAGTAGTCAAGAATTAGGTGACTGTTCAGCCTACATTAAATCGTGTAAACAGTATAGAATGAGTTGGAGCTTCAGTCTGATGCGATAGCCTTCTTAAAAGGAAAATAAGGAAAAAAATTAGGTGTATAATGTGCTTGCAGCTGCAGGACTCTGGCAATAGGGTTTTGGAAAATGTAATTTAAAGATGTGTTTGTATGGATTGTTTTTGTTTACATTTCTTTAAAAAAATAAACACTGTTTTGTGTTTGCTTGTAGAAATTTAATCAGCATTTTGAACCAGGTTAGCTTTTTATTTTGTACTTAAAATTCTGGTACTGACACTTCACAGGCTAAATATAAAAAAAAAAAATGAAGTTTTTTTTGTGTGCACAATTAAAGTGGACTGTAAACTGTTGGTATATTCAGTAATACAGTTCTGAACTTGTAATGTATATGGCATGATGTATTTTTATCTTACAGAATAAATCAATTGTATATATTTTTCTCTTGATAAATAGCTGTATTAAATTGTTTCTTGAATATTTTTCTTCTCTTGTACAATATTCCAACATCCTACCAGTATTTGTCCTACAGTTTTTTCTGTTCTGTATAATAGTATCTAATGTTGGCAAAAAAAACACAAAAACAACACAAAAAAAAGAATTTTTTGAAGTATACAGAGTGTTATGGGTTTTGGAATTTGTGGAAACAGATTTAGAAGATCAGCATTTACGAATAAAAATATTTTACATCTATAAAGTGCATCCTGCTGTTGTCATTTGAGGTGTGTGGTTTCTGCTTCTTCCAGGATCTTTGTGGATTCCACCATCGAGAAGTATTTTGCCTTCCCCCTTCTCCAGTGCATCCTAAATTTCACAGTGCGTGCCAGATCCTGATCTCAACCCATGAGTTTGAACACTTCACACCCTCTCAGTCCCCTCCATCCTGCAGGAGGAGGAGCAAACAAAGGACTGAGGGGGCTAAATGTCCATGTTGCTGCTGTGACACCACGTTGGACTGCTTTGACTCCAGTGCTGGACACCAGAGACATTCCCAGCAAGCTGTCTGCTCAGGTCCAGACTAAAAAAAAGGCTCCAAGACTTATCAGGGAGCACTGGGAAGCAGCCAGGCCAGAGCTGTTCCCCGGTGTTATTTATATGCTGCACTTTGGCTGCTGCAGGATTGGTCTGCTCCTCTGGCAGCCACAGCCCCACGCACTGCAGGAGCCAGCAAGTAAAAGGTATTTGATGCAGGGGTTTAAAATCAGCCCCAGGCAGCGTTCCTTCTAAATAAATTCTCAGTATGACAGCAACAAGCTGGGAGCTATGAGCTATGACAGTGCCTACCCTGGGATGAGGCTTTTCCTTCTGTGCTTCCTCTTCACCAAAGCCTCCCAGGGCAGTTGGGAGTGGTCACAAATACAGGGCAAAACTCTGAATTTTTGCTTACACCAGGCAGCCCAGCTGGGAACAGGCCCCTGGCCCAGGGCTGGGTTTTCCCAGCAGAGATCTCTCCCCCTCACTCAGGTGATGGCCTGGCTATGTGTCTGTACCAGATCTGTCTGTGGCCAGGAACTCCCTGCAGGAACAACTCCATCACCTCCATCTATTCCTGGAAACTGGCATCGCTCCTGGTGACAGCAGCCTCCAGCTCTCCCCTCTGGGAGCAAAAGGTTAAAAATTCTCTGTGCAAACCAACTCAGACTGTAAATAAAGAAAGCTGCTGCTCTCCCTGTTTGAGGATTTGTTTAGGTTTTCTGGTTTTTTTACTGTTTTTTTTTTAAAAAGACAAAGGCAACAGAAGAAAAGGCCAAGCCAGGCTTCTGCAGAATATGGCTGCCACCACCAATGTCACAGAAAAGCCCTGCACACAGCTGGGAGCAGCTGTGCCAGCACCTGCTGCAGTCAGGGTGAGCCAGACATAAATGAAGCTGCAGCCCATCCCTTCTCCCCAGCAAAGACTGGAATTTCACACAGCAACCAGCCAGACTGCCACTGCCACCAGTGAAAGGATTCACCTGAGCTGACACCATGTTCCAGCCCTACCCTGCAAGCCCTGCCTGACTGCAGGAGTCACCTGGGAACTGATGGCAAGACTCCAGATGTCCCTGAGCAAGGCACAGCACAGGCTCAGCTAACCAAGGGGGCTGGGATTGGTTTCAGAGGTTTTTCTTGGTAGGAAGGAGCTTGACTGGTGTCTAACTTAATTTCTCCCATTGTAATGCTTTATCTGGAAGAACTTCCACTTCAGCCAATTTGTTCTGCTCTTTAAACCCTGGTACCTGGTTCTCCCTGCTCCCAGGGGCACACTTCCTCCAGGACTAGTGGAGGAGACAAAGCAGCTGCCCTGTGGCCAGGCCACTCTTACCTGCTCCTTTGCATCCTCCTGCAGGTGGCAGGTGGCTGAAGGACCAAACAGAGTCTGGCACAAGTAAATCTCCTCTCTGCAGAAAGATGTGGGTCTGTAATTACTCCAGCATGATCGTTATTTGCTTCACACTGCCAAAAAGGTCAGTAAGGGGTTGCTGGAGTATTTGTGCAGTTGAAGATGTTTCTACTGCCCAAGTGGAAAGGGCGAGGCTGTCCTGGCACTTCTGAGATCCCAGGGAACGCAGCTGCTGTGGAGCAAGAAACAAGGCCAACAACGGTGCTAAGAGAAAATACACTGGGTAAGAGCAGCTTTTCTCTTCTGCAGGAGCCTCCACACACTGAAGAAGCTGAGGCAGGAAGTCAAAGAAATAGTAAAATAAATGAAAACAGAGAAGTAGAGGAAAAACCTCAGAAACTATTTATCAAGCCTTCCAAGATGTGAGGAAGGGAGAAAGGGAGTGAAAGCAAGGGAAGACCCAAACTGTCTGAACATTAGTCTGCATCAGTGTCTAAGTTGGTGCTTTCTGGTCCAACAGCTACAAAGAGTAAGGCCATACAAATTAATAAAAAAATGATACTTTATTTTAAATGCAGCTACTGTCATGAGTCATCAAAATAGACTTTGCAATAGTTACTTTGTTTTAAATATGAGGTGACAAATGACAGCAAAAAACTTAAACTACATGAAATGTCCTAAAATTAAAAGAACTAAATTTAAATATTACAACTGACAATTATCAGATGAAAGGGAATAAAAATATTTTCCAGAAAAAGTAAAATAATTTTGGCCGGTAAACCCATACTAGAAATGTAAATTATTGAGATACTGCACATGAAATAGTCAAGGAGGAGTCCTTTCTGTCATTGTCATGTAGAAGATCCACAAAGCTGAAATCTCACAATTACATTGCTCTCATGATTTCTCTTACTTAAAACCAGTCCAATAATCCAGGATCATCCAAGGAACCAATGATTAATTTCACTTCTTTGTGCAGTGGTGCTGCTGCTTTCAGTGTGTGACCAGGAAGCACCTGGACCATCCCACACTCAGCTCCTCAGGGCAGGGCATTTCCAGCAGCTCCTTCAATGGTTGTGCCAGGTGTAGCAGCCAAGGGCTCCACACAAAACCAGAATGACTTCAGATCGTGGCTGAAGGGGAACCAGGGCTCAGCTGAACTCTCCTCAGCCACCTCCTCACTGGCTCAGCTCTCAAAGTGCCACTGCTGAGGAAGGGACCCGTCGCAGATGGCCACGGTCACGTAGCCCTTGTGGCTCAGTGGATCCACCACCTTCAGGCACTGCCCCACAGAGACCTGGTACAGACGGTTGTTTTTCTAGAGCACACAAAAAGACAGATGGGATTTATTTACTGAAACTTCTGTTCTCCATTGTCAAACTGGAGCTGAAAGTGATGCCCAAGGGGAGGGGATGCTCCTTCCTTGACAGATGAGCCTTTCAGCAGCCTTCCTGACACACTAGACCCACAGCAGCAGTGGAGTACAGCACATCCCATAAGCACATACAGACTTTGAAACAAAGGCTCTCACGTCCTCACAGGCCCCCATTTGGGATTTTGTTTATGCCACAGTTTTTTAATGAGCTGGAGGGATGATCAAACCCATTCCCCTGTGCTCAGCAAAGAGAGCCCACAAGGCTGTAGTGGGCACAGGCAGGTCATGGAATCCTAGAGTGGTTTGGTTTGGGAGGGACCTTAAAGATCATTTAGGTCAAACTATCCTGCCAGGGCCATGGACACCTTCCACTAGACCAGGTTGCTCCGAGCCCCATATAAGTTTGCCATGAACATTTCTAGAGATGGGGCATCCACAGTTTCTCCGAGCAACCTGTTCCAGCATCACACCACCCTCACAGCAAAGAATTTCTTCCTCATATCTAATCTAAACTTGCCCTCTATCAGTTTAAATCCATTCCCCCTTGTCTTATCACTCCATGCTCTAGCAAAAAGACCCTCTCCAGCTCTCCTATAGTCCCCTTAGGCACTGCAAGGATTCTTTAAGGTCTCCCTGGGGCCTTTTCTCCAGGCTGAACAGAGGTCCCTGTTCTGCATCTGACCATGCCTGAGCAGTGCCACTGCCATCAGCACCCACACACTGAGGAGCTGCACGCATCATGACAGGCCTCATGAAGGGTGGGTGCCCCTAGCCAGGGCAAGGCCAAACCCCAGCCAGCAGTGACAAGGAAACAGATCCTATTCTTTTATTACCTTTAGAGGACTGTGCCATCTCCTCTACTAACAGCCTACTGAAGCTGTCTGGGAGGGCTCTCTGCCCATGGGCATGCTCCCATGGGCAGCCACCTCCTGTTCTCCTGCACAGAGGGAGCAGATACAGGAGAACAGCCATTCCAGGCTCTGCCACTGCTTATGGCCACAACCAGATGTCCAGTGAAGCAGGACGACATGGTAAGAAAACACAACACTCCTCCAAAATATCTCCCCAGTCTAAGGCTTGTACCACAACTGACAGTGCAGTTAGTATTTCCTTGTATCAATGACTCACTCAATGGATTTCCCCTTGTTCCAAAAGACTTGAGATCTAAAGGGCCCCAGCCAGCTCTCATATTCCTTTTGGGAAAGGTGCCCCACACCTTCCATTTGCCTTTCCATGCTCTTCTGAGCCTTCTGCAGCCCTAATTCAGCCTTTCTGAGAGGAGAGAACCAGCATGTGCAGTACAAACTGCCATGGTGTGCTGACATTTTCCTGCTTTGGTTTCTATTCCCTTCCTAATCAATGCTAGTACTTGACTCTTTTCTTGTGGATCGCTGATGAGCACCAATGTGACCCTGTTACAGATCCACCTCCCACAGTGGCCATGGCCAGCTCGAGGTCCACGTGTCACACATCAAGTGCAGATTCTCCACCCCTGCCACAGGCACCACCAACATGTACCCAGTGAGGCCATTCCCTCACTCCTGTAAAATCCCTGCCTGCAAACACAAGCTGCAGAACCCTCAATAACCTCTGCTCAGCAGATCTGCTCAGCTCACTATTCCCACTGCCCTGGGCAGCTGTGGCAGTGCTAGTGCAAGTGTCAGACACACACAACCCCAGGCTCACATGGTATCTGCCTCTCTATCTCCACACCATAGTGGGCTGCAAGGACATGTAGGTCACCCCCTGGGAAGTCGAGCTGCCAACCACCAGCATGGTATGAACCCAAGAGGCTGTACAGAGCTGTGCTGGAAGCCCAGCAGGGCTCTCCCTCCCTTTGTGTGGGGTGCCCCCACCCAGGGGGGCGAAGATTAGATTTTAGATGAGCATTGTGAAAGTGAGAGGTGTAGCTTTGGCAAAAATAAATTCCACCCTCTGCCTCAGGTGATGTGCCCTGTGAGCCCTGGAAGAGTTGCTCCAGCCTGGATCCCTCGT